ACGCCGCACCTCCGGACCAGAAAAAGTCACTGCGTACATGCCCTGCAGCGTAACCAGGTAGTTACTAGGTACCCGGATTTTGGACGGATATGACCCATAATGCATGTTGGCGGCGGGCGGCAGCGGTATCATTGGGCGGCACTAAACCGCCCTAAGATCTTCAAGTTGCTTGCGAGGGCCGCGAGAGGGGAAACACGCGTTGCGCGCAACCCAGACGAGTAAGATCAGCAAGGGGAGAGGGAGGGCTGTTCATGAGGCATCGTAGGCTTTTCTGGCCTTTCTGGCCTTTCTAAGGCAGCAGAACTACGTTATTGAAAAGATTTACCCAAGATTGACGTGATTGTCGTCCAAATACGAGGGAGGCTCACGATGCAAGAGCCTTAGAGAGCTGCAAGACCTGACGCGCTATGCAAGCTGGCAGATACTTTTCTGATATTTTACGATTTTTAACATTACACCGACAGAAAGAGAGGATAGAAAAATCGGAGCAATTATGTGCCAAGCCTATATAGTCCTATATCTATAAATGGACCCGTGGCTCGATTAGGAACTATCCATATTTCTTTGATTAATGGGTGTCCTCCTTGGTGTCCTTCGTCGACTATCACTTGTGCCCTCTCCGAAAGATCGTCTTTTGGGGTTTCTCTCGCGGGCAAGGTGGACTCGCAAGGACACAATCAGGAGACGCGAACGCGCATCCGGTCCGTTTATCCCCAGAAAAAGTCTTTTATTGCAAGCGAAAGTGACGACTGCGATTTGTCAAATAATCTTTTTTTATTCCCTCAACCCTTGCCCTTACGCGCCAACCGGCGATCGACTTTCTTGTTTTTTTCCTTTCCTCTTACTTACACCATACATAGTATCGGTTTATCTTTTATTCTGATGTGTCGATGCGCCGATGCGTCCGTGTGTCCGTGTGTTCATGCTCTACTCTGTTTCGCTACCACGCTTCTCCCCTTTTCCATCGAATTCCATTCTCGCGTTGGCTGTGGTTCTGATACGATATCGGCCGAAAAGGAATCCCGCAGTCTTGGCCTGCATCTAAACATCGCATCGTCGCTAAAGAGTGGTCAGACTCGGTAGGAGCCGACGGTGCCGAAAAAGACGACGGGCATTCCTAGGCGAGCACCACGTGGTAAACGTGGTCAGCTTCTGAGTTTGGCATCTGGAGCGGGAATTGATTCCTAAATAATTTCGAACTATACTGTAGACGCCGGCCCGCCATTCGCTTAGACGGGAAACATATTCCTGTTGTCCTGCTGCTTACCTGGCGCTATTGGCAAAGACCCTTACATGGAGTATGTATGTACTCTACTAGGCAGGTGGTGTCAGTGGGTCTATAATGTAGCTATGTAGCAGGTCAGCCAGCCATCGTGAAGTTATTGATGGATCGTGCATTAGACCCAAATTGGGATGGATATTATAAGTTATTAATCCGCAGAGACGATCCTTCTCAGGGTCCCAGTATTCCCACAATGCCCTCTCCCCACTCAGCACCGACTACGACAATTTTTAGTCTAGCTTCCCCAGGAGGGGAGTACCATAAACCGGAACATCCATTCGACTTTTTATCTCTTCCATATCCATATCATCATACACAACAACCTTCTTTAATCGCCTTAGCCACAACTTCAATCTTTGTCCAACAACTTCTACACGTGCCTCCCTTCTTACCTTCACATATACCAACACACTATCAGTCGCCGCTGAACCTAATAGAGCTTACCAGAGCTTGTAAGTTGACCTTACGCCCTATCGAGACCCGAAGAGAGAGCTTGTGTCTAACCTGATAATCGTAGGCAACCATCCTAACTATATTCGGCCATCATAAAACATATATTACCTTATATTCTTATTTCCACCCAAAGGGTAAAATCTCAGACGACAAGATGCATATGCACACGTGTGGTAACTGCGGAACTGAGTATACCACAGGCAGCTGTTGGTACTGCCATCCCCAAAACAGACCTACACTGGAGGGGTCGCATACGGGACATTCCCACTGAAGAGGATATGGCCAGCTCTTTGCCATAAACCAGGGGAAGAATATTTCTAAGTGTGGAAGAAAAGTATTTCAATTCGGGATTTTTACACGACCTTTGGACCAAAACCTACCCGCTCGCTCACCCACCCGAGGTAGCCCCTCTCACGAGGACTACTTCACGAGACAATTCACTCGCTCAACCGTTGCACATTTTACGTCACGTCTGTCTCGCTCGCTCGTTGCTTCTTACTCTCCTACCAACCAGCTGCCAGGAGCAACACCAACCATCAAACTTTCGAGCTTGACGTATCGAACTTATACAACGGACATCGCAGATTTCCCTAATGGACGCCAGTGTTTCTTTATTTCCACGAAGAAAAACAACACTCGAAAAGAGGCTTTTTTTGCAGAAGAAGAAGAGAGAAAGAGAGATAAGTCTCAGCCTCCTGCTTCGAGGTCTTGGAAACATTGATGGCCTCTGGCTAAACTTTACGAAGAAATGATCAGGGGGTTATTGAGGGAACTCCAGCTCCTCGGAGACAGTCGGGCATTTACACGGCGTTATTATGATATCACTATACGGGAAACGGGCATTTAATTTTCGAGGAAAAAAAGTTTTCTGATGATTATCGAACGGAAAGGCATTAATTTTATTTTAGAAGAACCCCCCGGCCGAGCATGAGACATCGCTTTATGATTCATCAAGAATGTTAGGCGCATGAACGAAAAAATATTCGTACTATATGTCTTACGTTACTATATAGCTTTTTGTGTATTTTCATACTATCCTTCACTATTTTACTAGGTAGTCAATATTTTTTAATTCTAATAGAATGATATTTATCTAATATCCATGATTTTTCATCGTCTTCAACATCTGTGATGATGTCCTATTAAGCCAGCTTCATAATACCGGCGCGGCAATTCAACCGCGTCAAATTTTCTATATTAATCTACTATTAATAGCGTGATGCCTTTCCAGGCTGTTGTCACCTTGCTTCCGCACCCGACCAGCTGACAAGGTGAACCAGCCCTACGAAGCACTTATTCGCAACCACACACTACTTCACCACTTCACCATTTCACCGACCTCAACAGCCGAGGGCCGTCTAGAATCACCTAGATGCGGGGTGATAGAGATGAGGAGTTACACAAGGAAAGCTATACTACATGAGCCCCGTAGTTGGCGGCATGGTTTCTGCAAGCTGCAATATGTCATATGAGAAGAACAGCTCAAGGGGACCCCTCGGAAGCACCCCATAGGTGAACCAGGAGCTTATCCGATCAACCTAGAGCCCACAGCCCACCATCGACCGGGCTCATGAACCCAAGTGCAAAAAAGGTGTGTGATGTAGTTCTTCGGTATGATGCAACCTTTTTTAAAATTACCTCTTCTATAAATAGATAGATCGCAGGCTCTAGACCGCCGAGCAAACGCGTCCGTGTGTTGTCCGCTCGAAGCAGAAAGTTGGACACGTATTTTTATCACAGACCCCTCCCCCTGCCAGGGGAATTCAATAACTTACACCAGACGCGTGCCCGTTTAAGACATTTCAGGCTTTTTAAGCTCTTCCCCGTGGGGACGGTTCTCACGTATCACAGCAGCAGGTAGCTCGATGCATGCAAGGGATGATATGATACCAGAGCTCTCGGAAGCTTAGCCCGGGCCCTAGAGAAAGTGGATGTGGCGAAAGCAAGGGGGCAACTCGGACGCATGCAATATTAACCTTATATCTCTAGCTTGGATAAGACCCATCCGTTCCTGAGTGGCTACCAACGGTTCATCTGGCAATAGTGTATTTAATGTCGTGATCTACCAGTTCTACCCCCTTGCCAGCGAATAAACCATGGATCTAGTTAAAAAGAGTTCGCGTTTTTCTAACCCATGCTAATAAGGACCGGTCCCGAGTAAAGACGATTTAGGGCGCGGGTCCCGGAATACCGTCGATTTGGCCCAGGATAGGAACCTTTACCGAGCCGTGTCATGCCGGTTGTGGATACGCCCACGATCGTCCCGCCCCAAGCAGCTAAGCTACAAATATCGTAATACGTACGACTTCATTTCGCCTTAAACTACCGTGCCATCTTCGTCAAGGAACCCTTGCGACCCTATCCCACAAATCGAGCGCGTATGACCTAAACGTCCAAGCAACCCCTACCACTGCTAGGTACGCCTATCCGATAATCACGATCCGGGACTTGGCATCTACCACAGAGCGCTCTAGCGGCCGGGCGATCCAATCGTGATAGTCGCAATATACGAAGCAGCAGGTCAATGTGTTGAGCGTGAATGGGTCCGTCGAGGCTGCTGTACGACGAACAGCTTTCCTGATGACCGACTGAGCTCCTGACGTAACCAAGAAAACATACGACATAGCGGGGAGCTCCTGGAGTGCTACCGATACGGTAGTCCGGGTTAGGTAACTTGGTGTATCACCAACGCCACTCTCGCTGACATGCTGTGTAACCGGTGCAATGTAGGAATTAATTGCACACCAAATTGGTCCGCGGGGCGTCCTTCGCAATCTCGGCCGAGAAGCTTGATCCCAAGAGTGAGCTTCCTCGGTACTATCGCGAAGGTCGTAATTCGATGGTCGGTTAGAAGGTAGACACGGAATCGCAAATGGAGAAGCACCGATTGTGGCCCTAGACAAGGAAGTGATTACTAGAATTTGCGTCTAAATCCAAAGAAAAAAGGTGTCGTGACCGAAGATCAAAAGCTCCAAGCTCCAAGCCCTACCAATATTCCAAGAAGCGAAACAATACCATACCCAGGTTGTGGAAAACTCTACCTTCTCTCCTAGATCTCATCTCTCGACTACCGTCATGCGCCGCGGGCTGTCTAGTCAGTTCCGCGAAGAGCACCAGGTGCTCAGCGGGAGACCTTCTTCCTCTCCGCCGGGATGAGGACTCGTTCATGACAGGAAAAGAACCTTTCTTCATCACAGACGCGCACCAACCATCTCCATCTCCATCTCTACCTCTATCTTCATCTTCACCATCTCCTAGTGCACCGTCATGGCGAGAACGGGTTCTCAGGAACCTTCTCCTTCTCGACATACACCGCGGTCCCGCAAACCGAGACCTGTATAAAACCCAAGACCTCCCTCTCCTCGAACGCGACGCCCACAACCGCATTCGCGCCCCTGGCCACGCAGTCGCGCGTCATGCGCTCGGCGGCCTGGTCGCGCGCGTTGTACATGATGTGCGTGAGGCTCTTGACCTCGCCGCCGGCCGCGCTAGCTTTCAGCAACGCCTTGGTGTCCTTGAGCGCGTACGTCGTGCTCCCGAACACGGCGCCGAGGACGCGGGACACGCGGTACCCCGGCAGCGTCGCCATGGTCGAGGTCAGGATCGCGGGCGCCGTGCAGTGCGGCTCGTTTTCCGGGCGAAGCGTGGCGAGGGTCGGGGGCGCGGTGGCGCCGGGCGTGTAGGATGCCGGACGCCCGTTGACGGTGCCGGGGACCATGAGGGTTGAGCGGCGGTTGGTGAGCATTTTGGGTAGGTGAGGCGGTTTTTGGACTTGGTGAGGGTTATCGTTTTGTTGACGTTTGTTATATGGATGTTTAGATAATACGACGATCAATTGGACCTCAGATGAGTAATGATTTTGGTGTTGCGCGTTGAGAGACGCGGTCAAGAACACGCGTAAGGGTGGATAGGGGTAAAAATTCAGCTCCAAAAAAGAAACGCGAAGTGATCGAAGTCGATGATATCTTTTAATCAGATCGACCTTCTCATGAGATCGTAGGAGATTTATCAGATCTCAAATTGGAAGACGAATTGGGGAACGACGTCATATCCATCGGTGAGGCCTCACGCCGTATCTTTGTAAAGCGAGTCGCTTGGAATTTCCCATCGTCTGAAACATCGCCTGCAACATTGCGTGAACTACCGTCTGGACATGCCTCGATCTGTTCTGAAAAGCCTGGCGCACGGCTAAAATTGGCGAGTATGGGGATCACACAGGGGTCTTGCTACATGCCAAGGCCCCCTGGTATGATTGATCGAAGCTCAAAGCAAGCTTCTCTGCTGGCCCCAGCCTGGCGGTACGGTGACGGCGTTACAAATTGCATGACGACCAAGAGGCAAGTGATGCTGTTGACGATGGGTATGTTTGGAATGGCAACAACAGAGTCGTGCTTTTAAGAGTCCCTGACATAAGCTTGTCCCCTGGACGACACTGTTAAGTGTCTCATTTATGCCGTCTTCACGAGCCATCGGAGATGTGAAAAGATTCAGTTAGAATCAGTCTTGGAATGGCTAGATTTTTGATATAAGTCGCCCAAGACCATCGACGGCGAGGCAGACTTGAGCCGACAGAGCTGCCATGGTATAATAACCGAGCTACCAACTGAAGCAGCTAAAGGAATTCCGAACGTTAAAAGTTTAGATCAACCAAGCGAGCTGCAAGGCTTGGTGAATATACAGGGAAGTTTTTAGACGTTTATTCATTGGCCAATTGAACATGGAATCATGCAAGGTCAAGAAAAGGTGAAGAAGGACGAAGCGAGTGTAGATGCTGATACCATCAGATAACAAACCTGGACATCGGCAATAACTTCCATAGGGCTGAGCTGAAAGTTAGCTTACATAATTTGTAGCTCATTTGGAATCTTCAATCCTCCAGGTTAGAGCTTAGGATGGCACGGACCACTATGAGATACCTGCCCGATCCTTCCCTTCATTGAATCTAATGGCATCATCCGGCAGGCGGGTGGCGGCGAATAGATTTGTCATTGTCTGGGAAAGCTCCCCCTCCAAACGTCACCACCCATCGGACCTGCATTGTTGACGACCTTCTATGTGGAATCAAGTCCGATATTTAAAAGGCAAGTGCTAGACAGCGTCTATTCCAGCTTCCGATACAATTAATCCCATCTTCGCCATCTCAAATTGAGTTCCAATTCCGACTTATGACCACACGACCAGCCGACAACCCCACCACGGAAACAACGACAGCTCCAACCACAACCACAACAGCACCAATAACCCAAATCCTCATCGCAACCGCAGTCGCAATCCTCGCAATGTCCTTCACCATGCCCACCTTCGCCTCGCGGCTCTTCCGCCCGCTAAGCACGCGCCTCGGCATAACGGCCGACACCTCCGGCGGCAGCGCGGTCGCGATCCCGGAGGGCGCCGAGAAGGCCACCGTGGCCGCGGGCTGTTTCTGGGGCGTCGAGCACCTGTACCGCAAGCACTTCGGCGACAAGGGCCTCTACGACGCGCGCGTCGGGTACACCGGCGGCGACCTGAACAACCCCTCGTACCGCGCCGTGTGCGGGGGCCAGACCGGACGTATGTTCCCCCCTTCCTCCCCCTTACCTCCCCGCTTCTCCCTTACGCCCATCTAAACAAACCAAACCGAGTAATACTAACACAACCCACCAAAAACAGACGCCGAAGCCCTCCAAATCCACTACGACCCCACACGCCTAACCTACCGCCAACTCCTCGAGTTCTTCTACCGAATGCACGACCCCACAACCGCGAACCGACAAGGGCCGGACGTAGGCCCGCAGTACCGGAGCGCGATCTACTTCCACGATCCCGAGCAGGAAACCGTCGCGCGCGAGGTGACGCGCCAGGCCAACGAGCAGTGGTACAAGGGCGGCGTCAAGACCGAGGTCGCGCCCGCGGGCCGCTGGTGGGACGCCGAGGACTACCACCAGCAGTACCTGCACCATAACCCGTCCGGGTACGAGTGCCCTTCGCATTTCTTGAGGCAGTTTCCGCCGCTGCAGTGATGAGGTGCGAGGAGAAAAGAAGTTGTGAGATGGCGGTTTGGTTGGGTTAAGTGCGGGACTGGAAGGATCAGTCTAGCTTTGTTGTTCTACTACCCTACGATATTACGACGGTCATCTATGATGGGTATGTTAAATGTCTGTCCACAAGGAGGTGGTATGAGGGTACAACCCTACATGTTCTGAAGGTGTTCCGGGGTTTCGTTGGTAATCCAATGACCCAATGGCTTACAGCACGCCTCTATGTGTTCAGCATCAAGGCAAATGTACGGAGAAATTCAGATAGCCCTCAAATTTCGAGGCTAGCATTTTCCTCATTATATAACACATTTAACACACCGTTATGCTAAATAGCAAAGCCACTAAGTTCTCCTTCGTGGCGAATCCGGTAACTCCGTGCCTTAATTTGATGCTTTGCATTTAATCGATTCATTCCTGACCCAAACACCTTCGCCCATGCAAATAACCCCATTTGTGCCGAAGCTGAGATGGTATCAGTGCTCGACATATGCATCAGCCCCCCTCCACTTCCATTATTCTCATGGATTACCACAATCCTTTCTGCGTCGTACTTGGGTTCGCCGTAGCCAATGCTCAGCAATCGGCGTCCTCCAGCGGATCCGGATCTTCGTACCATCCCGTGGCGGGATTGCACGTATGCCCTTGGGTCCAATTAATGTACTTGTCTAGACCGACCTTTGCTCTCTCTCCCCAGACGTAGTTTGCCATTCTTAGACCATCGACGGAGCTGATCTTGGGACGATAATCCAGGCGCGATGGTAGATCCTCAAACGCCTCGCATATGTCCCCATGTACATGCCGCCTAACCTCTCGACCGGGTCGCACGTCTCTATGACTGTCCCACTGACTGCAAAAATCGATTCTACCAAGATCTATCCAAGAGGTGAGAACAAATCCCCAATTGAATGGCTCAGGTAAGGGAACAACGTCAATGCTAAAGTCTGTGGTGCAGTTGGCACAGCCTAGGACCTCGCCTAAGAGAGGGTGCACGTCCGTTGGGTTATGCCGTGCGCCAGAGACTACCCATTTGAGGCGTTCGCAAATGATGTGGCCCTCCTGCTTAGATACGTCCAGGGGTTCCTTGCTGAAGCAGGCTACTTCATGCCTCGTGATGTTTTGCCGGATATGATCATTTTTACACAAGGGATTGACCAGTTGCTGTATCAATGGCTGGTACACGGAACCCCAGTTACCATGATTACACATCGGGTAGGTCTTCGGTAGTGATAGAAACGACAGACCAGTCCGCGGCGGATCTTTAATCATCTGCCCGAATAACCATAATGACAGAGCTGACTTGTCAACGGACGAAACAACCTGCTGTCGTCGTAAAATCAAGTCGCTGTTGCGGTAGCGCGCTCTCAAGGTGACTTGGACTAATATTCCCTTATGATAAGTTGTTTGCGTGTTGTTGACCTGCTGCAAAAGGTGCCTATAGGGAGCGCCATGGAGACGACGTTTGCTGATGGTACGGAGAAGCTTCCTAGTAGCACGCGGCGGCATATGATGATCCATAGACCAATCAGCACATCTAGCAGCTTTGTGTGGAGCATAGGCCCGGTCTATGAATGGTAGGAAGGGGTCGTGGATCCGTTTACACTTATAGCAGTAAACGAGATCCTCCAGGTCGTAGTCGATAAGGCTGAGTAGGGTTCCACGAATCTTGGTCTTTGATGCATCGGTCTTCTCAATAAATTTGTTTAGAACACGATAGGACACTGGCTCGTACGGTTCTGTAATCCCGGTCTTCATGCATGAAGTCATGAATCGGTACATCAGTTCCTTGTTGACGAGTGCCAACACTGCGACATTAGCTGCTCCTAAGTAACTGGTTATGTGGTCGAACAGCTCTTGTGGAAGAAGCAATAGACCGGAGACTTTTTTCTCGGTTTGCTGTCCTGATGAGAGGACAATGACGTTCCTAGACTCGACATCTTGAGCAACTGTGTTACGACTATTGTTGGTTAAGGTGATGCCGAGGCCAGTGGAGCTGGTAGGGTTGCCAATTGATGATAGATCGTCATTGTCAACGAGAGAGCTGGGTTGATGCGTGAGTCGTTTTATAGATAGTTTGCTTATTATATCTCTCAATTTACGAGACTTCGTTAATTTGGAACGAGCGTGGCTTGATGATAGTTAGCACTAATTTGACCGGCAATGATCGTTTTCGGTGCCGCGCCGAAAAAGCGCGGCGTGGTTGGGGATCCGGAGATGGGGCTGAGCTTCTAGCTTCCAGGCCATAATAGGATTGGGAACCTCGGAGGGCGGCCGCAACTGTCAAGATGCCTACCTGAGAAGGTAGACCTGGGGATATGAATATTGGGAAAGTAGAAGAATGACTTACCTGAATATCTTTTTTCCGCTGAATGAGGACATGGCCCTTATTCAAGTTAAACGAGGGTTCCAATCTAATTGGAACCCTCTCTACCTACGACTACACCGACCTGATATCTCAAGTATGTAGGTAACGGATTGTAGAATAAATGGACGAAATCATTACGATAATGTCACGCGTCGCGAAATAAAGAGCATAACATTAAATGTGAATTGAAGATGTGAGATTTTTAAGCTTGAATTAGGCGGGAAAAGTGAATCGTAGGTAGGTGCTTAATCATTTAATGTACTTGACTCACATATGCAGGTGCAGGTGCAAGTCATTCGGAGGCAGAAGCCTGAGGAAGGTGCAACTAGTATCGATATGTAAGTATTGAAAGGGACAGGGGGTTGGGAAGTTCCCTCTCACCGAAGGAGTCAGTCCTGGAGGAAAGGGCAACAGCAGTTTTCGGATTTAACGGCCCATCGTTTTCAGGTCTCAGCCTCAATTTTTTCAATAGAATCGTCAAACTAGGTAAGTACAGTGTAAACGGTCCCAGCTCTTGCCTGTCAGTTAGCAGCTATCTACCAGGTACCTACCATCTACGCACACGGCACGTCCGAGCTTAATCTCAATAGCCTCCTATCGTACATTGAGCACAATGTGGTAGGTATGACTGTACGAGATGTAAGTACTGGGTAAGTTCCAGTTTATTTAAGCGACTAAGCGACTTCCAAGGTTTTAAAGCGCTTCCAGGCCCCCCAAAAGGAGAAATGGTTGGTAATGAATTTGCATCTTCTCTCTGCTCAAACTCGGATGTCAAGTCACCTGAGAATGTCACATTGCCAATCAAATAAACTAGAGCGCTTCGTCCACATAATTCGTCAGAACAGGGATCCTTGGCGCATGTGAGACATATCACATATCTATTTCCATCGTCTCCCTAACCACAGGAATCAATTTTTATTACGTCTAATAAGAACAAGGACATGTACGGTAATCGAATTTTCCATTATCAGGGTGTGATGCAAAGCTGCGGTTTTTATTTACATAGCTCGTTGGTACATTTATACAACCCTAGACAATTTGGACGTTTGACGTTGTCTCTAGTAGAGAGGAGAGTTTGTATTCTGCCTCCAACATTCTGATTAAGTCTGTATGCGAGTCTGTCTCACGAGCTAATCCTCGCATATTCGAAGAATCCCATTTCTCTTCGTTCACCGTCATGGCGCCCTCCTAGCTTTTATGTGACCTGTCCTTGATATGATTCATCCCTTTTACTTCCTGCGGTTTTGCTGCATCATCAAGATCTGAACCATCCGAATGAAGATGTTCAAGAAGTCCAACTCCAGCGATATACTCTCGTTAACCGGGTCCTTCTTGATGATGCCCTGCTCGGCAAGGCGGGAGTGGTATAGGATCTTCTGAACATCGTACAGCGTGAAACCGCCGAAGACCGCTAGACCACCGTACAGCCAGATGTTCTCAGTGAATGCCAAAGTTCGGGCGGCAGTTACCGGGATGACGAGAGGAGCAAGACCCGAGACGGCAACGATAGCCGCACCTGCAAGAAGAGGACCACCGATGTACATGTACTTCTCCTGCTTAGCGGTGGCGCCGACGAACGAGATAGAGCCCATCATGGCGACGGTGTAAAGGCCGGCACGGGCGATCAGGGCACCAGGCGCAAATGCGAGGAGAGGTGCGACGAAGGCAGCCTGGGTGGCATTGAACGCAGTCCACAGTGCGTACTTGGGGACGTAGCTATTCAATGTTAGATCGATATCGATTTTAAGGAAGGGAGAAGGGACCGATAATACTCACTTGTCAGGGTCAACGGCTCGAGTTCCGAGCATGGTACCGAAACTAAGAGCCAAACCACCGATAGCCACAGCCCAAGGATTTGTCACCATCAATCTGTAGACAAAACCACTGTGGATCATCTGTCGCGCAGTAAGGCCGATAATACCGATACCGAGGCCAGTGTGGAGGAAGGTCGAGTTCAGGTAAGATCGCTCAAATGCCGGCATTCCACCGTCCTCTCGTGTCTCGCGGTTGAAGACAGCATTGATGGCGATAAGAGTGCCGCCGAAGATTGCGCCACCCGTAAGCAGCCGACGCATCGTCGAACCCGAGTCGGCCGCAGGAGCAGCAGTCGGCTGGATGTAGCTCCTCGACGATTGCGCAAATGCATTTTTCGGCGTTGATCGCGCTAGCGTTGATGCGACAGTGGTTCGCGATGTGAAGAAGTTGGATGGCCTTGCGGATTGATGGAATGCTCGGATGGGAGCTGCCGATCGGAAAGAGCTTTTCGTGAGCTCTGGCAATCTAGAAGCGAAGCGCGCGGGCCCCGCACGAATCGTGATTGTGAAAGACATTGTCGCTTTTGACAAGCAGTACTGTAGAGGTTGTGGTTGTTCACAAAAGAAAAGGTGGAATAGAATAAAATGTTGTTTGAGGAAGAATGTAGATGATGGCAATGAGTTAATGTTCTGGTGCGGGAAGTAGCTGATGTAATAGACCACTTGCTACTGGTGTGCAAAGGTGGGAGCGGAGAATGAACTGGAAAGAGCCCACCGGTTTCTATAAATTTCTTAACTCCGTTGTTCCGATCGACTTCATTATGTAATCCACAGCTAGACCAAAATTGGAGAACATCAATCCCCCTTTTTAGTTTCTTTTCCTCATCTTCTTTCTTTTTGGCCTATTATCTCATAATTCCTCCCCAGGAATATTATCGCTGGACCTTTGCTACTGTCAATACTCTTGCAAGATCAGGTGCCCAACAGCAGCTCTATAATCAACATGAAGCAATGCCGTACGAGTGCAAATGGGACGGAGTAGCGGAAATGGAAGAGAGAATTCAATCAAAATAGTTGGTTGGAAGGGAAATAATATGCAAAACGACACTTGGAACAGGGACGGGTCAATCACGAAGAATGGGACTGCGAAGCCATCAAGACAGTGACTACCTCTTAAAGCGACAATTATCGGCGTGGAGAACTCGTTCACTGAAGAACTACCAAGGTGTGGTAGCGACTAGGCTATTACGGAGGGATCAATTTTATCCCCATTCTTGATGTGGAAGATAACCTTTACGGAAATGAGGAAGATGACGACACATCCATCAGTCGTCCAGAATGACAGTTCCTAGATAGGTCAAAGAGTATGAGGTTCTAGGATCTGACCGCCAAGGATGGGCTTCCCCGTGCCTCAAGCACCTGCTAAGACAATATGACGAAATCCCTCTATCGAAAACCGACCCAGAAATTCAGGTTTGACAATATCAGTTAGTGAGTCCCCTATAACGACGGTTAAAGTTAGAGTCTATCTTAGCCGGCGATCGACGTTACTATCTACCTGGTTCGTTTAGCCGTCGACATCCAGGACTACATATCCGTCTCCTTTCTATTCAAATCACCTGATTCAGCGGCCGGGACAAGTACGTATGGCCGGTTTCAACTTCAAACACCGTCCGGCTAGGGACGGCCGACGCTCCCGTACTTCGGCAATTGATCCAGACATTCCGGAATATTACTGAGGCACCGCCGCATGTGCGCTAAGTTTAGTCAACCAGCCGATATCAACAATGGTAATTCGACATTTAATGTCTTACTTTTCACCGAGGACTTTCCATCACTTCGGAATGATTCTGTCAGACGGGTTACGAGGCTCGGGTGCATTGTCCTTATGCGCCGATTTTAAATTACTTCTGAGCACCGATATGTCACACTTGGAACAACCTCCTCGTCTAAGTGTATTTTAGTGCGATCTAATCAATATAGGAAATGAAGCAACCGCAGTGGAGATAGAAAGATTTTTATGATAAGAACCGCGCATTAGTTGCTGGAGGGGTTCAACAATTGTTTGTGACATCTCCCAATCGTAGCCATCTCATCATAGACGCTAACCATGTATAATTCGTAACGGTGACTCCTTCGTGTCAGACTCTAGATAGCTGCCTGGCAACTGCAACATACTTAGCCTGTACTATTGTTCAGATAGGACTTTGATCACGGCACAGTTCTAATCAAAAGGTTAGGTGCCCAATTAATATCTACTGGCTTACGACGAGAAGCGGTTCTCGGGTTTCGTTCGACCACAAATCAGCCCCGGGAAAAACGTAATCGTTGTGGCGACCCAACGCCCGGTTCAAAAATGGGGTCATCCGAGAATCTAGACCGAAGAAACCAAAGGCGATACTACTTGAACGATTTTAGATTTCCCAAACAGGAACGCTCAACGTCTAAATATCCACTGACCCTCTACCCTTCGGAATCGTTACCGACTCAAGTGTCTGCGTAAAGAGGATACCTTTGAGCGCTTAGATAATAGACACATCATGTTTGATTGGTAGGGTAGAATGATATAGGTAAAATCGCATCGTGTTCCTGATCCAGCTAGGTAACATGGGTCTTTCTGTGGATACCTAAAGCTCCGAAGGGATGATCAGACGCACACAAGATGAGATCCAGATTGTTGGTACATACCCCGAATGCGTCGTAAAGTGACGCGGTCGTATTTTTTTCAGCCCCAGTGATACAGTATAAAATCCTGAGGGAACAAGTAAATGAGCGTTCCATCTAAACGAAGGAAGGGATTTTGGATTGATCTTTATATATAGGTAATTATAAGGAAGTTTTGTTCCGCCCCGGAGTGTGAGAGATCTCGATTTAGGCACCAGCGATCAAGATTCTTATTACTTACGTAGAACGCATATGCCATAAAATAATCCATCGGGGTTAGTTTGTAGATTCGATTTCACACTAGCCATGATCTTTCGTTTATCTCGCTTACCTACTTCAGATGTCGGCATGTGGCCCAGTCTCACCACGTAGGCCATCTAGGGTGGTAAGAAATTCATCTTCCACGAAAACCATAACAGCCAACCAAAAGTTACCTACGTAAAATATCATACATTTTGATAGCGCCAAGTTACAATCAACTCTTTCCCATACCGAGTTTCCTCCGCTAGTTCAGCTGCTAATATATAGCTTGAATGGAGCTTTACCATGCCTGTTCCAAATTCTACCCGTCGATATCCATATGTGGATGTTTGCCTTTACTTCGATAATAGTTGCGTATAGATCCACACCTCCCTGGTTCCTGGGTAAGTATCTATATATATATACCACGTATACCGTAATGCTTTTCTCACATCTCCAGGCTAACAGTTAGTATAAATCCGAGATATATTCGTATGTCCGCTGATTCTCTATCTAGGGAGCCATAACAATGATTAGGCAATGGCCGGAAGGCACATAAGCGCGGAAGAAGCCCTTGCAACTAGCTGAAGCGCTCGCCTCAATAACGAGTGCCTCGGAGCTCGAAACCACAAGATCTATATAGGTGTCAATAAATCCGATAGCCCAATGGGCAACTTCCTGAAATGGGTACCTCCGACGGTCCGACTCCGACGGGCCAACGGGTGCGGTTACAGCCTCACAATATGTGCCATTAAATTAAATTCGCGGAGTACTCTACATAATACATATGCTTAGGGAAGTCTGCAGAGACGGGTACTCCCACGAACGTTCCCCCTTGCTCCCGCTAAGCCACGCTACTCTTTATCGTTACAGTGCTATACCATATGAGTGACCACCCTTGATCACCCTTGCATCCTCGCCTCCGCCGCTATGGTATAGAGACATGTGATGCCAGGTTTACCACGTGGGATCGTACTAATTTTGGCCAGTACCTAGATCAATGGGTAGGGATTTCTTCAGCTACCCAGCTTGTTTCTAGACTTGTCAGATAATAGTAAAAGAGCCTACAGCAAAGTTCATACCAAAACCATGGTAAGTACCAGACTATCGAAGTACATAATGGAGGTAGACCCATACTAAAGCCTTCCATCGCTTCACATATATACCTACCTAGGATATCTTATGGGAGATACCCACAAATCTGATGGGAAGTCATAAATATCTACTAAAATGATATTAATCACCATATTAAGGAGATTTTTCAATTACCAAGGACTGTTTAAGTTGGGGTTCGGATTATCGAGTGAATACAAATATAGATATTGTTATCAGAACAGTATGTTTCGTACGAGCTGACCAGGGAAGGTCGATCCCACGAAGAGCCGCAGCACAAGGCGTGACCTGAGTACCTTCACATGGAAGCTAAGAATGCAAGGTGAAGAGGTAAAGTGGTACAGTGCAAATCCATGTGTTAGTGTAGCGGATCTGTCAAAAGAACCTACGGACTTCACAGTCGGAGGATGCTTCGCCTAGACTAGGGAATTGGATGGGTGTTCAGCTGGTGACAAATGGATTTCATATGAGGAAATATATGGTCACGACCGTTGTAGGTAGGAGATCCTCTTATGGTCTGTCATCGTCCTTACTTCCTCTACTCAACTACCTATATAGATAGACCTGGGCCCATGGACATAAGCCCCAGTCACTGTTAAGTTTCTCGAGTGGCTGACTATCTAGATGAAATACAGTTTAGGATAAGACATATCCTCCCTGTATATTCTCTAATTGCACAATAGCTGACCACAATTGGTTAGCATTTTATTCTGTTCATCATGTTAGACCTTTTGATTCAACCTATATTTTCCATCCCTCAGGCTTGTACAGCTCTCCTCTTACTCGTTGCTTTATTCGTTCTATCCAAAGTGTTCTATCGATTATTTTTGAGTCCTTTATCCAAGTTTCCAGGCCCGAAGTTCGCGGCCGCAACAAAGTTGTACGAAGCATATCATGTCCTAGTAAAGAATGACTGGTTGGAAAACTTGAGGAATCTCCACGAGACATATGGTAAGTCCCCAGAAAAACACATTAGGCGTGTTGGAATCTGTACTAATAAGTATTACAGGGCCTGTCGTTCGACTAGGGCCAAACGAACTTCATTTCTCTGATCATGAGGCGTGCCTCCAACATCACAACAGGTCAGACTTGAGAAAGTGTGACAATTACTATGGTATTCTGGACACGCTACTGGGCGGCCTTGCTCTTCCCCAAGCTCATAGTGAACGGAAATCTAAGATACAGCCACTATTTACCGGATCAAACCTTGCAGCTTATTCAGGTACCGAAATGAACACGCAGCTTGAGACGTTATACGAAAAACTCACTTTCTTCTCGGAGATGAAGACTTCTCCAACCAACTTAACGCACGTTCTATGGGCTTATACAAACGACATTATGACATCGTACCTCATTGGCGAGGACCTGGGATTTATGAACGCCTCTGACTTAATCGCCATGCATGACTCCACGAGAGCTTTCAGCGCAATTGATCTAGCTACAGTGCTACGATCCATGCCCCCATTGAAGAAATTATTGGACATATTCCCATCTCTTCGCAAACTATCACCGCTCGCCTGGCTTGACGCAGTAAGTATTTAATTAGTTCTTGACCCCATTATCTACTTATAGCGGACACAACACTTACTCCATATTAGCTTGCAGGCTCGCACCTAGAGCGAATCACGAAAGGCGATGCCCTCGGCCCCCCTGAAAAGGGGCACAAAAACGTACTATCGCAACTCTGGCGACAGATTGGCAACGAGCAAATCGTTATCCAAGAGGCTGCACAAGCCATTTTCATCGGCAACGAGTCGCTAATGAGCAACCTAACCTTCTTGTTACATAACATGATACAGAATCCAGACTGTATCACTAGACTGCGAGCCGAGATCGATCGTAGCCTAGATGTAGGAACTTACGGACACCAAATCTGGCGCGATCCTAAAGTCCTACAGCTTCCTTATCTGGTAAGAAGATTCATATTGTCATTCCTATTACCGCTCAAATCGCAAATCAGGGACCAAGAGGAAAATGAAAGAAAGGATTCTAATCTTAATTGTAGGATGCATTATGCAGAGAATCAACGAGGCTCAGCTCACCAGCGTGGCACCGTCAACCGAGACAAACATCTGAACCAGTAACCTACAACGAAACTGTCATACCGCCAATGGTGAGTAACAAACATCCCATGTATAAGTAACATATCCAGTTTAGAGCTAACCTTTATAAAGACAAGTCTAAGCTTCACGCTGCATCTTTTAGAACGAGATCCGGTCCTATATCCCGAGCCAGAGACGTTTAAACCAGACCGCTGGCTCGGATTCGGGCCCAATGCCCGAAAATTGCGAAATAATTCGGTGACCTTCGGAACTGGTACAAGAACCTGCCTAGGACAATTGTAAGTCAAGCGCCTAGCTCCCACATGCTTTTGCCTTTTTGCATATATGTGCAACCAACATGAATCCTTTGCTGACATCATCAAGCATCGCTCGCCACGTCCTACGAAAGACACTGGTAGCTGTTTTGTACAATTTTAACATATCTCTCTGGGACGAGAAAAGGGATAGGGCGGAGGGATTTAGATATTTGGACACTTATCCCAAGAAGGGACACGAAGGATATCTCAGAGTGAAACTTACGCCACGATTTGGTGAAATCTAACTTCGAGGTTAGTATACTTATTTATTTTTCTGCGTAAGGGTGTTAAAAGGCCAGTGTATATAAGGAGGCCAATTAAAAATTGACTATCGGTCATCGGCGGTCTGGTTCGGCTTTGGGGAATCAGCACAGCGTTTTACAAGAGTTTCATTTTAGGATATAGATGCTACGCACAATCAGAATTTTTTACAATTCTATTCATCTATCAAACATTTCTCTGGGCCTCATCCTGCCCGGACTAATTTGCCGGTCGATTCATGTTCCCATTGAGGCCGACTGTCAAAAGTTTAATAAGTGGATTAAGGAGTTCCCACAATATCCCCGGGACTGCAGCAAGCCCACCATATACTTGTAGCATCAGTGGTTTAGTGGTAAAATCCATCGTTGCCATCGATGGGCCCCGCGTTCGATTCGCGGCTGATGCAACTCTTCTTTTTGGGACCGATCTACATCAAGTTTTCATCCGGTTGTCTTTTGCTTTCGCGATGGTGTCGATCATAAATACGCGACACTGGTTCTTGTGGAAGCGACACTAACTACTATTTTAAGGGATAGATGAATGATAAAACTTAAAAAAATCTCCCAACAGTTATTCCTAGTAGCCAACGATTGCTAAACCCTTTCTGATATTCTTCAATATTAATCTTGGAGGGATATGGTGGATTCCGCACGTCCCATTTTGGTAGGGCTGCAGGGACTTCATTACCAGCTGCGTGGAGGATTATGGCTGTGAAGTTGATCTCTGTCAGACCTGGCTCTTTTCGGTGGATTGTATATTAATGAAATGATATCATTGGATTCCTAAACCACCTAGTTATTTTCTTCATTAAATCCGTGCCTCTTCGATTAGTCATGTGTTATGCTACATTCCCCAGCCTGCTCTTTGTAGAGATTTTATGGGGGCCGGAATCTACGGGTACCTTATGCTAAAACCTCCACGGGGCGATCAAGTTTAAAAGCTTTTCGTATCTGCAAGGTGCCCTTCGCCCATTAAATTCAGATATATTAACTAGTGCCGGCTCTTTGATTAGTTGACATATTTTATGGCGGATTCTTGTCGAATCTACCTACCTCGCTTCACTTATACCTACTTAGAATAAGCGGCAGCGGTTGCTGTTGACTTCAGGAGATCCTTGTTCCGAAGCAACATTCGCGACTACACACGATCAACCCCAGTTAATGTGTTAGAAAGCTTTCCTAGAAAGATGCGTCCTTCGAATATACCGTGCTGGGTCGTTTTGATGGCCACTACATCATTTGCCCTTCCGAACCAGCTCCCAATTCTCAACAGGGAGTTAACCAAAAAGGTCATGTTAAGCGACTTGAAGGTATCGGTTCTGATGCCTACGGGTTGTTTCTGCGCGGGCGGTTCAATGTGCTGCAACCTAGGTGACGATATAAACTGCAATTATGGCATCTGCGGTATGGGAGCTTGAAGGGCGGGTAGCAAAAGAAATGGTTACCCCGAATGTCGATGGCCAATACATGGGTACCGGTAACATCGACTATTACCCGCGCAGTCGGACGGCCTACTTCATGGCATCAAGAGTTGCCGGCTTTTGACATGTGCCTACGGAGAGCAATCTTCGAAGTCTAGTCGCGGGCCTATCACTTCGGCCACACACATCCGCCCCGTTCCCGCCTCTAGCACCGCGACTCACTTGCCTAGCCATCCCGGCAAGGGCCCCGTGGCTTAAATCGACTTAAACTCTTATACGCTGGCAGAGTTGCCCTTCGAATTCGAGTAGGAGGCATAGGTCACCCTGAAGTCGCGAATGGATCGAGACGGGATTTTAGTGGGAAGTAACTAGAGCGTTGTGCCATGCTAGTTAGCGATCTGGGATAAGGAGGGGGATTGGCTACCTAGTCACAACATACCCGTTCCGATTCAACAAAAACAAGAAACCTCTGGATACTTGATAAGATCAAGATACGTTGATACCGTGCTATGCGCTACACATGCATAGGTCAGTGTCATATACTCAACTTTTCAATATCTAACTTATAATACTATCATTTATGGGCATGCCACCTCATTATATCCAATCAAATGCTCTAGAGGAAGTTAGATAGGGATAGCGTTGATAGAGATCGGATCTAGAATCACTGGTGAATGGTCTATGGGACCTGGTCGTTCTCATCGACAGGGATGGCGAGCTCGTATCTGAGTTACTAGGTCACTGTTAGAAATTCGTAGCATCGAGGGTGAAACTCAAACTGACCTGAACGTCAGAAACATGGGTGATGTTACCAACACGAGATACTTTCACCCCCACTGGGTTTCTGGAAACTCATCACCTTCCATTCTAACGATCTTCCGTTGGTGTTCTAGAAGCCAGACATCGCCCTATACGCTCGAAAGTGGTCTATCATGGTATCCAACACATCTGCCAAGATAACGCCACGACTACTGTCAAATAGGGAGTTCGAATTGAATCTGCACCTTCCCGTTGTGGACCAGTTATGATCATTATAATAATAAGAACACTTATAAGCAAGACACGCACACGTACGTAGCTTTCGGCCGTGTTGGTATCAATGCTGATATCCCTGGTCCGTACTTCGTCTATGATACCAGGAGAGTCGCATCTCAACAAGTTGATTTGAATTATTAATCTAGTCTGCCTTGTCGCTGCGAGGGAGGGCGAACCTGGTCAGATCCATGGATGTTACATCACCTGTGCGTCCACTAAGCACTATGCACAACACCATCGTCTGAATGAGACGATGGTGGGGGAAAACGGCGCTAGAATTCTTCTCGAAGCCCGTCAGAGTCGAACAGTCAGTCGTCTTGGCCGTGGGGTGGCCAATCCCCCTCGATTCGCCAAGGGTACCAGAAAATGGTGATTCGGGAATGGTAACAGAACGCAGGGGCAAAAGTAGTGAGATGTAACCCGCGAGATCGCCGACCGGGATTTGATCAAGTAGCTTGGTTACAGTAATTCGAAGTGTCCAATATTGGACGCGCCAAAAGTTCCTCGCGGATCCAGTATATTGATGGGATTTGTCTGCAAAAGTACGCCTGAGATGACAGATCTTCGTTTCTTGTGTCGAGTTTCTTATCCTGTCCGTTTCAGGTCTTATGCTGACATGCTCAGCTAACAGTGTTGGTTGTATGGAAGAATACCACCTATTTCTACCACGTGGCTTTGCCCAATGCTGATTGCTACCTCTACGGACGGCGTACCTATGCCCCTGTCTCGTAATATTTTACTTTTCCACCCTTCATATTCTCTCGCTTTTCCTTGGCGGACACTCGTAGTATTAATAGACGTAGAGAACGCGGCGAAGGAAAGGAGTAATTGCCACGCTTACACTTTGCTGCAGGCTGTGGGCCGCCACTGACAGACGCGGTTTGAAGATGATTCCAATTGCGAAGTTTGGTGTTCAAGCATAGAAACCGAACATCTATACTTAGAGATTGGTGAGCTTATATGTTGTATAGGTACCTACATATCGCTAAGAAAGAGCCGAGAAAGACGACGCCAGCTTCCAGTGATGCGCAGATAATGTAGAGGCTCCAATTGATAGGGAAGACCTCCTAGTATTATATAGTGATCAAATTGTTCATATCGAGTATCCATTTCCATTTCATACATACATACATACATATATACATACTCCTGCTTCAAGCCGTGGCGTTTTACGCTTTCATATATCGGATCCTAGCAGTAAGACGGGTACGGTACTACCCCCGGCAGTCGTGGACTTTTCAGCTAGGTAAGTGCTAAACTTAGCAACCGAAAAGTCCTCGTCGAGACAGCTTTAGAGAATCCCAAGCATCCCCTAAGCATCCCCTAAGCATCCCAAGCGTGGAGGGGTTGTTTCGGCGCCAGTATGTGCTCCGTGCTGCGGCTCGTTACCCACAAAAAACTTAGTGATCTCCAAAAATCCTCTGGTGCTAGGCCTATCTCGTCTCTAGCGTGACGAATAGAAACGGATGAAGAATAAGGCCCCGCTCTCCACCCACACTTCGGGGTAGATCCGCACAGCTCGACGGCTTGTCTCAGACTCTCGTCATTTTCTGGCCCTACCGTCCTCAGCGTCCTCGACCTGTGCCTCCGCCGCCTTTCCTTAATTGACATGCCGTAATCACCGTCGATGTACCTCTGGCACATAACATGCACACCGACTACTAAGCTGGTAGACTGGCAGCCGGCTTCTACGATCCCGCACCAGGCTGTGGTTGTCTGCGGATGCACTGCGCGAAACAAAAGTCGCATACGACAAAGAGACGTCGTCTCCCACACACGCATACACACGCATACACACACATACACACACACACACACACACATGCACATCATAATTTAGGCTCTCGCACCGAACTGAGTTTTTCTCGCCATCCCGCCTTGAAATGTTTGTTGCTGGCATCATTGTTGTTGTTTGTAGTCCTAGTCAGACTCACGCTCACCCCTGAGAAAGGACGTAGATCTAAGGATAATCCGAACTTGTCCACTCTCTCTTCTTTCTCACCCCCGTATTACGCACTGTCTGTCCAAAAGGCAAATCCTCTACTACGTACAAAGTAACCAAGTAGCACTCTTCGGTAAATGCTTGCGCCTTCTCGTCCATGTTCGGCGTTTTGAATTGATAACCACGAACTACCATACTGGAACTACCATAACACTCTATTTTCTGTCACGGGGAGTCAATTGAGTATCGGTATCGATATCGAGGAGCTTACCTACCGACCGATTGGGCATGCGACTCATTTGTAAGTTTCTAATTGGTGATGCGACTTCTCCCAGAATTCTAGAATATCGGAACCAAAACTAACCAATGCCACGCCTGCGATTAGGAAATCAATAATATTAAACTATCACCCAAACAACAATATTCCACGAAATCACTCTCCGAAATCCTAAGCACGCGACTGCGCTCCCGGCCATGCATCTTCATTTCCTGGACTGATATTCGTAATCTTCCCGAAACCTTTCCATAGCACACGAGACACGCGAAGCACACGAGTCGAGTCAACCTTCTGCGATATCCTGCTAATGACGCCGGGACACCTCTAGCGTCAGAAGCTCGACCTCATAGATACAATTCCGATATATTACTCTAGCTCCCGTGCTTCCGCTCTGGTTTCAACCAAGATCGACGCTCCCCACATGACAGATTAAGGGTGTCATAGAGGAGGACCCCCAAAACACGCACCCCGTCTCTGGCGCCGCTGCATGGGAGATTCTCGGCAGGCTATAGCATGCACCGTTCCTTGCCTAAAGTATCAGACGAAGCTTTCCCCTCAATTTAGGGAGATCACAGGTGACCTCAAGCCAATATCAATATCCGCCGTTGAGGGGGAAAGAGGTCCGAATAACTGAAACGCGCATCTCTCGGGATCTGGCACTGGGCATCGTAAGAAGTAAGCATATTAGGCTTTGACGCCAGGGCTCCCAGAGCAGTCATGAGGCGGAACAGAGTGCCGCACTCTCCGCCTTCGCCCTATAGGGCCCTGGCCCACCACCCGGCTAATGGCCAGCCTCCGGATTCCGCCTCCTTGATTAGGTCATTCAACAGCGAGACGAACCCGACCCGGCCGATACGTCCCTCCCCGCTCACGGCCTCGACCATACCTGATATGCCGCTTGATCTGCTCGATCGCATGAGGTCTTTCCCGCTCTTCATGTCAGCCCCCGAGGAATTCCTCGTCGCTATCGGAAGGCATTTAAGACCCCAAGTCCACGCAGCGCACGACCACATCTTGACCGAGGGCGACGAAGCAAGAGCTATGTACTGGCTGGTTAGAGGCGTCGTTGGCGTAACATCGCGTGACGGCGAGGCGGTATATGCAGAGTTAAAACCAGGCGCCTTTTTTGGGGAGATAGGCGTTCTTATGGATATGCCACGAACCGCCACCATCATCGCGCGCACAAAATGCCTTCTTCTCGTACTCAAGAAGGAGGACCTTCACTTAGAGTTACCCAAGTTCCCTGACATGGAGAAGGCGATCAGAGAGGAGGCGCACGAACGACTAACCATTCTCAACAAGAAACGCCAGGAGAATGGACGGAGTGTCAAGGGTGCTAAGGGGTCAGTCACGACTAGAGATGCCGCTCCTGGTAAAGTGTTTACGGGAGAAGTTGGCGTCATCAAAGAAGGGGCCGTAAAGAACACCAAGAAGAGGAAATCGCCGAGTCCGGGCGCTCTCGAAGATGCGGCAGCAGGAAGTGCGCTGGGAAGCGGCCTCGTAAATGTGCGGCAGACGCTTAAAGAGCTCCCGTTATTTTCGACGCTGCCTCCCGACATCCTCCATTTTCTCGGAATGAGCGCGCAGCCCAAGACCTATTCCCCTTTTACAGACATCATCAAGCAAGGATCAGCCGGAAACGAGATCTACTTCATAGTGCGAGGCGAGGCGGAGGTGATTCACGAGGTCCCCGGAGGGAAGCAAGAGAAGAGGATAACGAGGTCATCTTTAATTAGGCCACGTCTAAGACAGGGGCAGTATTTCGGGGAGGTTGCTAGCTTGGGCTTGTCGGTGCGACGAACTGCGACTGTTAGATCCATCACAGCCGTCGAGTGTCTTATGATCAGCGGGGAGGCCTTAGAAGAGCTGTGGAAGCGATGTCCCCCGGACATCAGGAAACAGGTTGAGGACACGGCAAAAACTAGGATCGGACAGAAAGACGAAGACGTCGAGATGAAAGATGCGGAGCCTACGACTAATCACGTCGCATCACCATCTACACCTACAGGAGCAGGACCCACGCCGAAAGTCACCTTCACAACACCTTCCAAACCGGCATCACCAGTCAAGGACGAAGCAGATCAGATGGAACCAAAAGATCCGGATCCGTATCTAAGTGTCGACATGGAAAACTTGAGAAATCGCAGACGTGGATCTCTTGCTCCACCAACACCACAACCTCCTGAATCTTCAGGCACACCTATGACTAATGGTTTGCGCTTGCGCGTGATCGATACATCCACTACAGCCAGATTCCCAGTCGTATCGGTGTCTCCAGACTCGGAAGTGCCGGCGAAGAAGGCTAAGATCTTACCCAACCGGCCACATCCGAGCCAGGAACCTCTCCTCCCCGACGACATTCTAGTAACAATTTTCCAATTCCTCGACCTCGCCGAACTCATTCGTATGCGACAGCTCTCTTCTCACATGCGCAAGCTCCTCGCCGAGTCACCGAAGCTATGTACTGACGTGGATCTAACACCTTACAACCGCTTCATAACAGACGAAGCCCTCATCAACGTCATTGCGCCGTTCCTCGGACCGCGGCCGGTCTCGATCGATATCAGCAACTGTTTCCACATTACCGACGAAGGCTTCTCGGCGCTGTGGAAGATGTGCGGCAAAAACATCAAGATCTGGCGAATGAAGTCTGTCTGGGACGTCTCGGCCAACCAGATCCTGGACATGAGCGACAACGCCAAAGGGTTGGAAGAAGTCGACTGGAGCAACTGTCGCAAGGTAGGCGATAACCTCCTAGCTCGAGTCGTCGGCTGGGTCGTGCCCGAACATCCCCCGCCGAACGCGAAGCAGATGATTATATCGAACTCCGCCGCACGTCTCCGAGCCCAGCAACAACAGCACCAGCACCAGCAAGGCCAGCAACAAGGCCAACAGAGTCAACAGGGTCAACAAGGACAACACCAACAACAACAATCACCGCAAAAACCCCCACCTCAAACCATCATCCTTCCACCCCCAGGCACCGTAATCGGCTGCCCCAAACTCAAGCGCCTAAACCTATCCTACTGCAAACACATAACCGACCGGTCCATGGCGCACATGGCCGCGCACGCGTCCTCACGCCTAGAATCGCTCTCCCTAACGCGCTGCACATCCATAACCGACGCAGGCTTCCAATCCTGGGCGCCCTTCCGCTTCACTAACCTCTCGCGTCTCTGCCTAGCAGACTGCACGTACCTCTCGGACAACGCGATCGTAGCGCTCGTGCACGCGGCCAAATCCCTCACGCACCTCGACCTCTCATTCTGCTGCGCGCTTTCGGATACCGCGACGGAGGTCGTCGCGTTGGGCCTGCCCCGCTTAAAGGAGCTGAAGATGGCGTTTTGCGGCAGCGCGGTCAGCGATAATAGTCTTGCGTGCGTCGCGCTGCATCTTAATGATCTGGAGAGGCTTAGCGTGCGCGGGTGCGTCCGGGTCACGGCGGCGGGTATCGAGAGCGTGCTTGAGGGATGCGCGGGGCTGCGGTGGGCGGATGTTAGTCAGTGTCGGAATTTGGAGGGTTGGGTTAGGGCGGGTGGGGTTGCGAGGTGGGGGTTTGATGAACGGGGTGGAGGAGGGGGGAGTAGTGGTGGTGGGGGGAGCGGGAGTAGTGTGAGTGCGGATAGTCCTGTCGAGGTCGAGAGCTCGAGTCCGACGAGGATGGAGGCGCTGTCGCCGGGAAGGACAAGTGTGCTTTCGCCGAGGAGTAATAGTTCGAGGAGCGTGGATCGGCATGGGAGACCGGCGGTTGCGTTTGTGGTTGAGAAGGGGGCGGGGGGACTGCGGTGAAGGGTTGGTGTGGTGTGGTGTGGTGGTGTGCAAACCTTGATATCGAAGTTGATATATCGAGGATAGAAGTAGTCAACAGGGGAGGCATAGAGGAGGCTCGGTCTGCGCATTTACTACGACATAGAAGACGACGACCTGATGATATTCGCGATATTTCGCGCGCATACATACGTACATACACACGGACAGACAGACGGACGGACGGACGGACGGAAGGCCTTCTGATCAAAGTCGGGTTTCGACGTTTCTGTGATATACCCATCGTCAACGTTCACGCATAAGTTGGTTGCATGGAGTTTTGTGCGTTAGTCAAAACTTCGATTTAGTTACTATCATATCCTATCATATCACCGGCAGTAGCTTAGGTGATGCTTATGGATGAATACGATTGCGTATTTTTGTGTTGATGTGTCTTGGTGACTTTGGGTGAAATTCGGGGGTTGAGTACGGTGTGGTGATAATTGGTGGTAGGTGATTGAACTGGACTACTATTCTGATTACATGTCGATACATCCTCTGGAAGCTATCGTAAAATAGGTACTCAGGTTATTTGGATGAGGATTTTGGTACGTTGAGGCTGCGTTCAGAGGGGCAGCAACTCATTGAGTAACGTTGTCTTACAATATTGCTAATACTACTTGATATACCTAGTAGAATTATACAAGTCAAATCTTAGGTAGTTGATCTACAACATAGGCTATCCAGGCAAGCTTTAAACAAGTTTCTCTATGCTTCTTAGGGCTAACTGTTGTCCCCCACCTTTGGTACTTCCACGGTACGCGGTTCCAACTACGATGCAACCGTACTGGGTATAACCAACAATGGTGGCGCTAGAGAGTGAGTGATAAGGTTATGACAAGGTATGTTATGTAGAATCATACCATATTCCACCTTTGAGAATCTATCTTCATAAATTGATATATTTCAATGGGGCAACCCATATCATTGTGGCGCCGCAACAGTTTCGGAGTTAAGGAATTCAGGGGTAAGTCCCCTATTCAATTGTGTCAATGATCAACCCAATAAATGACTAGACGACACGGTTATATAATTTGGTTCGTTAACTGCACAGTTCAATAGATGTGACATATTCAATTTAGATGAAAATATCCACCAGATCATAGTCCTTTCATAGCCAAGCGACGACTCAACTCCCTCATCTTCCAGCGAACAACCAGGCCTTACCTATTCTAACTAAGATTCAGTCTCTTCACCTCATAATCGATAGCTATGGGGAGTTCATCCTCTAGGCTTCGCTGTTTGGGAGCCCAGCCAAGAAGTTTCCTTGCTTTGATGGCACTGGACCGACTGTTCTGGCCCCATACTATTGCAGCGTACGGGAACATCTTCGCAGCTTCCTCCGGAGAAATCTTGTCGATGTTTTTGTCGTTGATAAGGCCCTTGGAGTAGAGAATCTCAACTATTCTTGAAGAAATGTCCTTCCAAACCTTCACCAAGTTCGTCAGCTAATTTAGTGGTACCTAGTCAGTATCAATGGGAAACTCACAGCTGCGCCATTCTCAGCGAAGTAGTATCCATCGGTACCCCAGACCTCCTTCTTCTCTCCTGACAGAGCCTCCTTGTAAAAGAGTGCGAACAGCTCGCTGAGGTCGTGGACATGCACGTTGTTCCACCAAGCTTTGCCTTCTCCGATTTGAAATCCTTTGCGGCCCTGGATGAAGTTTTCAATCAGCCGAGGGATCTGGACACTTCGCTGATTTCCCGGACCTCGACCAATGCCATAGATCAAAGGCGGCGCAACGACGGCCGTTTTGATACGGGCATCTTCGCCGGCCGCCAATACGAGCTTATCCACGTTGCGGTGAAGGGCCGCGTCAGGAAAAGATGTCATTTCTGAGAGACCTTCCCAGTCGTTGTAGATCTTGTCGGAAGCTTCGCCGTATCTTCCCGCCTGCATGTCCTCATACAACAGAATGCCAGTGCCGCTGCAATGTACCAAGTACGAAGTTTTCCCCTCCGCAGACCGCTGCTTCAATCCGGCGATGATGGCGTTGGCGGCTGAGACATGATCTGCATGCGCAAGATGCAGGACAATGTCGGCCCGCGCGGACTCGCCGACGAGGAGCTCGGTGTCGTCGAGGGAGCCGTGGACAACTCTTATGTTCGGATACGCGGCTTTAATCGCCTCTCCTTTCTTCGGATCTCGTACCAAGACGGAGAAGTTGGATTCCTGCTCGGGGGATTGATCCAGTATGGCTTTCAAGGCATCTCCGCCAATGTAACCTACGAGCCGATTCTGTTAATACCGCTAAAAATAACGCCGCCATGTTCAAGTTGGGATAGCGTACCAGTAGCGCCTAGGAGAAAAGTTTTCGGGGCTTTTCCTTCGGAAGACATGATGCTCAAATCGTAGATACTGGTTAAGATTGAGATAAACTGATCTCTTTCACCCTCAAAAACACTTAACGGGTGTTTATACTTATGAATGAGGGCCAACTATATCCCTTTGGAACAGAACTCCGATGGTATTACTAATAAAAAAGCAGTGCTGGAAAGTTTATGCTATCCAGGGGAGACGAGAGATCGTACAATTGACGAATGATGTGGAATTAGTTCCGATTAATTACCCCGACATTCGATCTCTTGCTATGATACGACGTCCGTGGATTACCAATCGGACGGTGTGCGAAATTCGCGATCTCTGCCACTTAGAAATCTGAGGGGCTAGCCTATTAGACTAGAGATTCAGATTGTATTTCTCAGCAATTCGTCCCCCCAGATTCTCGTCTTCAGCACGTCATACCCCATGTACTGTCAATTCTGTTCAATAACAAACCAATTTGGAGTTGAATCATCATGTCAAGATGCCTTCCGCATATGCCCTCCGCGCTTGCTAGTTTGGCTATCATATTCTGCAGAAACTTCCTGAAAGACAATATGATTTATCTCCTAGTATCAGGTGACGGTTGCTAAGATCCGGTCTATGAGGGCAATGATCGGATCACAGCTCGACCCATTACCGCAGTAGAGCCTGACAGTGCAGGTAATCAGACGTTACCCATATTCATGCTGCAATTTTCGGCAAATGGACTTCAGATTCTCACTCAAAAGGGCTGTTGATGCGTTAGGTCTGTATCGTGGTAATCTGATTCTGGGCTGTAGTCGAAATCCAGAATTATATCGTCTTCGCTCAGGTTGCTCTCGCACGAATGGTATCAAACCTTCAGCATGCTAACAATAGATTCGGAGGAATAATTTAGGTATGACTTACCTTATTACCTATTTAACTTCCTATGGATAACTATCCAAGAGTATTAAAGCGACAAGCCTAGGTACAGAGTTGCGATTCCAAAAGTGGTGGTGTCAAGACCCAAGAGTGGAGGTATGAAGATGATCTCCATCTGATAAGAATAGCAGGTAGGGGTGTTATCACTACCACCTTGGCGACAATGCGCGTATGTAAGAATATAACTGATAACCATAGATACTATGCACGTCAGTAGCAGAGCTACACTCGTGCATGCAACCCAATCAGGTTGTCCATATCGTAATGCTTCGCGGTATGATAGGTAGCCGGCATGCATTCTGACGTCTGTATATAATGGCAAGCTCACCAGAACCCCTATGTATTCTAAGACTCCATTCAACCATCGTTTCTCATAAAAATACACCATGGCAGACCAAACCCCCCTCCCCATCCCCGACCCCGAAAAAGCCTCCAAGAGCTCCGGTCGCGACGTCCCGGCCTCCACATCCTCAGAGCTGTGCACCGAGGACATCGCCGAGGCCGAGGTCCTCATGATCGCCGACCCGCGCAACCGACTCGAGAGACTCGCCAACAAGTTCGACCGGCTCTTCGGCCTCGAGGCCCGGGGTATCCAGCAGGTGCCCGAATCGGCGCGGGAAGGGAAGCCGACGGCGAGGGACTACGTGTGGATGTGGTCCATCTGGTTCTCGGCCAACTGCACCGCGGTGCAGTTCACGGCGGGTATACTGGGACCTGTTTCGTATGGGCTGGGGTTGGTCGATTCTATGCTGTAAGTCCTTTTTTTCTGGCCGCGCGCGCTCGTCGTCGACTGATTTCTCACGCCTAAGGTTGTGCGCTTTTGGCACGATTCTCGGTTCGGTCTGTAGCGCCTACGTATCCACATTCGGCGCGCTTTCGGGGAACAGGACTGTGGTGGTTGCTCGTTTCGCAATGGGGTACTGGCCCGCCAAGCTTGCTGCCTTGTTTAACATCGTGATCAACGTCGGGTATGGCTTGATCGACTGTGTTGTTAGCGGACAGATCCTCTCGGCTGTGAGCGGCGGTTCCTTGTCCCCTATTGTTGGGATAATAGTTACGGCCCTTATAACGTGGTTTGTGAGCACTTTTGGTATCAAACTCTTTCATCCGTACCAGGGGTAAAACTCTCTCCTCCACATATTGCGTGGAGTGCCATTGACAGCTCTCTTAGATACGCCTGGGTGCCTCAAGTCGCTATTCTTTTCATCCTCGTGGGTTGCGCTAGCCCTAAATTCGATACAGCGACACCTAGCCAGGGAACTGGTACTACGGTGGTGGGAGACAGGTTGAGCTACTTCTTTCTTACTGCTTCGGTCCCTCTCGGGTGGGCTTCTCAGTCGGCGGATTTCTACGTCTACTTCCCCAAGTCATCCAACAGATACATCATATTCCTAATGACGTTCTTGGGTCTTCTGCTCGGGAAGTGTTTCGTCGAATTTCTCGGCATTGGTCTTGCTACCGGGCTGGCTCACAATGCCAGCTGGGCGGCTGCCTTTGATGTCTCCTTAGGTGCTCTTCTGGTGGAAGCCTTCTCTCCCTTAGGAGCTTTCGGGCATTTCTGTTGCGTCGTCCTAGCGCTGGGTATATGCGCCAACATCATTCCTTCGACCTATTCCACCGGCCTTTCTTTCCAGCTACTTGACCGTAGCGCCGAAAGGATTCCTCGATTATTCTGGTGCACCTTCGCTGTAGTAATATACGCCATCTGCGCCATCGCGGGATATAAACACCTTTTAGCCATCTTCAATAACTTTTTGGTCATCATTGGGTACTGGCTCGCGAATTTCGTAGTCCTTGTCTTACAAGAACATGTTATTTTCCGGCGCAAGACAGGGTGGAAGTGGGACCAATGGGATAATACAGAATATCTCCCGCTAGGTATTGCGGCCTTTACTGCGTTCTGTATCGGTTGGGTTGGCGTCGTGCTGGGAATGGATCAGACCTACTTTGTAGGCCCCATCGCGAAGTTAGTAGGTGAACATGGTGCTGATGTAAGTTGTATTGCATTCTTATACTTTCTGCTAAACATCCGTATGAAAGTTGTGGAGTATAAAGACTGACGTTTTTCTATTTAGCTGGGTATACCATTGGGTGCTGCGTTTACGGCTGTCACGTTTCCCTTTTTACGATACATGGAGTTGAAATATTTTAAGCGTTAACTAGGTTCTAAATAAGGAACGATTTTAATAGTAATGCTACATTTACTCGTCTCGAAAAAGAGTGCTTGCCTCCAGATTAGTTGAAATTAAGAAAAAACATAAGTAGTAAGAAGAAACTCGTGGTTGAGGAATGGGTTCAGGGGTAAGTTTATGGGTTAAGTGAACTAGCTCTCATACTCCTGAGCTGAAGAGCTCGCTTGAATAACGTAATCTCATTCGGGAGCTTGTAACTTGCAGCTTAGAAGATACATAGTCACTCACTGAAGAAAAGTAAAAAAAATGGGAAAATATAAGAGGGGTAAAGAGGTTTCATTCCATGTGTACAACTCCACCACAGATTGAGATAATTCATGGCTAATTGTGGTGAGTAGGCGGTCTCACATATCGCAGATTCGATTAAAGCACCACTAGATTTATACTCATTTAGTATCATCTTGCACTACATCTTTAGACAGGCCTCAGTAACCTAAGTACCTATAAAACGCACTCTAGACATCTGTGATTGCCATTAAATCCAAATATCTCGAATATGACAGTTAAGCTCTTTCATGTGGTTTTGCAACCTCGTTACGTCGTTATGATCGTCCAATTTGATCAAAACTACATAGAAATCTCATCAAAGTTTCAACTTCTCGCTCTCCGCCAGGGGCTCAACAAGCACGGCCGGCCCTCTGGGCACAATGACGGCAGCTTGGCTGTTTGTAACCCTATTCCTCGCGGTCGAGTAACCCGTAGAGTACAAACCGATCCACGGTTCGGTGGTCTTATGGAAAGCACCGCCTGTGATCGCGCTCTCGTCCCAATATAGACGGCGGAACCACAGATGTAGGTGAGGGTAGTCGTGGCGGATGCTCTTAAGGTTACAGAGGAACACTGGGTAGTACGCGACGTCAAAGCGTGCGATAGTCGTATAGAGGCGAATGTCAGCCTCGGTTATTTGGTCGCCGAATAAGAAAGGCTTCCCTTGAGTCGCTAGGAGGGATTCAAGCCGATCGAGCGACTTGAATAGGGGATAAACATTTTGGTCGTAGGATTCTTGCTTGGTGGCGAACCCGCACTTGTACACGCCATTGTTTACCGTGTCATAGACCCATTCATTCAGCTCGTCGATGTCCTTGCGAAGGTGTTCCGGATATAAACCGCCACCAGGCTTATTCACCTCCCTAAATTGCTCCGGGATGAAGGCGTCGAACTCGCAGTATAACATGCGGATGATCTCGCTGGATTCATTGTTGACGATGGTGCCGGCCTTCTTATCCCATAGCACAGGCACGGTAAACCTACCGTCGAAGTCGGGGTTCGCTTTGAAGTACAGCTCCCGTAAATAGGTGAAGCCGTACAGGGGGTCTTTAGGCAGAGTACCATGCGCGCCGTCGAAAAACCAGCCCTTCTCGCCCATGGATGGGCTTAAAATGTACAAGTCAATGACATCCTCGAGACGCTTAAGGGCACGCACGATTATAGTACGGTGCGCCTTGCGATTTTGTGACTATATTAGCCGTCGCCGAACTCATCACTTATACACGACCGAATAGGGCATGATACGTACCCATGGACAACCCGGGGAAATGTATAGTGCGTAGCGTCCTTTCTCAGCAGGAAACTGAGTTTTGGGATCTGCGGAGACGAAGTTCCGGAATGTACTGGCTGGTCTGGTGAAATGACCATCCTTCTGATACTCGATTTTGGTCTTGTCCCCGTGATTAGTTTCATGCATGATAGTTCGTGTCATTCTCTTCGTAATATGTTTCAATCGCTTACATTTTGAGACATGCTTCTAAAACACTGGTGATTAACACACCTAGTAAATGACTTATGATGGGAAATGAATCTAATTCGTTGCGAAGATGGTTGCCTTAAGGGTATTGCGAATGTTATATAGAAAGACGAAGGAAGTCTCTTGGGTCGGACAATCATTATGGGGATGTATTGGGGATGTATTACGCCATCGGGTTGGAAACTGCAATTCTCGTAACATAATGAATTTATTAGGTTTAGTCTCTTACGATTTGGAGTAATATTTTACCTGAACAATGTGTGAGTGACGTTTTTGTGTTACGATACTGGTTTAGATGACAAATGCGACTGCTCTTCGGCGACGGACGCTTGTGCGACTTCCGGGCAGGTCTATTATAGGGAGGTGCAATTGCTAATGAAACGGGCACGATTACATAATCACTGCTTGGTTCTGAATAATCTAAATTTTCAACGTTGATCACGGACTTAATAGACTACCGCGTTGCTATAGTTGATATTCTATTTGACTGATTCTCATATAAGAGTACCTAAGGGTCGTTGAGGTTTGACTACTTATGCGATAGGTACATCCTAGTTGTATACTCGGTATCGGCCATCGAGGGACCGGAGAGCGGCATCTGCTCAGCCCGACATCTTCAATATCAGATGGACGGATAGACGGGTGCCTGTTCTAACAGACCTCACAAAACCATCATAGCTTTGAGTTTCTCTTACTATGAGCGCCGTCTTCTCTATCTGTGGGATTGTCGTCGGTTGTCTCGGCCTTGAGACTGATAGGATCGCCTAGCTGAGTTGGGTTGGCCTGAGGTCCGTGAAGCTTCTTGACCGCCTTCTCTCGTAGACTCTCGTCGCCGTTGCTTTTACCGTTCTTATTGCTAATTTTCGTGGGACCTCCAAAGGATGACTCCGAAGTCTTAGAAGCGCCCCTTTCCTCGTCGGTGGGAACGTTCTCGCTCTGTTCCGCCTTGCGACTTATGGGATCGCCAAGCTGGCTCGGATTCGCGTTAGGACCCTTGATTTGCTTCGTCGCCTTCTCTCGTAGGGTTTCCGTCATCCTGCCGATGTATTTGTTTTAACTGGGTATTGTATGGAGTGACTATAGTTTGATGCTATTGGACGGAAGTCTAACTTGACATATAATTCCAAGCTGTTGAGATGGATGATAATAAGTCGAAATTGTAGTTGATAATATTGTCATCTTACCTATGTACGTAGTATACAAAACAAAGGGAGATAATCAACCATTACCTATTAGATATACTCATCATCATCTGCGCGCGTAGCACATATTCATACCAGTATTCATGAGTCGTGATCTCGTCTGTATGATATTCGATGACCTCACAACCTATTTGCCGGCACGCCGCAAACAGACACGGCACGAAGCGCTAATAATAGTACAGTACCCGAACCCATGAACGCCCTAAAATACAACCTTTGTTTTAGCGCACGTAGCGCTGTAAGCTAGGCCTCTGCGCCCATAGTTAGTAGCCTGGAGGGGTTAAGGTATGGATCCATCCATTGCAATTCATTACCTACTAGGTACCTACATGTAGGCACGTAGGCTAGCATGGCGATAATAGTCATAGATATCTGTTAGCGAGGGCCTCATTTATAAGGTTTTCCTATTTGCGGAGCTATTAGTTGTAATAACGAATTCACCGTTGGGATACCAATGTCAATGCCGTTAGTCCCATATTAGGAATATGTCATAGGAATAGGTGTTTCGTTGCGTCAATCGCAGCCGTTAACATGTTACCAATCGCGGCCATCCGAAGTCATCGTCATACCCTAAAACGGAAAGTGTCAAAACAGGGGGGGAAATAACAATGAAGAAAACTTAGCGTATTACGGGTATTTACAGAGCATGATAGCATATATACAGTTTCATAACAGCATTAAGTGCCGCCTAGATAGCGCCTCCGGACCTTTGGTCTAATCCGTGTAGGATCTGGAGATGACTTCCGCACCCGCCCCACATCAGGACTTCTCCGTCGCGACCTCAGCAATCCTGGACTTCCACTCCTATCTTGAACACTTCTATAGGCCATGTTATGCTTCGAAGACGATATCATCCTCGCAGCCTCATCGTCTACGTATGAATCCGATCGAGAATCGTTCTGAGGTGTCGGCATGTCTGACTCGCTGATATCCTCTCTTTTCGTAAAACTCTTCGGCGTCGGCTTTTCCTCCTCCAGAATATCGTCATCCTCCTCGAACTCCTCTGGCTGCGACTCCAACGGCTCCATCTCCGACATATCAGAGATGGAGGTCGCTAGAGATTCGCAGGCATCTGACTGCGATGTTTCTCCATCATCGAAACCGTGAGACAAAGTCGCCGATAACACCACCGCATCCGTCTCCGCTTCGGAGAAGGACAGCGTCCGTGCTGGTGTCGACGCCAGGGAATTCTCCGAGCACATCGTAAGGGATCGAGGAGAAGGAGGAAGATGACTTTCCGGAATCGAGGTCACGGCGGTGTTGATGGGATAGGGTTCATATGTCATGAGTGGACCATCATCTTCCGGTTCGTCGAAAAAAGGCTTCGACGTAGGGTCATCGGTAGACCGATGCCAGGGATGATCGTCTGGGAGATAGGATGCGAAGTATCTCACGAGAGAGTCAAGCGATCTTGTACGAAAAAGTTGAATGGCGAATTGCCACTGGTAAGTGCCGATCAAGTTCGGATTAGCAATGATCTCGACAGAGGCAGATTCCAGGCTCTGGTTCAACTCGTTCAGCCGCAGCTGCTTGCGGTCCGCCAGTAGACGGTGGAACTCGTCGGCGCAGGTTGCGGTATTGGAAATCTCGTAAACGTCATGATGAAAGGCTTCGGGATCCTGAATGGAGAAGTTGATGGTGTTATACTGATCATGTAATTTGGTGAAGAGCTCTTCCCTCTTCATCCCAAACTTCCAAGCGGGCCATGACCAACCGGGATCATCCATTCTCCGGGGGATGCGAGAGCTATATAATCTTGTCGACCAACTTAAACACCAGTCTCCCGAATCGGGAAACTGTCGCTAGGAGTTGAATCGTGGGCGAACGGGGGGTGAGCGTGTCGAATAGGGTGGACTAGGCGTACGCTTCGTAGGTGATATTCTAGGTGATCTAGGGAGTTGATGTCGGTAGTATTAGGGTGGTTACTGATGAGTAGTGAAGGAAATAATAGGTGTACAATATCGTTATTCGATTGGGTATCGTTGGTACAGAGGCTGCTGGTAAGGACTGGATCCATCTAAACGCGTGGAGTTGAGTGAAACATTTTGGCTGTGGTTATTTATTTGGGCGTCTTCGTTGACTTTTAGCGAGTTTAATGCACTACAGGTGTGCTTTTGTTGTGGTCTGTGGTGGTAAAAGGGGGTTTTTACCGTACATTCCTATGTGACCGCTTTGTTTGGAGATCGTGATGTCGACGGTGAAGACGAAGTGGGAACTCGCCAGATACCATACCCGAGGAAATCGTGCCTTAAGAGCCTGAGGCATCAATCGGAAAGACCAATTGTTTTATTTTGGGGGCCACAAGGACACTGCGGCCGAATCAGATTGGTTGGATTGCTCCAACGTTCCACAGAGTTCGACCAATAATAGGAAAGTGGTGCTTTACTTTGGCCAATTAGATAAGACGCATGATAAATAGGTGGGGTTTTTCTCACAAGAGACCCACTCACACAATGCACAGACCAAGATTTGCCCCCACCATCTTGTCCTCTAGTAACTCCGATTGAATCCTTTTTCGACCAGTTAGAACAACTTCGAATCGCACCACCAAAATGTAATAAGGCTCAACTTCTTCCACCGGTTCAACTTCATATTCCAAGTTGGAATTGACAAGTCACACCTTAGACACTTTTTCAATTGATACGTTCAATTTGATTTATCATAATAAGCTGAGGAAGATTCAACCTGATTCAAGCTGACTTATACCTTCTCACATCACTTACGTTTGCCCATATTTTCATGGAATCACAAGGGGCGAGTGAACAAGTTAACACAACTTCCAATTCGAAGCAGGCAAGAGGGACGCAGCTTGACAGGCAGCACAGGTGCAGAGATGGTGGGCTGTGTCCGTGTTCGGGCGGATTGATGATGGTGTTGGCTCAGCTTACCCAGCCACCATTGACTGGATCCATCTTACTCATCTTGGCCATCTGGAATTTGGGGGCCGAAATAGGCAGATAGGATGCCGGTCAACCGGTGGCCCCTCCATGTGTCGTTCTCGCCGCCTCGTTGCCTGCTCGCGAATCACTTGACGGATCTGAGCCATCTGCTTCCCTCACCCCTTCCGACGGACTAATCAGACAATCTCGTCTCTAAGTCACCTAAGTCACTTGCGACTGCTCATGCAGCGGGCCGCGACCATCTCCCATTGTAGCGAACACGATGCTGTTTCGATCCAGAGCAACATCGAGCATTCAGCCCTAAAACCCGTGACATACAGAAAGTCTATTCTTCTGAAGTACTCCTACTCCTCCTGGAAGAGTTAAGCTACTTTGCTTATATAACATGAGTTGTTTCGAGGTGTTTTATTGCCTTATCATCCAGGCAGTCCAAGGCGAACTAGCATCTCACCAGGGATATTATTAATAGGCCTTTTTCCACCCAAGCAGGTATAGCTACCCCCATTAGACGCAGAGGTAGGTTGACCGACCCTAGGGATCTCCAGGCAGCCGATCTATCCCATCCCATAGGTTTCCCCCCCAGAGTAAAGAGGACGGGATCAGCCGCACAGCATTTCACCTTTTCCCAAACGTTTTCCTAGAGGTGACATTATGACTCTCAACCAAGGCTTACCTGAGGTAGCTGCTTGAAGTAAAATTGATCCTGAGGACACTTCACCTGACAGGTCTTCTCTGAGAAAGACACAGAAACCCGTCAATCTGTTCTGAACGCGCTCGAATAGTGAATCGAAGCGCCCGTGTTGAGTTGCCCATTTCCTTTCTAGAAATTCTCCATTTCTCCCGTCTCTTCTGCGCATAGCCACAAAATCGACCTTTCCAACCATAGCGACCTTCGCAACAATCGTTTCCATTGCATATTGCATCTAACTAGAATAACACTCGTCTCTTCTCCCTCTTTCTCTTCTTCTGAACCATCCCTATCCTATATCACATTATATCGAATTCTTGTGATGGCGGAAGTCTTCCCTTCCGAGGAGAAGACGGAGCCGTTTACCTCGGAGGAACTCGAGCAGAGACTCCACAGCAGTATCCAAGTCGACGAGGTCGGCGATGCACACCACGACACCGTCCCGTTGGACGACCTAATTATCGAGGAAGACCACCATAAGCAAGGCATACGAATTCTGGTGCGACCGCTGACGCGAAACCGCTCAGTGAGCCCCGGAAATGAGAATGTCCAGTGGCTAGCGTTGCGCGCTGAGGTGGCCGACCCTTCCCAGCCTAGATCCAGAGTGCTGGCGGTGACTCAGACATCGAAAGATATCAACTTCTCCATTAGAATACCACAAGGCGAAGATGAGCGTAGGCCGCCGTTATGGTGCGAGTTGTACTATGATCCGGCCAGCGACAGCCTAATATTACTAAATAAGTCGGACGTACCCATCGTCCTCGCTAGGGTCTCCCAATCAGGTCCCGTCCCCGGATCGAACTTTGATCAAGAAATAGTGCCAGGCACCACCAAGGATCTATCTCCGGGCAGTTGGCGAATCAGCGTTCGCTCCATCCCGGTTCTCGACTTCAGGATACTAGAGAAGCGTCCCGCCACGCTGTTAGTCCCTTGTGATAGCTTCGATTCATCTGTAACCGCCACCCCAGATGCTCGCAACTCATTCGGAAAGCGATCCTTCCTCCCTGATGCCGGTGATGACGAGCCGGATAGCCCCGTCGCCGGAAAGAAGGCTCGCAAAGATGGCCGAGAGAAAGATGGCGTAATTATCTTCATGGGCCCAGAGGACGAGGAGCTCATATTTCCTTACCCCAACGCCTCCAAGACAAAAGAGGTCGCCATTCCCAACGGCCACGCGCTCCTAGAGGTTCAGAAGGACGAGACAGCCGCCATTCCCGGCGGGCGCGAGTTTGATCAGTACCGACTAACGAAGCGAGAGCAGATCGCTACGACGGGCGCATCGTCAGTCTTCACTGCGGAACACTCCAGCGTGCCGGACGGTGTCATAACGGTCAAAGTGCTCAAGACGCGCGGTCCTAACTCAGATGCACGGCCGCAGGATACCCACCGCAACGTGATACGCCAAGCCGACATATGGTTGCGCGAGTATCAAAGCCAAGAAGATCTGCAGCATGAGTCGATCGTGCGATTATACGGCGGCGACGCGCGCTACCTGTCATTGTATATGGAGCACGTGGACGGCAAGGATCTAGCGGCTCGTGGCGTATGGCGCGACGGCGCGACGGACCTATTCGTAGGCGATCGGCGAGATGCCGTGCGCATCTTACGCGACATCGCCGGCGCCTTGCATTACGTCCACCAGAAGCGCAAAACTCACAACGACATCAAGCCCGCTAATATCCTATATTCGCGTGACCGCGGCGCCGTACTCTGCGACTTCGGACTATCAACCCGGACCACTGACCCGGCCACGAACGGTGGTACACCCTACTATGTGCCGCCCGAGTTCATAGGACAGAAGTTGCGCGGTCCCGCCTCCGACGTATGGGCGCTCGGCGTCACGATGTTGTACGTCTTACGCAAGATCCCGTTCCCGGATGCCCGCGGCCGTCAGGGACACCCTAAGCAGCTGTACTGGATGATCGCAGACCTAAACCGAAAGACGGCTCCCCACCACGGGCACCACAGCAGAGCTGCGTCCGCGGTCACGCAGATGCAGCAGTGGCTCAGCGAGGTCAATGAGGCCAAGGCGCGCCTAAATCCGCGAGATCGCGTCGAGTCCCTAGTCTTGCAGATGCTGACTCCAAATCATACCCAGCGTATCACGATGGCCAAAGTCATAGCCGATCTGCTGAAAGACAATGTCGTCGCAAGAAAATGAGCCGATAGACATGTGCGAGGTCGATGACGAATGGACGAATGGCGTCGAATCGATCCAGATTGTCTGTCATATCAGTGCCGATCAGATCAGACCCGATCAGATATTCTATCTTAATCCATATCTTGCCTCACCTTAAACCTCAGCGCTGACGCGCGACGAAATACTCGATGTCGCCAGCACATGCTAATGTAGCTCGAAGCGGCATACCTGCCTCAATTAGCCAAAAACATGTAGGATTTTTGGAGGGGATACCGACGTTATGGCCACATTCCTATTCGACGTCGCATAGTTGTTTACAATTTACAATTTAGAAGGTAGCTGTCGCATTCGACGGTTCGAATCCGGGCTAGAAACGTTTAACAGGTGCTGGCGTTATTCGATAGATATATGGGCGTCGCCGGAATACATCGCGACGAATTGGGGTTGAATTAGCGAACACTTGTTCATGCCTGTTCTAATCGGCGGCACGGTCAGGCACCACACCGGTGTGAGCTTCGATTAATTGTCACTTTTTGTCACATTATACGAGATCATAATGGTGTAAGTCTCTACGCAGTTTCTTTCGTGGGTGAATTATTCCATCTCATTTGGTCAGTTAATTACCTAGAGGACTAACGTGACATCGTATTCGTGTAGCAACCCCTCTTCAGTAGAGCATTACGCCTAGGGGTGTGTGGTGTTGTGTTGGGGGGAATATGTAGCAAATCGGCATCGCGCACAAGCCGTGTGTTTCGTCATCTCAATAACCCTTCATACCCTTCATGTTCTTGCAGAAGACAGAAAACCCCTTCCTTTAGATGCACAGGATTGTAGCGAAGACGCATGCGAAGCCGATGACAACGGCGAAGACGATTCCCTCTGCGACTCCTCCCACAGCCGAGCTAGGCTGGGCAGTTGCGGTCACAGTGACGACCGAAGTGACAGTGGCAGTCATGTTGTCGGTGCCATTGACGGCGAGGGGCTGGGTCCAGCCATCGCCGAGCATGGTGAGAGACATGGTGCTGGTGTTCTTGCACACGCCGTTGGGAATCTTGGCATCAGTTCGAAGAGTGATGTCGGCACACTTTTACAATGTTAGTCACACACGCATCACGTTAATGTTGTGTTAGTAGAGACGCGACTTACGTTGTACAAGGCAGAGCCCTCACCACCATCACCACCGCCGCTGGTGACAACCTGAATGGAGGCGTTAGTGCCGTCGATGATGTCCATAGGGACAATCATGTCGTGAAGACAGAAGTCACCACGGCCGGACACGTTCATCAGCTCGGGGGTGAGCGACATGTTGAAGTTGGTGACTTCATTGCCGAGACCGATGTTGATCCAGAGGAAGGTCCAAGGATGGTGGAGAGTAAGGGCGACGGCACCGCCCTGGATAGGCCAGTCGGTTCGGTTACCGACATGGTCGGGAACACCACCGCCTGTGTACCATTGTCAGTATTATATAATCATATCAGGACAAATGGAATTATTATTTTTCGCCAATAATACTAATAATAAATACGACGCGATGATAGAGTGATGACGATGGTGATGATGGTGATGATAGGAATATGCGGTGCGGTGAGGACATGTGAGAAGGTTACTTACAAGGGTAGGTCCACTGCGAATAATTCTGAGTCTCGCTGAGCGAGTCGTCGCGCCAGGCCGGGTAGTCAATCTTGAAGTGAGCGGCGACCTGGTGAGCGCCCACGAGGACAAGGACAGTAGGAGTGAACATCATGATGACGGTGTGATAATGTTGGTAAACAGACGAGATGATTGTTCTGCGAAGATGAGATTGTGTTGACTTCGCGAAAGGATGAAGCGTGGAGAAAGAAAGTAAACAAGAGACGAAAGGAAAAGGTTGTGGTATTTTGTTGTGAGGTGTTGTGAATTTGGATGGTAGGAAACGAGCCGACGTGGTTTTGTATTTTTGATTTTCGAGCCACTGATTCTACTGATTCACTGGGCTATAAAATCTGGACTAGACCCAAGATATCGGTAACTGAGGGACCTAGACAGGCGCCCCAGATGCCCCAGGTTTCTAACAAACCTTCGCTATAGGAGATTAATATACTGGAAGGAGTCCACCACCTGGCCCTGTACAACTTGACGGTCTGTCAACGTCCTGGATACCTAGGTAGAACATGGTTGCCGTACTACACCTCCCGCACGTAGTACGTACATATGTATGTATACTATACAAATGCCATACAAGTACAATGTATCTGTTCATTTTGGTCCATTGATCTAATCAATCTTCAGAAATACCTAGGTACAATGCCTAAGTACCCGAGTATTTCCAGTTGTAGCCCATCTGGCAGCAGTTCAAGGTCCAGGAGCACCTGCAGATGATCTACGACATATGAATGTCTACCTAGTACTTATATCAACATGCCAGCTGCACGTCAATTCACATGCAGGTCGATCCAGCTCACTACATATACCATTTTATCCCAAACAGTCAGAGCTTTCGAGTTACCTTACCCTTCACCTGCATGAACCGGAGGCTACCTGCAGTCCCGCTGAGCAAATTCTCGTCCACCCAGAACTTCGGTCCGAACTATCGAAGAAGGTTAGATTAGTACCCTTGTACCGGTCTATTCCCTTTTTCACGGCTATTAGATCTCTAATTGGTGGACCGGCTAGTGGAAGCATACTATGAAAGTTTGATCGCACAATATGTTTGGACGCTTTGTTTCATGTTCTGAGCTCCTTTACCCGTCGAGCTAGGGGCGTGTTTTACGGCCTTATGTGGTATCGAGGGTCCCAGGATAGGTAAGAAGCTACAATATATCAGAATCAAACATCTGGCACTCTAAAGACTAATACTCTATATCTTGTGTAGTACATAGCAGCCAATGAGCTTCGAAGCTATCCCCTATACCCTACCTACCTACCTACCTAGATATGTATGTATCAGGACGATACCCACCGCGGAGCTTGACCTACCTACGTCATGTACTTCGGTAGCTAAAGACCCGAAGTATCATACCTAGCTACGGCAACTAAGAATTAGACACTCGCCGTCCAATGTACCGTTCCTTCGGGGCAGGTAAGCACCTAAGATTGTGGGGTTCCCGAAACCTAGTGCGAGCCGCAAACATCCCGCTAGCGATATTCTCGTTACGGTTGGAAGGATAAAGACGGCATAATTACATACTTGCTCAAACGTACTCGCAGTATCCTGGACTGAACCTGTGTGTGCCGAAGCGAAGATTTAATTCGAGTATGTTTGTGAGCTGCGAATATACTGGGAACATGTTATCCTGAGGTTATTGGGACCATATTCGCCGACGTGGAAATGCTCGGGTTACTTTGGGGCATATCTTGATAAGCTAAATCTATTAGAAAGAGCCTCCTCCATCACTATCTGCAGGCTTTCCTTGGGGCTTCACGGACATCCATGGATGACTTCTAGTGAGGCTTAGAGCTACGTCAGAGCTGCTTGCGCCACCATTTCTACCCAATTTCTATCCTTACAAGGATAATGATGGTGGTGATGATTTTGTTTATCCAATGGTTATAGCAGTACTATAAGTATACATAGCGACGCGTATCGCTGACGCGTGGTTATTTTGTATCCTCCACTCCTGCCTCCAGCATTACGTTGGTTACATGTATTTATTAGTGAGCACCGCCTCTACTAGGAATATTCAGGAGATACTGGATGAAGGGATAAAAGGTAGTTTAGGTTCAACTCCTATTGGACCTGTTGGTGCTTGCCTTTTATACCTTCTGTCTTCAGGAAAGCCCCTTCTCCAAGCCCGCCTGTTTTTAAGGTTTTTTCAAGCCATCCTCTATCGCCTGGTGAACCTTAAATCGGGTTGAAAAAGCCTAAGTCGGACCGTTGGTCAAACAGGTAGTCGTACGCCAATGTACGGCCACACACTTTAACTACTGCGCCCCGTGGGAATATTCCTATAAAAATCAGGAGAATGCATACCTACTCTTCTTGTTGATGTAGAACTAGATCAACCAACCTTATTACGCTCAACCTGCGTTTATATCCTGGTTCTTTAGTGGTGTGCTTAGCTACGAACATAATATTTCTAGTAGGCCACTTTGTCTTGTTTCTTCTCGTCTCTTCATATATGGGTCAAGATCTAACGAGTGATTAGATGTGGTCAGTTCTTTTTGTTCGATATGATGTTTGGACCGTTCCCAGATGGCCAAGGAAACCTTTCTACAGGATAATTTGGGCCGAGACTCTGCCACTATTGCAACGAGGTCTTTTTCGGTTTGGAGCTTGATTTGGGATCGCTTAACTACAGAAAATTTGACTATCATCCCACTCTAGAAAGTTTGAGCGATGCAGTCGAGTCTTGTTGCCAGCTATGCATCCTGATTGACCATCTAATCCGCCAAAGGTTCAAAACCGTCGATGAAGGGTTATGGAAACATTATACACCAAAGCTCCGATGAGAGAAAGATTTAGACTCCGGCGATCTATTCGCAATATCCCTGTATTCTGAATTAAAATCATACGCACATATCGAAGGAGCTCCCATTAGTCGTTTTGCCTATCCAGGCACTTCAGGTGAGCCATCTTCAAGCGACTTAAACTGCAGTAAGCAACGCCACTGATATTTTACTCATTCTGTGTCGTGATAGGACGAGAGAACGTAAGTAAGGAATTAGGGCTCATGAAAAGACACCACGGCCTGAACTATACACCCCCTGATTCAACAGATAGCCCAGCGACATGAGAATTATGTCGCTCATGGATAAATAACTGCATCGAAAACCATGACAAGCGTAAAAGCCTTCAACCTGAAAGCCTCCACCCCAGCAAATGGCCGACGAGACTCCTGTACGTTGGTAGCCTCGGCTATGAGAATCTTGGCGATGACCGTCTCGACATCTTAAATATCCAACTTCATTTGTAGCAAGACAATCAGTTCAAGGGGCCTTACATGACATTGAGTCACTTCCGGGGCGACTCAAGAGGGATGCTGAAACTTACGCACAAGAATTACAAGAAATGGGTAGAAACTGGCTTTTCATATAGAGATCTCCCCAAGACATTCCAAGACGCCGTCCGGTTATCTCTGTTTCTTCGCAACGATTATCTATGGATTGATTCGTTGTGTTATATGCATTTTCCATAGTGTTGGGGGAATGTCATGTTATATTATGGTGGGATCACGTATTCTTGGATAGCGAAGAGAGCCGTGGACTTTTGGAGAAAGCGTTCGTGATGCCTATCAGAGGCAATGGGGATAATCTGAGTGGCTTAATTGTCAGCCCTTGCCGAGGGAGATCGAACTTTTATAGACGTATTGCTTACTGGAGTGGGCTATTGCAAGAAGGTAAGAAAGTTTTATTCGAACATGTCATGGGGGCTACAGATGAGGATAAAACGATAATCAGAGTCATTAAGTGTTCGCGGCATATACGACCTCTAACAATAATAGCAATTCGATTCTTAGATGAATCATCTGTAAAATGAGATCCTTAATTACCTATTAAACCTGAACTCATCATCTCAATGTCTGAATGTGTTACCTGTGGAAGCCTCCTATTCGAAGGGCACTAAATGATACCACACCGTTCGTCTTATCATTTTATATTAGGTTTCATGTCATCTTAATAGAACAAGTCCAGAGCCAATAACATAGTAGATGAGCCAGCAATGTGAGCGATTCTTGCCGTTCTGCCGAGTTAGAGGGATATCATATTTCAAAGTCCTAGTTGACACACCATAGCTGCTTACGGAGCTCGACTCGCATATGAATTTGCATCTACTCCGAATGACTCAATCCTGTCTCACGAATGGTAGTTGTTTGTTCAACCAGCATCGCAGATCTCTGCAGGCACTGCCACCGCTAAGCACTTCTATAAGATTTCACGCAATCCCAGGCTCCATGCTTACAGCAACAATAATCCTTACTTATTCTACAGAATCCGACGGAAAACTGGCTTTGAGCTGGTACATTATCTAGCAACTATTAGCAAAATGGAGTTCTTCCACTCTAACTCCTTCTCCTCCCAAGTCCGGCACCTCATGGGCCAGCATCACATACCCGGCCTTGCCATCGCCATCATCCAGGACGATGAGGTCGCTTCGGCAGGCTATGGCTACGCCTCGCTCAACCCGGAAAAGCCATGTACGGCAGATACACTATTTGATATCGCATCATGCTCCAAGTCGATGACCGCGGCGTCAGTCGCGCTACTCGTCGAGGACAACGAGAGGCATCCGGAGGTACAATGGGAGGTGACCATGTCGAGCTTGCTTCCCGAAGACTTCGTGATGCCTGACCTCGAGGACACTAAACGTGTAACTATCGACGACGTCTTGAGCCATATGACCGGGATGGCTGAGTAATACCTACAACTCCTTTCCACAATTTTATTCTATATCAGATGCTAACAAGACGGTTCCAGCAACGAAACAGCACTCCTAGGCAACCGATCAGCGCACCAAGACACGCCGCGCTCAATCACGCGGAACCTGCGGAACCTCCCCATGGCGCACCCTTTGCGCGCGAAATGGGAGTACTGCAACATCATGTACAGCGCAGCCGCGCACCTAGTCGCGGAAAAGAGCGGGCAAACCTTCAACGACTTCCTCGAGACGTGCATCTTCCGCCCCCTCAACATGTCATCAACCAGCCTCCAGCCCACCAGCGCCGAGGCGAAAGGTTTCGGCGACCGGCTCGCGAAAGGCCACGACTGGAAGTGGGACTCGGAGAAGGGGGGATACATCGAGTTCCCACAACTCGCAGAAACAGAAGGCGAGGGCGCAGGCTGCGTCGTGACAAGCGCAAACGATTTCATAAAATGGGTCAAAGCATTCCTAAACCGCGAGGGCCCCATAAGCGAGAAAGTGTACCGCGGGCTCACGCGCCTGCGCGCCGTGACCGAGCCGGCGGCGGGCGTCAAGGGCGCGCGCCGCTTCGAGTCGCCTGAGATGTACGCCGCGGGGCTCGAGGCGTCGTGGTACCGCGGGTACGCTATCGTGGGCCACTACGGCAACGTTCCGGGTTTCGGGAGCCGGTTTTTCTTCGTGCCGGAAATGGGTTTCGGGGCCGCGTTTATGGGGAACGGGAGGCGCGCGAATAGGGTTATTACGGCGCTGTCGCGGGTGTTGATTAATGCGGTGCTGGATCTGCCGCCGGTGCCGAGGCCGGTGAGGAAGGTTGGGAATGCAAAAAGGGATGTTGTAGTTCGTGCGAAAAACCAGACGGTTGGTCAGGCTGAAAGCGCCTCCGACGAGACCAAAGAGGTCGGTGGTGAGCCAAAGAACGAGAAATCCAAAGACCAAACAACGGCAAGGAACCCAAAGGCGCCCAAATCCAAGAAGCCGCAACAAGAGAAAAAGCCGCGACCTCAAACGAAACCCCTGGGCGACTACGTGGGAAAGTACTGGCACCCGGGGTACCACAGACTGACGGTCTCGATCAAAGACGACAAGCTGTTCATCGACGCGATGGACCGCTCGTACTACGGCATGACGCTGACGTTCGACCACGTCGCCAACCATACCAAGTACACCGCGCACCTGAACTACGTCAACGAGACCTTCGACGAGGAGATCCGGGCCGAGTTCGTGTTTGGCGAGAGCGGGCGGGCGGTGAAGATGGGGTTGAAGTTGGAACAGGCGTTGAACCATTTAATTTGGTTTGAGTTGGAGAATGATACATGATGGGGAATCTAGTTAGGTGTTTCTGATTGTGGGTTTGCGTTTTAGGGAGGATTCTATTGGTGGCATACCGACAGGATAGGGGACATTCGTTTATAGCCGGGCGTTTAGTAATTAATTCACGTATGGACTTCGGAATTCTTGAGTAGGGTTGAATTCCTTTAGGCTTCCTTTTGCCAGAAACCAGCAGCTACGTACATTGGTATAAGCTCCTTGTCTTGCTTCCAGAGGAACTATCATAAAGACTATGGGTCCACGGCCTCTACCTGCGTAGAATTTTCGTCCAGTCTAGCGATTGCGACATCTTCCCATGATCGTATCCCCTCGTCCTATAACCTGTTATTACGGACGCCAAGATCTGCCGTGTTTGGCCCCTTTATCAACTCCCAACTCTCCCTTCTTCCACTTCAGCTCGGTCACCTGCTTTTTAAGGTATTTTTGCTCACGCGCGAAGCGCTCGATCGTTGCTTGCAGAACGTCAGAACAGAACTCGGGGCATTCGTCGCGTACACTCTGCATGTTGGGGTGTAGGAACAGAGTTTCGCTCTTGAGGGCGACGTAGGATGAAATGAGACCTCTTAGTTCATCATGTTCTCGGGTGTTCTTGTAGGTGAGTCGGATGAGCTTCTCGATGGACGGAACTTGGTCCCAAGTATCTTCGAATCCGCAAAGAATCCAGAAGAGGTAGAAAATTGCCAGTGCTCGCAGACCGCTAACATCGTATCTATCCGCAATGATGTACATTTTGGCGTGGCGGAGGATGTTCTCAGTCCAATCGAAATCGGTCATCGTTCCATTACGATCCGGTCCTTCGATATTATCGTTGGGGTGTACTCCGTACTTATTCACCCATTCATTGTAAGATTCAACCATTGGCGAATTCTCGGTATAGAGAAGTGACCGTGGGTGGGAAGTGTACCCATAAGCTACGGCAGCTTCGCCCTCCGGTCTGAAAGGTAGCCTGGGAGGAAGGTTGCGTGGCTCAGGTGCTGTATATTTACCGGAATATGCGTATTCGCACAAGCCTAGGAAGTCTTCTTCATCGATGTCATCCAGCGTAGCAACGCCTTCAGTTGCCTCGCGCATTGATCCCGTTATCAAGACTCGTAGGACGGGCGAGATCTTGGTCAGCGCCTCTGCGTGCACTGAGAATTCCTTGCCATTGGGGCCGACGATGAACTTGAATTGTTTGGATGCCAATACACTTGAGAATATGTCAGAATAGTGCATAGATAACCGGTTGTTAAGGTAGGTTGGCAACTTACTCCCCCATGGGAACCTCTCCCAGATGTTCATCCATGATTTGGATGGGTGTAGCTTAACTCATGAATTTGACCGGTGGTTTTTGTTGATGTAGGTTTGAAAAGAATAAATTTGAGAAACCGGCATCCGTCTGGGTGGATATTGGTGGTAGTAACTCAGTGCGAGTTTGGTCCCTACCTTGTACGATAAAGATAGCTTCCAAGCAGTCCCGTCAACGTCCATGCGGACAATTTTCGTATGACTCCTTTTGACTACCTAGGTACTTATGTATATTCATCTTTTTCTTTCTTCGAGCACTACTGCCGAGTACCAAGAAATGAATTTATTTTGACGGTAAACTTGTTACCTAGGTAAGTAGTGTTTTGATGCGTAAAATATTCCCAGACAGGCTCATGGATTTTATTAAATTTTCTACTGACATCAATCCGCCGATACTGGGCTCTTTGCAAGTATCTACATGTCAACAAGGCTACAGTAATTACTGATAGAGTCATTCATGTTTACTCATGAGTTTATTGTTTCCTTGAAATTACTCTTGGTTAATAAGATAGTTACGGTCTTAACCGCAGTAGACCACTAATCATGATGAGGGTGTGAAGTGTCAAAAGCGAATTCATCAAACAAACCTCACATATTGTACTTAGCTAACGATCTACTTGATAGGCTCTATACGATATTTCTAGAGGCTACCTACGATATAAGGATATTGGCACGTGTTACATTCCCCTTTACAGAGTCACCATTACTCCCAAACTCCATACAGTCGATAACCATCCCAAGAAAACAACAACGTCAATATCATTGTCCATCAATTTCATCCACCAAGAAGCTCAGCCTTACCTAAATCATGATGATTTATATAGCCTCTCTTCAAAACATGAAACACCATCAAATGGCATCGGTATACCACATCCTCATCCCTCCACAACCTAAAACACCAAGAAAAGGGGCAACCCCGTTACCCCAATAACCCCCCTAACTTGAACCCACCCTTCCCATTCCCCCATACCCGTGCGACGCAAGCCCGCCTTGGCGATACAACCCGTCGGAGCCACGCACAACCAATTCGGGCCACCGCCAAGCCCTCTACCCTATTACCCCGTTCCGTCCCCTACGCATCTACCAAACTACTGGCCAACATTGAATCCGCGCATCTGAAGTCCGCAAGTTTGAAGTTCTGTCAGAATAACGTGAGACTTGATAATTCAATTAATTGTGTCAAGAAAATTCTATCTTCTTAATCTAGGAGATTCTGGCCAAGACTAACTGCAAAATCTTCAATGGTCTCCATATCGTGTCTCAAAGGAGATCACGTGAAAACCAGAGATTTGAAGGCATCAAGGCATCAAAACACACGGACCACCTGATAACACAAAAATTATGAAATTGTATCTGACAAGTTCCAAGGTTGTCCCGCGAGCGTAGCAGCCCAGAAGCGCTCTCAAAAACTCGCGCTTCGTTGGCAAACACGTATTAATGCGGCCATCCTCCTCCAAACCCCCAGCCCCCGTCCCCCCCCCGGCAGGATACGACCTATATCGCATTATAGTAAGCAAGGCACCATCAAACTAGCGCAAATCACGTTCAAGGCAAATGGCGAAAAGAACATTGAAAAAAAGCCAATTGATTTTGGGAAACAAGAGTGTGTGCACCAACGATAAAAAGTCTATTATGAATTCTTTGGCGATGCTTTCTAACGGCACACAAATATGCATAATATGACTTGGCCATCCGCTGGTCAAATAGACAAAATACTAATAGTTCGACGGGCACTCCCTTCGGGTTTTTGACCTGTTTCGTACCTTTCCAGGCTACGCAGATCCCCTTTTGATAGTACACGAGATTTCCCACGCCGCCCCCAAAAAAGCCCGGGCATGGCCGTCATCTTCTTTCGTCAACCCTTTCCGTCCAATCCAATCATGCAGTTTAACCTGAACGCCGGGGTAGGGAGAAACCCGTGTTCTCCGCATCCCCTTCCCCTTAAGATAAAAAGACAAAAATGTGTATAAATGCTACCTGCCAAACCCCAAAAAAGGTCCTTTGCGCCGGGCGGTTTTATACCAGTGTTTCGGAATGCGAGCCACAAATGAGAACGACATATGCTGGTGTCGTAAGAATGGTCGGATGCGTAAGATAGGTACATGGTGTTCTCGAACTCGTAGGTAGACGGGTGTCGATCGCGGTAGAAATAGTATTAGACAAATGAGATTCAGTAGTACGTCGTCCGTCATGATCTTCAAGTCAGATAAATGTCCGGCCGATATGTAATAAATGCTGGGGTATATAATCCGTTACGTCTAATTAGTGGACGGCGTAAAATTCGTCGGTGTAGATTGTGTCGGCTGCGTAAATAATGGTGATATAATTACTGTCGGGGCGGGTTTCTAGGATCTTGGAATTGTTGATTACGTCGCCCATTCTCCCCACGAGCGGCAACCCATTCCGCGTTGCCACTCTGCCGGGCTGGTTGTTCGGCAGGGAGCTTCTGGTCCTCGTTAGCAGAAGAGGAACCGGAAGGTCGACTGGCGGCGGTAGGTGCAGAAGCCGAAGGTCCCGGAACCATGCGTGTAACCGCTTGAGTGATTGAGGCGACGACGTAGCCTCGGAGTTCGCGGTCCTCCCTCGAGTCTTCTTTCTCTAATCGAAATCGCTCCTCTTTGCTCATGTTGCTGCGTCGAATGTTCTTGATCTCCTGCATTATGTAGAGCATGACCTCTTCGGGGCACTTATTCCTTTCGAGCGCATGCTCGCTCTTGCGTACGTATCGGCGAGTGACATCGGTAGCGCCATCTATGCTGAAAGCGATACAATAAGACATCTGCTTGCCCCAGCCGTCGGTATAGAGTCGCGGGTTATCCCAAGCTTCCTCACACGCGTCGACATGAATCCACCGCTGCTTATGTTCCGAGTATACCTCCGTCCATACGTGATCTTCGGCATTCCAGACCCAGCGCACGCGACTACCGACTGCGCGGCAGAGCATGGAGAAGCAGTTAGCCCACTCACCGCATCTGCCGCGTCTCGTCTGTAATAGTCGCCAGACGTCGCTGTATCGCGGAAACCGCTCGAAAGCCCGGCACGCTTGGTTAGAGCACTCGTACAACTCAACCCGTAACGCTCCGCAGGCGCTCTCTTCGGGTGTCGGTTGCGTTCTGCCTCTCGCAACAGTTGGCGACATGCAGACGGGACATGGCGGGTTATTAACCCAGCTGAAGAATGATCGCTTGAACCATCTAATAGACAGAACGTTAGAAAATGGCTCATACGTAAGATTGGGGAGATTGAATAGAGAACTTGGCTCACCTCAATAATGCCCGAATTACGCAATCTTGGTAACCCCAGTCGGGTTTTCGACCGTCCCCCATACTATCCGCCTGAGCTCGCAATACCTGAGATTCCTCCTCGGCCTCGCTATATATCCTCTCCAAAGGTATTACTTGCAGGGCCTCATCAAGCAGACCAGGGTTTTCATACTTTGTTGGCGTCAGGGAGAGCGATACGATTAAACTACGGAATTGCTGTGACTCTCGGTCATGGGGGGCAGGTGGCGTTGGAATCTTCGGTAGATTTCGCAATGAGGAATATGATGGCGGTGACGCGGGAGAAGGATGGCCTTGGGCGTATGATGATGATGGTCTACTGCCGCTACTAGATGGCGCTGCCGAATGTGCTCGGAGGTTAGACGACGACGCGGGCTGCCGAGGGCCGGGCGAGTCTAAGCGCGATCGATTCGCTCGTGATTGTTCGAATTCGTTTAATCGTTTCGATCTCAAGAGCTGTTCGAATTGAATCCGTAAATCCCGAGCCCATTCCTCTCCGTAATCGCCCCGATTGCCCCCAGGGCCGTCACTGCGACCTGCCATTATATCTTCTTTCGTCTAACCGTCGAGCGACGGGATAATTCTATATCGAGAGCGGCGATGTTGTTCTTACAACGGGTAGTTTGTTACGATAGATACTAGACCGACTATGTTGTGTCGGTTAGGATATGCTGAATTATTAGATTCGAGCCAAGATTAGGCCAACCCTTGATTACGCGGAGACGGGTGATTAGATTTCGTCAGCAAGTAGGATCGCTGGTGATGATGTGGACTCGGCCACCCCTTTCCAAAACTCAATCGCCACCGAAGAGCAAGGGGCTCGTTTCGTCGAACAATACAGATCGGTAGCGGCAGTCAATCAATCCCCCATAATCATCGATGGCTAGACATTCATTCGTGTGTCGTTTCCTCTAATCGCGTCGTACTGTAGTGTAATCCTCCTCGTCCTTTCTTCTTCGAGCGATCCTATACACAAAAGATGTGTCCCCTTTTCGCCGTCGCGCAGTCGAGGTCGAATAAAAAAGAGCGGATGACGGACTTGGTCAACGTCGACTACTTCGAAGACAGAGAGCTGCCGCTGTCACTGTCTTTGTCGTCGTGGTTCCTCGACAAGGAAAGCGTGTATGGGAGAATGTCACGTATAGGCGGCAAGGAGAAGCGAGGCGGGAGATCGGGAAAGATGGATAAGTTACAGGCAGTGTTAGATGGGTGGATGAATCCGGATTATTAGGTACGGACACACAAGGTATAGGGAAAGGTAAAGAATAGACAGATGGGCTGTAGCCTAGTCCTAGTTGTGCGTGCAAGTGCGTGTTGTGGATGGGGATTATGAATTTGCTACCGTACTTTCGTAAGTGTCGAGAGTGTAAAGTGGTGAAAGTGGTGGGGGCGTGTGTGGGTGTTCACAAGGAGTGCAAGGAGTGCCAGGAGTGTGTTAGTGAATGGGAAATGATGGATGGAGCGGGATTCGTTGTAATCGTTGTAAGTGGCAGAGTGGCATGTAAGTGCGTTGCGTAGTCGTAGGCCCGGATAGGGATGGCTCAGGACACATTGGTAAGAAAAGGTCAGAAAAAAAAGAGGAAAAGGGAACGGCCTGCTGCAAGGTTTGTCGTAGGCTGCGTAGGCCTTCTCCGCCCGCTACTCGTTAGGGACGAGTGTAATTGGTTCGACCCGTCAGATGCCTGCACTTTCCTGTACTAAATACAGTGCAAGTGCTAAAACGGGCAACGTCGGTACTGTACTTTCGAGGCAGAAAGCGCACTAGGGCGCAGAAGAGAAAGCGTGAACGCGCGTCTCCTCGACCACCTCCTCCAATCACCTAACGCGGATTTGCTCATGGTGAGTGGGGTCAGAGCGAACTACCTAGGGTACCTGGGGTACTTTCTCAAAATACATGCGCCGTAGTGTTTTTTCTCTTGATTTTCCATTATTCGCTTCCACCATCCACGTACTATGCGTACCTTTTGGACCCCTTCATTTAGGATCTTTTTCCTTCTTCTTTTCGTTTTCCGTGATGCTCGAGGTTCGATATCATCTACTCGCGGAGATCCACCCGCTGCTTGTCTCGAAATAATCTTGGTAGACACGTGTATGCACGGCGAACAATAATACATAGTATCGCCTTGTACTATTCCTGCTTAACTAATACCGTTTAGAGTTGCAAGTGACGTTGGCATTAGGACCAATTTACAGTTCCGGTCTGCATCCGAGGTGTTGTAACCCTTTTTGTGGAGACGATGACGAGGCGTGGCTTGCTGATCGTGGCTGAAACTACTAAAAATGAGGCCTTCGATAGGCGTCCTGGCGTCCTGGGCAAGTGCTGGGCGGTTTTCTGTACCTACCAGACTCTGCAGTCTCCGCAACTTCTAGCTTTGCACCGCCCTAAACATTTGTGGGTATTCGTGCCACTTCCGGTCTTGGATTTTTCAAGGTTGCTTCAAGGTTGCCAAGGTTGTTACCAGCTTTCGATCCTCCCGAGATTTTTCTGTTTCAGGCCCGTTCAATTGCCATTCGATTGCCGATTGATATTCCATCATATTTTCCTTAAACATACAGAACGCGAATGCGGACTTGGCCGATACGCATGTGCCTAGCCTTGGCTTTGTTGCTCGATGGTATCGTCGTCATTGTCGCTATTGTTTCCGCCGCTATTGGCCTCTGCTCAATAGCCACCCATGACCACGCACAATGCACTGTACTGCTATAGCTGTAACTGGTCCGATCTATGAGCATTGGGCACGGATGCTATAGATCCGACTACAGAATTCAATATTTGACAAAGAGCTAGCTGATCGAGTCTGACTCGAGTCTGACTCGAGGTCATCACTGCACGTCTAAGCACCGATGTCACGTTCTTCGTCTTTCAGCCTCACCTTTGAATCAAGGTCCCTTCATGCTCGAACGGCTGATACCTAACACACTGGCACTTACGATACGACACAACACCAGTCAACCGACCTTTCGGTAACCCGGGAGGATCCAGCTCCACGGCGCCACTGATAAACTCGTCGGTCAACGCGGCGGCAAGGCGGTAAGCTTAAATTCTGTATTGTCACTCGACAATTCTCCGGCCCGAACTGTACGAATGAGTTGTACGTGGATTAGGATTCCCACGTGTCGTACCGTATCGGTCGGACGAGCAGTTGAGAGTAAGCTGGGGGTTACTCAAAACTCTTCCAGCTCCAGTTCTAGAGAGCCTCGAAGCTTTTTCTTTTGCATGGGGCGTACGTACATGCCCGCGGCGCGTATGTCGCCGTTGCATCAAGCCGCGAGATGACTGGTCAGTCGGTTCATCTGGGCTCGCTCACTTATCTGGGATTACGTGAGAGATTGATCAATGCCCTCAGATATCCCTCGCCCTACGCCTTACGAAATGCCCAGCATGTAAAATCCTGATCGCCGTTAATTGCCCATTTTCGTATAGTGATCAAATTCCAAATGCATTCTTCAATTCGAAGCACATGCATATAACGATATGAGATAGCTGCGAGGTATTCGCGGAGAGGCTGTCGATCATGCGTAAATGTACCGCCTTGTGGTGTGTTTCTAGTTAGCTTCCCCTTTTTAGTGTCGAGGCTGATTGCGCGTCCCTCCCCCCTCTTGAGAGACTTGCGTGTTTCTGGCCAATGACAGCTTTGCCACAGTTTTCGAACGTCGAATCCCACTGCTCCTGTCCGGTGATTTGCTAAGCTAGTCATTTCTCTTCCTGGGTAATGCTACGTTGCTTGCTTCGGCTCTTCACATATCCTCTCTATTTGGGGGCTTGGCAGTCCTTTCTAATTCGAAAATCTGCGGCTGACTTACACATACAGCACGTATGCTGTAGTTACGGACGTATATCATGTAACATTATCAAGCGAGCTAGAGTCCGGTCCGCAATGCGTCGAAATTGCCTCCTCGTCATTACAAGACCTCATATACCCGAAACAAGGATGAAGATTCCTTCTCGCCAAAGATCGGACGAACACCACGGCATGAAATAAAATCGCATTTACTACGATTAACGAAAAAAAAATATCGGGCGTGTTCGTACCAAGCAGAAGTGGTTTCTCTTTCGAATTCTCTCTCGGATTGAGCCGACCCAAACGGCCGAGACAAGTCACTCGTCCACCGCCAAGAGAGGTTCGTCATCTGTGTGGGTTTACGTAGGTACATGCAGTAGCTAGGTATGTACGTAGGAAGGTAGGTATCCTCAAGCCGTTCAAGGTTCCAAGCTTGCCGTCCAAGCGAACTCTAGTGATACGTGTAGATATTTCGCTATTTCAACCAACCCAATACCTACCGCTACCAAAATCAGCCAGCGAGCAACGTATTCTTCTAATTAGCAGCAAGAGTGCTGGCCTAGCCATATAGCGCGTACGGGATAGACGACAGCCGGGTCCAAGTAGCCTATCTACCAAGTACAAACGTGGTGCTAATAGTGTCAACGCAACGAATCAACACTTACACATAGGCTCATTAAACAGCCTGACAGGGGACTGCGTCTGTCCTCCCCAGGACGCGCGTCTCTGCTTTCGGGCACGAAGCACACGGACTTTGTCTAGTGGAGCCGTCGCCCTAGGCCAGAAATATCCCTGTCGATCTCCAAATGACGGCATAAGATCGAAAATCCCCTGTTCGATTTCACAGTGACGGGTTGCGACCTCATAAACTACGGTGCACGCAATCGTAGGGGTCGTAATACGGTACGAGTCCCTTTAAGACAGCCTTGCTAGCCTCGTTGTTTAATGACGCGCAGCAATATCGTCTCTTCGAAGTTATCACATATCTTTACTCCGTTCCCGAATAGCCGGACACAAATGCCTACGTCCGTCTTCTTATGTTTCGATATTTCAAACGCCGAGCCTGGACCCTGGAATCCCCATCGTCTCTTATCTTGATGACCTGGTTTGCTCACCCGCCTAGGTGTAAACGATATCTCGCCAAGTCTTTTATATATGACATTGTCTAGCGAGCCGCAACCGATCCACCACGTTCACCACAACGCCTCCAACAACTATATATGATAAGGCACCTCACTATTAAACCCCCAAGGAACCCCCATCCTGTCAACCCACGCGCGCTTCTGAGATATTGACCTACGGTGAAACCAGTCCGGTTCGCTAGTTCGGGAAGCCTTCACAAACTTCCATGATATGTCTAACACAATCTAGTCACCCTACCTCGCATTGGGTAAAAGGGGATATGTCGCAATGTCTTCAAATTCTGCTCTATCGTAACAATTAACCGTATGCAACAGAAAATAGAAAATTATCGCGTTGCTCCCCGGACTGGGATAGCAGGGCCACCGAGGTGGATCCTATTCGGACATAGTAACAAGGAACTGAAAGCTCAAGCCCAGACGAGCCTGGGATGTTCTATTTTAGAAATATTCGATCCTCTGAGCTATGTAATTAGTGTGGGTGCGTATTAAGGGTAGCCCTCCATAATTTTGCTAGCCATCTAAATTATACATATGGAGACCTGGCGTCCCCATTCCCAGGACATGTTACTCTGGAGAAAGATTTAGAGTTGATGGTCCGAGTATTATGCTAAAAATGTGACCATCAGACGACCGGGAAGCTACCTAGTCACAAGGTCCTAGTAGGTTCTTTTGAATTCACCGAGGTACCAAGTGTTCCTATAATTGTTTACCTACATACGCATGGCTAGCTAAGGGCTCCGAGAGCATTCTACGCGCTATATTCCTCCTAACATATGATAATCAAGGTGGCTATGTAGGCCTTACCGGGAGTCACACCGACTCAGCTGTACCCTCCGGCTTGTAAAGAATGAGCATCTCTCAAGGTGCCTTGCGGAACTCCTAGCCTACCCTCGCCTGTTATGTCGCTTTAATCTGTACAATCTCACCTAAATGGAGAGGCTGTAAATTAAGGCCGAGTGCAACAGTAGTTCGCCACTATCAGTCTGTTTGATGTTGGCTAGATTGATCGCTCCGATAGGATAGGTAGGTAGGTAGTTGGCGGTCCAAAGGTGTCTGGGTTGAACGTGTTCTTTGTATTAATCTATGGCATTGGAACTTTTGAGAACACAATTGATAGCTAGGTATGCCCTCTTATCTGACGCTTTCCGTCGGTGAATAGTCCCTTCGCCTGATATGTAGTATTAATGAAACTTGAAGGTCTTATTCTGAACGTAACGGTGGAATTATTTTTCTACGGCACAGAGGCTTAATACCGCTTTATCAATCACGCATTAGTCCCGATACACATAGAGCTCAAATAAATACATTTAATTGATGTATTAAACTATAATGTCTGAAGAGAATTGTACATTCTAGGACTTCTAGGCTTAATCAGGCGATGAACCCTATCTTGAATAGAAGCATTTTCGGGGAGATCTCCGACTACCATTAGCTCTCCTAGGATCTTCAAGAAAAAGATACCTACCTACACATAGATCTTAAATAGATGTCACGATGGTTCTGGACTCTCGAGCTTGGGTAGTATTTATAATTCTAAGATAAGTATCAATCATTTGTGAGGTAATCTAAAAAGGTTACATTGTCATTCTTTCAACGCCGTCATTCCAATGTCCGTATCAAAAAAGCGTACTTGATCTTGTCTACTAAAATTAGGGAAACGCCCTTTCTTCTCGACTGCTCGCTACAACTTAATATGCATCCTATTCCAAGAGGTTTTAGAGTGCTTGTTTCGATCACTATCTTGCGAATTTCTGTTAGGTCTGTTCTACCTATCAGTCACGGAGCTTTTTTAGACCACTTACCTAATAACAGCCTTAGTACAACTGTCGTAGTAAATCATGCATAGCAACCTATTATCCATAAGCCTAGAACATGCCGTATTTAAATAAAGACCTGGTAATCAATTCCCCCATCGGATGTTACTTACCTATGGTAGGTAACTGGATGAATCTAGATGTCGTATGTCATCTGAGCAAACTACTACTAACTACCTCTAATCAGTGTGAAGGGGGAAGGATAACGGTAGACAATATCAGCAAGGAGCCAATTTAAGAACACGATTGCTTCTATACGTACTTAATAATATATTCATTTCGATAGTTACAGTTCGCCGTCTACCTAGGTCTACTATCATACATCCCGTCATCATCCCTCTGCATTTCGGTATCATCAAGTTTCGTTGGGGTTTGTTGGCCAAATGATCAGTCAAACAGCCTCATGACTTTAGTTTCCAAATTAAATATACCTAGGTAACCTTTTTCGTTTGTAGACATACGAACTCACATACTTTTAGTCACTGTAGTATTCCTATGCCTCTGCCAGTACGCACTTCGTGTATCTAATCACTTAGGTTAGATAAGTCATGCCCCTTCGGACATGAATACTCTCCTCATCATCAATCATCATGAAGCGCCATCGTTGGGTATCTTGCTTTTGCGGTATAGCTCCCACGTAAGTCTTTCATATTAACATACTAGTTTCTCTTCTATTGAACGATACGCTATAACATCTATGACCGGATCTAACCTACCGAGGCTAAAACAGATACATACTTCCTCGCTTGCTGAATAGATAATCGGAGTTATGTTATAACTATGGGTGCGAGAACTGCCTTATTTGGTTTTGATATATTGCCCGGTGCTCAAAAAGGGGTTGGTGGAGCAATAGGCTAGAGACTAACCAGCATACAGACACCTTTAGTATAATGTTGAAGCGGAACATATATCTCTTCCACTTTATAAGGTGCATGTTGGGCATGAGTCGCCAGGTAGGTAGGTATGCAGATAGGCAGATACTAAGACGTGCTAGATTGCCTTAATTAATCAAGACTGATTCATTACCTCCATGGCTTTGATTCTTGCACTTCACTTTACCGCGTATTCTTCTTGAACCCACCTAACAGGCGTCAATTTAGTCTGTTCGATATGTAACTGCGGCTTTTACTCTCATAATGCCTTTGGAAGAAAACTGAGTAACCTTGGGAACCTTGTGACTTTACCTTTGAGCGTTCTGAAGTGTAGCTATCTACCTACTCACTCCTGCAAAGATTTAGTTCCATATTAGGAACCTAGGTACCTAGCTAGGTATCAAGTAATCATTGCCACACTGCGTTCGTCTTACCCTTCTAAGACAATCTTCAACTGAAGACTAATCAGATCACTACTGAAGAAAGATAATCAAGATCGAAGTAATTTCTCGACTTTAGTTACTCAGATTCATGTTGATGGGTCATGAGCCAATGTAATAATGATCAAGTAACAGTTCATAGTTTTTCCGAAGTCAAAAGGGTGTGTAGAACCATGTGGTATTCACTGGATGATCCATGTAGAAGCTGCCAATGTCCTAAGTTGTCCTTAGCATGCGAAGATAAGAGCTTGCTAGTCATCCCAACATTCCATTGAGTTAATCATGAAGTCAAAAAAGGAACGATAGAACAAGACAAAGGAAGAGAGACAATGGGGGTAGAGTAGAGACGAGAAACTACTACGGAACCACTACCTCTTTGTTTAGCTCATGATCTAGACCTCAAGCCACCTGTTTACCTACACCGGTTGGACAATAACTAGAGCTATCCCGAAATGCTAGAATGTATTGTTCTGTATAGGTAGCTGCTCTAAGTATGATATACAAGTGATTCGATGGTGCTCTTCTCCGGCGCATCTCCGGGTGGGTGTAGTCAAGATATGTAGTTGTGTTCGGACGGATTGAACACGTTGAATACCGCCGCTAAATAATAAGCAGTGATTAGTGTATAATTTCTATTGCATCTTCCTAATCTGGATTTTGAATTAGGTGCTATTAAATAAAAGGACATGACAATTCTACCTATGGATCAAATCATAAATGTTAAAGAGGAAGAGTTAGGAGCCCTGTTATTAGTGAGCGCTATTGGCGCTTAGGTTAGACGTCCGCCGAAACAGCTCAGGATACGGCTAAAGCAATTTATTGATTTATTGAATATTACATAAATGGTTAATCATTTTACGGGAAAACACTTCATCAGTGCCTTCCGTTCTAGCGTCAGGCAACGTTTTGACTTCGTGTACAGTGGCGCGTTTGGTCAGCGACGACCACCAGCAAATTCCAGAAGTTTACGCGGCTACTTGCTTTATAAACAAGGCTTACGTTATGGCTTCCTGGCATCGCAGTTTCTCAAATGGATGAGCAGGCTCCCGCTACTTTTACTTCTTGATTTATTTCTTGATTTCTATTCTTTTGGACTTCCCCACATCTTCATTCTTATTTCTGTAAAATGGCGGAAATAGATCCTTTGATCTTTTCGTATTCGCACTTGGCGAACTTCCCCCGAGAAAAGGAGGCTTTACATACTCTTAAAAAAGTCGCTTCCTTGGTGAAGCCTTTGATGAGGGCGAGAGGATGGAAAGTTGGGCAGCTGACCGAGTTCTTCCCGGAACAACACAATCTCTTAGGTAGGATGCGGAAGCGTCAGTATCGGAATGACTGCGAGCTAACATGATAAATCATGATAGGCCTAAATGTAGGTCGCGGGCAGAGAATATGTCTCCGACTTCGGTATCATAGCGATCGTAACCAATTTGTCCCCATCGAACAAGTAATCGATACGATGCTTCACGAGCTAGCGCATAACGTTCACGGCCCACACGACGAGAAATTCCATGCTCTGTGGAATCAGTTACGGGAAGAACATGAGGCGCTTATAATGAAAGGATATACCGGCGAAGGGTTCTTGTCGGCGGGCCATCGACTCGGCGGTAGGAGGATACCCATGGATGAAGCTCGTAGGATGGCTCGGGCATCCGCGGAGAAGCGCCGCACGCTGAACGCAGGCTCCGGTCAACGACTGGGCGGTAACGCTCCCGGACCAGGCCAGGATATTAGAAGGGTTATTGTTAGCGCGGTCGAACGCCGTAATAATTCTCTCCGAGGCTGCGCGAATGACAACCGACCACAAAACGAGATTCAGCAAATCGCCGACACGGCAACTAAAAATGGGTTCAGGACACAAGCAGAAGAGGACGCCGCGAACGATGCCGCAATAGCACAGGCTCTTTGGGAGCTCGTCCAAGAAGAAGAGATGGCTAAGAAAGGCAACGATTACATTCCTCCCAGCTCCAGCATCCAAACTTGGGATGACGGCGGTGGCTCTTCTAGTTCGGCGCCGGGGCCACCTGAGCCTTCGCGTAAACCTGAGAAGAGCGTAAGTAGAGGATCTACGTGGACGTGCGATATCTGTACCCTCGTGAATCCGGCTAGTTTCCTATGTTGCGACGCATGTGGCATGGAACGAGGCGAGAAGATCACCCAAGACCTCGCCGGGAGATCGACAAAGGGACAGCCAACATTTATTGATCTGACCCAGTCCCCATCGGCGAATAAGCGTAGTGTTTCTACCTCAAAACCGGGTTCGAGACCGACGGCAGGACCACCCATACCACATTCTACGAGACCACCCGCGCCAACATGGACATGCACGTTCTGTGGACGGGTCAGAGAGAAACAATGGTGGTCCTGCGACCTATGCGGAACTATCAAGCAGCAATCGTAATGATGGAGATGATGGTTGTATCACGATTTTCACGAATTTGCTGAATACCCTTTTGAACTTTTGACGATATACTCGTCGGTTGGTTACTTGTCAGCCTATCTATTATCTAGCCTAGGAACTTGGAATATACTCATATATCCGTGATAAGCAGCTATGTAAACAATCACATCGTATTTGAACTTCGTCTTTCACGAGCCTAATCCGCCCACCTTGCTGGCCCGCCTCGACGACCCGGGGATCATCGAATAGGGCATACCCTAATTTAAGGGGTCTCTGTTCTAAGTCCCATCTACTTAATATCCATGTATCTACCTAGGACCCTTGCGTACGACTCAGGTAATATATGCGAGTAACTAATTATTCTAGGTACTGTTACCAGATCTTGTATACCCATCTTCATCTCGAAAAGCTTCATTCAGTTAGTCTATGGAGTATAGAGTGGATCATAGTCTGCGGGTTTGTGGCAATCGATTACCATATGTGAAGCTATGATATCATATTAATCCGAGAATACATGTGTTTGTATTTCCATTTTTTCACTCCTCAACACGTGTGGTTACATTGCTGATAGAATGCGACTGATCGATATTTCGAGAAGCATCCTCGACCCAGCTGCGCGCAATTCGTTATATATCAGCCAACCGATCTGGCCTGACGATACATCATGATGCAGGATCACAATGCAGGATGAGTACAACCTCCAGGGTCAGGATGGGTAGAATGAGGCAAAAAGCTGATCCTTTAAGCACGTAAGGCTGGACAATCTGACAATCCTAGTCCCGGCTGTCGATGCCGCACCTTATTACGTGCCTAGTAACGGAACGCGGGAGTGGCCAGACAGCCAGGCAGGGCGGGGAAATGGACGGAGTTGAGGGTCTGAGGGTGTGCTGGGTGTGAGGCACAGAGAGCAGCTGGAACTGGCAGCTGTGACTGTTCGGGAGATTATCGTGCTACGACGTCATTCTGGGGCTGATCCCACATGGCTGTCGTTGCAACCGCTTATCGATCTACCTGACGCTAAAATTCTAAACCCCTGTACGATAATTGTGCTATGATGTAGATGTATAAGTACCTTTCATCTGTAGGTCCTGATATGGGATCCGAGATGTTTTCGACGGCAAGTCGCAGCATCAAGTTTTACGATGCTGCTGCTATCCGATGGGCGAAGTTGTGTAATGGATGGCTAAGACTGAAGTCACCGAAATTCTATTTCGCCTTAGGTAGATTGTCTAGCGGTTTAGGTTGTTTTAGTTCAATACGGCCTATCCCTCACATGGATTTAGCTAGATGGCTATGCACCATCGATAGTGTGTAACCTTTTCCGGCTCGTCCTCCAATCACGGGGAGAATCTGGTCGAGTAACCTACCGATTCGGTACCCGGTACGGTAGTTGTCTTAGGTGCCTAGATTGCCTAAGACCCTGCTAGGTCCACTTTCAATTCCTACGATCGTCTCTCATTCGATCGCCAAACATGGTCTAACATAGCTTGCGAAGGACCCCTGAATGGATATTGCAGTTCCCGCATGTTGGGCATCGGCCCTGTTATGTCGTCCTGGTCGTCCTAAAGCTTTGAAAACCGAGGGACCTGTTGTATTACATTATCATAACATGAACGTATGAACCTTAGCCCTTGCAAACCTTGAGTTTCGAACCAAGATCGCGTTTGTAAACCGAAAACATTCTCTTGTACAACACAAGATCAGAAGGTTCTAACTAATAACGGCGTAGTTCCCGGCCAACTGTATCAGGTAAGCTCTAAGCTCCTTCCCCGTTATGTATGTTCTACCTACCTACAAACAAGGATTAGCTATATGCAAGTGCGTACCTTAGGGATGTACCAGGTACGGCGTGTGAGCTGAGTGAGCTGCATTTAGGTAGGTACGGTCTGGACCATCCAATGCCGCACACCGACAACGGTACGTTCTTTTTTTTCACTGAGACTCCAACAGATCTAACCTAATTGAATTTCTTCTTCCATTCCTCTATTCCTCAACTCTACAACTCTGTCCTACGTCCTGCCCCTGCCCGAACAGACATAGAGACCAGAACAAAGCCCGCACCGCGGCGTCGTTCGCATATACATACGTATTCCGAGGGGTTGGACGAACGCTGCGGGAAACTTGACCCTTCTTAAATCCTCTTCGAAGGAACTCGTTCCTCAATACGGCATTGGTAGTTCTCTTTAGGCCTAGTGTTACCGAACGTTCGAGACCGTCTGCCGTAGTCCCGTGGATGGTGCGCTGGCCGGCGTGGATCTGACATTAGACAGGCATTTAGATACTAGAAGAATCCTTTAGCCAACCGTTGCCTCCGGCCGCTGCGTATTCACCTGTATTGCCGATCGATTCATGGCCACCCGACTAGCAGAACCTTAAGAAAACCTCTCGTCGGATCTTTCGCTAGGAAGGCTAGGAAGTATTGGAAATACCGGAAACTGGAAATACCTCGCTCCAATTCCTTAACCTGACGACTGACGACCGACGTGCGGGCTGTGCTTTCTGTTGTAGCCGTTGTGGCTCATGGGCTTTTCTCTATCTGTGTCCTCTGCTTCGGCGACATGACGTCTCCAAATTCTCTGAGCGTCCCGAGTTCTATATCCGTATCCATGATCTCGGAATCCTCGACTACTCCAGCTCCAGATTTTGTCCCACCCCCGAACCAGCGTTTGGACGAGAACCGCAGACCCGCCCTCTTTTCAATCGACCAACGATCTTGTCTTCGGGATGGCGATCCTCTTCCCATTAACCCTAGTTTTATGTCCGGGGACACGCCGTATATGCCGCCGATGAAGGAGAGGCGTTCTGCCTCCGCAAGTCCTCTGAGATTAACCATGCCCCTTATCTCGCCGGGACAGCTCGCCTACTCCGCCATGCAATTCTTACCCGTGCCTCTGCTGGTTCTCAATACTCTGAAGACCGTCGTCTTGGCGAACGAGTCTATGGGAAAGCTGCTGGGCATGGTCGGCGATGCGCCCCTACCCGAGGATGATCCTGCCATGCTGTGCGAGAGCCTTCGGGGGCAGACGCTCTCCCAGATTGGCATTGACATGGTTCAGGATGGTAAGCCGATTTGGGTTTCTTGGGAGTCGTTTCTGGATGAATTAATACTCGAGATGCGCCCGCAACAAGAGATCGATACCTCGGCGTCGAAGTTTAATCATGTAGGCGCAGAGGCAACACACACGGCAGGTGCTGCGAAATCGGAGCTTCCCGGTGGCGCTTCGGGTAAGCCGTCGACGAGTTCTGTCGTGGACGTGGTAGTGCTACCAAAGAACTTCGACGTCGCCGGAGTTCCTAGATCGAAAAGGTCTGAGTACCAGACGTATGCGAAAATGATCATTTCGATATGGGAGATCGAAAATCAACAAACCTATTTTACCCTGACCTTCACCAACACAGGATCGTCTCCGTCGTCTGCCCCGCCAACTAGGCGGGTCCGTGTCGCTCGGCCATCCACGCTCGAGGCCGCCGAACGTAGATCTATTTTCAATTCCAATCCGCCGTCGCTTGGCTCCGGTCGTTCTTCAAGTTCGCCGTCCTTTGGCGATAGTCCCATTTCTATTACGGTCTCTTCAGGCTCGTTTCCCCCAAACGGGCCTCCCTCACGTCTACCTCAATCGAGCACTCCGTCGTACCTCCAGAAGTTGACCATCATAAAAGATGCGCTTCTAGACAAGACCGAGACGCCGATATTTTCCATGTGGGTAGATGGCAGCGCCCCCGTCATGAACCGAGCGGCTCGGGAACTGTTCATAACTACTACGGGCGGGTCCTATCAGGATGGATATGATCTCCTTCCCAGGTGGGAAGTTTGGGACGGTGACTTCAACAGAAAATACAGCCCGGCAGAGTTTCCTATTTCCGTACTTCTAAGAGAGCGGAAGCCTTTCCCTTCTTGGAGAATTGGCATGTACGACAAGGCGAAGGATGCTCGTATCGTATATGATGTACTTGGTGAGCTGATTACGGAGGATGAGACCGGAGAAGTCATTGCCGGCATAATCACCTGTCGCAACGTAACGGGCATGGCCCAGGAGATTACAGAAATAAGGATAGCGGACAAGGAAAGGTTTCAATTGATCTGCGATACGATGCCCCAGATGGTCTGGACTACTAGGCCGGACGGGCTGCATGATTTCTTTAATAGCCGATGGTACGATTACACTGGATTATCGCCGGAAGAGTCGATGGGTATCAATTGGAAATGCGCGTTCCATCCAGACGATATACCCGCTAGTAAAAGACGGTGGGAGCACAGCATAGCTACCGGGGAGCCGTACACTACTGAGTATCGATGTCGTGGCAAAGATGGCAAGTATAGATGGATGTTAGGACGTGCGTTACCGCTCAAGAATAAACATACAGGGAAGATTGAAAAATGGTTCGGGACTTGCACCGACGTGCACGAGGCTCTCGAGGCGAAGGTGGCCGCGAAGCAAACGAGAGAACAACTTCTTAGCGTCCTTATACATGCGCAGACTACGATCTTCGCCGTCGATCACGACCTCAAGGTTACGATGTTGGAAGGCGCGTTGACTTGGGATCCCGCGAGAGGCGGCGATGATCCCGACGGAACAGACCCGCGGACGTATGTTGGAAAGAGCATCGACACAGTATTCACCAACTTAAATCCGCACCTTCGCTTGGACGAATTACCTGAATTCCTCGAGCCGTTGAAGCGGGTCTTGGCTGGAGAACAGACATCGGAAACGGTGCATGAGCACAGATTGGGTAAGTATACGCGCAACTGAAATAGGACTCTATTAACGATCGTTTAGATGACTGTTACTACCGCACTAGGTTCTTGCCGCACGTGGACAAATTCCAGCAGCACGGTCAGCTTACCGTGTCACACATCAAAGGCGCCATCGGTGTCATCATGGACGTTACCGAGTTGAAGAAACGAGAGCAAGATCTCGAAGTGCAGGTCAAGGAGAAGAGGCAGCTCAAGGCTAACGAAGCGGCGGCTAAAGAAGCGAGTCGTTTGAAGAGTCAATTCTTGGCAAACGTAGGAATCCTTTTCAGTTTGATTTTTCTTTTCTTTTCTTTTCCAATCTATTTTTGGTTCCTTGGGGATATACGCAAGTATTGACGAAATATTATTAGATGTCGCATGAAATCCGAACGCCGATTACCGGGGTGATAGGAATGGCCGAGCTTCTTCTCGACTCACCTCTTAACGAAGAGCAGCGAGAATATGCGGAGAACCTAAGTCGATCCGCTAACGCGTTACTAACCGTCATCAACGATATTCTAGACTTCTCCAAGGTCGAGTCCGGGCGTCTCGATATCGAAGAGGTCCAATTCTCTCTCTCAGTAGTGGTGCAAGATGTTTCCAAGATGCTGAGTTTTGCGGCCGAGAGGAAAAGCCTGGACTTCCAGTCCGACATAGCAGCTGATATTGAAAAGGACCTCGTAGTCCTCGGAGATCCCGGCCGCGTCCGACAGATTATTACGAATCTCCTCACTAATAGCATTAAATTTACAAACATTGGCTACGTCAAGTTTTCGGTTTTGAAAGAAAGGGAGACAAGTGATACTCTCGAGGTTAAATTTGTTATTGAAGACACGGGCATCGGGATTGAAGAGGACGTGTTGAAGCGCCTCTTTCAGCCGTTCAGTCAAGGAGATCCGTCTACCGCCAGGAAATTTGGAGGAACAGGATTGGGATTAACAATATCGAAGAACCTCGTTGATCTAATGCGTGGAAGAATCACGCTAGAGTCTACGATCGGCAATGGCACTACTGCCACCTTTTGGATACCATTCAACAAACCGCAAAATCCGCAGCGGGACGGGCTTGTCGATATAGGTCACATATCCGAGCGATTACAATCAGAGATGAGTGTTTCATGTAATAGTTCAGAGCACGAACATTTCTTAGGGACGGCGCCCGCAGATAAGGGACCGTTAGATAAGCCGAGACGGCCTCGGCCAAAGAGACCAGCTAATCTAATGGCACCTTTCGCCTACGAAATAGAAGACCTTCCTAAATCGGAAAGAGCCAAGATTCAAGTTCTTGTTGTCGAGGATAAGTGAGTTGACTACCTCCCAGGTCTAGACACTCCGGTACCCCCATAGTCTTCTAACATGACATCTCTAGCGCGGTTAATCAACAAATCGCAACTAAGACTATCAAGAAACTTGGCTTTAAGGTCTGTGCGGTGTGGAACGGGAAGGAGGCTCTCGAACATCTCGAAGCGTGCAGGGAGGGCAAGCATATCAAGCCGGATATCATTCTTATGGATGTACAGATGCCGGTAGTCGATGGATACCAGTGCACTCATATATTACGGCATCATGTCCCATACAAAGCATACGCCCACGATGTGCCCATCGTGGCTATGACGGCCTCGGCTATACAAGGAGATAAAGAGAAGTGTAAGAAGGCAGGTATGGACGATTACTTGGCTAAGCCTGTCAAGAGTAATACCCTTGAGAGAATGCTAGTGAGGTGGAGCAAGTCCCGTCGAAAATTAGAATCGATATCGTCTTCCTCGGCCAACCAGTCCGTTTCGGACTGTTCGGAATCGGCAGATAGGTGCGTCAGTACGGGCCTCCCTACGCTAGCCACGTTTGGGTTTACGTCGATATATAATCCCAAAACGCCATCGGAGCATGCGCCGCGTCGCGACCTGGAAGGCTCTCCGGAAGACCCTCTTATGAATTTCCCCACACCTCGACCGATAACGTCGCGGAAAGGATCAAACGAGATGAACCCATTTTCTTTCGGGATCTCTCAACCATCCAGGTCGCTTGATAGCAACGAGCTAGCCATGCAGCTGAGAGATGATAAGCTCATCGACGCTGCTGACAGTCGTAACAATAAGAATCCCGGAAAGACGTCCATGTCGCACTCTTTCCCCGAAGGCGATTCCTTGACGGAGGCTAACGTTCTCCTGTTGGAGCAGACGAGGATGAAGGGGTCTCCGGGTAGATCACCCGTTAGGAAAACATGAAATCGAGACATGCCGTCACGACAAGGCGTTTGGAGTACTTTTGCTTTGCTGCTTTAAGGGCTTGCATCTATGGCTGGTGGGCCGGATCACTGGGAGGAGCCAAAAGGTTGGATTATCCGATAACAGCACAATAATATCTTAAAAGGCGCCATTGCAAGACGATGCGCGCCCACAAATTTGTTTCGTGCGGCCGGCGTTATAGAAGGAAATCGAATGCAGAGCCGGCGTTGGTGGCTATGATAACCCCTCCGCTTTGCTTCAAATGGGTTCGGACCTCTGGCGTTTAGACGGTTTGGGAGGTGAAAAAATCACGCATATTGCCTTATCGAGCTTTACGCTTCGAGGGCTGGACGGTATGACTTATTTATGGCTTATGGCCTGTCTGATTAGGCGCCATATTGCTCGAGCATAGAGGTGATGCCCTAGGCGCTCAGCAATATATGTATGATGCGGTAGGTAGGTTCGCCGCAAGCGCTTAGGTACCCTTAAAGCTTATTACGTAGTGATAATAAAAGATATCTACATTGAACGATCTTTGCTCTGATCGTAAAGCTGCGAAAGAAGTAGAAAGAAACTGAAAGTAACGCACTGGTATCGAAGAGGTGGTCTTCGCGATAGGGGTTTAAATTTGACTGTATCAGATGCTAACGCCCTCAACTAGAAATTCTAGTTTTTTCGAACCAATACGGGAGGTTAGGTATGCGAATAATAGTTCAATATAAAGAATTGTGCTTTTATTTTACCCGCGATAATTCTATATCAAGTATGCGGGTGGTCTGAACGATACTTTCCCGAGTCCTTCCTCATCTATCTATCTCCGAGTGGTTGATCACCCAGAGAACGTATCTTAAATTCTTTTTTTACCGGCCCTCTCCTCCCACCCGGGGAAAAGCTCCCAGCGACCCCTTTCCAGGCCACCACTTCTAATGGTGAACCAGGTCCGTCCTCTCCTGACGATACGAGTCGGCGACCAGGAAGGCCAGCTCCAGAGCCTGCTTCTCGTTGAGGCGCGGGTCGCAGAAGCTCGTGTAATTCGTGCTCAGGTCGTCCTCGGCCAGGCCCTCGCTGCCGCCCAGACACTCGGTCACGGCGTCGCCCGTGAGCTCGAGGTGCACGCCGCCCAGGTAGCTGCCCTCCTCGCGGTGGACGCGCAGGGTCTCCCGCAGCTCGGTGAAGATGTCGCCGAAGCGCCGCGTCTTGATGCCCGTGGATGTGGATTGCGTGTTCCCGTGCATCGGGTCGCATTGCCAGATGCATAGCCCGCGGTACTCGGACCCCTCGACGGCGCGGATGTGCGAGGGTAGGAGTGATGCTACCTTCGAGGCGCCGTACCGCGTTATCAGCGTGATTTTGCCGACTTCGCGCTGTGGGTTTAGGGCGCGTAGGAGCGAGAGTAGGTCTGATGTCGGTGTTGTGGGGCCTACTTTCACGCCGATCGGGTTCGCGATGCCTCGGAAGAATTCGACGTGCGCGCCGTCGACTTGCCGCGTGCGGTCCCCGATCCAGAGGAAGTGCGCCGAGGTGTCGTAGTATTGTTTTCCGGGCGTCCGGGTCTTGGACTCGCCGCCATCATCACCACCACCACTGCTACCGTTAGCGACGCTGCTCTCGTCGTCCAGGCGCACGACGGGCGTCTCGACGAGGCGCGTGAGCGCTTCCTCGTACTCGAGCAGCAGGCCCTCGTGGCTCGTGTACAGGTCGACGGTGTCGAGCTTGGGGCTCCGGTCGGCGCCGACGGTGTGCATGAAGCGCAGCATGTCCTGCAGGAAGCGCACGGCCTCGGTGTACTTGGCCTTCAGCTGCGGGTCCCGCACGTGCCCGAGCGTCCAGTCCAGCGGCCGGTGCAGGTCCGCGATGCCGGCCGCGAGCGCGGACCGCACGTAGTTTAGGGTTGCGGCGGAGTGGTGGTAGGCTCTAAAAAAAGGTGGGGTCATTGTGAGTTTTTACTACTATGTAAATGGCTTTTTCGCTTTGCGACGAAGTGGGTAGGTAGGTAGATTCTAGGTAGCCATACTTTACAAGCCTTTGCGGGTCCAAGTCTCGCTCCTCGAGTTGGTAACCGTTCAGGATATCACCCCTGAACGAGGGGACCTCCTTCGTCTCGCCGTTGATGACGACCTTCTCATGGGGACTGGAGCGCGGCTTCGCGTACTGCCCGGCCATGCGGCCAATGCGCACGACGCGCTTGTTGGCGCCCCATACTAGAACTAAACTCATCTGCAGCAGAAGCTTGATCTTGGACTCAATGGCATCGGCGCGGCAGTAGTCGAAGAGCTCGGCGCAGTCGCCTCCCTGCAAGAGAAAGGCTTTGCCGCGGGCCACGTCCCTCAGACTGGCCTTCAGCCGGTCGATCTCCTGCGGGTGCACGACGGGCGGCAGCCGGCTCAGCTCTGCGGTGGCGCGCTTCACGCCGTTCGGGTCCGGGTACACGGCCTCCTGCTTGATAGGTTTAGAACGCCAGGACGAGGGCGTCCAGGGTAAGCCGGATGCGGACTCGGCCATGTTTGCGTTGTGCGGCAGGTGGGCAATGAGAAGGGATTAAGAGCGATTGAGAAAGACTGGCGGGGCCAATTGACTATAAGTGAGGGATTTTAAACATACGATGTGCTACACGAAGTAATCAAATGCGTTATGAAGGCTTAGTATGAGTCACTTGACGTGAGAAGAAGCCACTGAATATAGTATATGCATTTTATGTATTATGTTACCTAATCGGGATGAGTGTTCACTACAAGGGACCCCTGAGACTGACGTACGCCGTGGTTTCCTGGTCTCTGTGCTATGCAATAATTGGGGGTTGCTAAGGTACGGTTATCTTATATTGCATTTCTGGGATTTAACAGCTCAAAGTTGCCCCGCATCAATTGACGCTTCCTCACAAAATAATATAATTGAACATCTCCAAGCAACAAACAGCAGAAAAACAGACGAAATGGCCGAACCACAACCGAAAAGCGTGCACGAAGGGGCCGGAGATGTCGAAGACGAGGTCCAAACCACCGCGAAGTCGGCTGAGGATCGCAAGGCAGCGGCGGCAATGGCCAGCCTCGATGCGCGGGGAGACGACGCGGGCTCGGGCAACGCTGTCGATCAAGAAGCTGCTAGCAAAGCTATAAAGAGCCTCGGAAGCGGTGCTCCCGGTGAGAAAAAGGAGGTCAAGAAGGTTAAGGTAGACGCTGCTGATGTAGCTTTACTGGTATGCTTGGCTTGATTTATCGTCCCTGGCGATTGAAATGGGGCGATATAAATACATAATTACGAATACTAACAATCCTTGGTGGGATGATAGGTCGACGAACTAGATCTTACTAAAGTCAAAGCAACTGAGCTGCTTAAGGCGCATGACGGCGATGCGGTGCTGGCTATGAAGGCTTTCATCGCTACGTGAGGGTGATTACGAAAGGAGAGTCAGCAAAAGGAAAATTCCGTATTGTCGCGTAAGAGGCGGCGTGGCTGCGTCGGTCTGGCGGGGCGATAGAGAAAATGGATATACCCAACCGCCTCAGTTATATGAGGGTACTCTACATTTCGAGGATTAGCGAATGGATGCCTCTGTCTTACCGTGGCCTATTCGTATCGCTAATGGAGCATACTGCAGGCCTTTTGGCCGTCGAAGCTCAGTGCCAAGAGAAGAGAGTATCATTTGGGGGTTAGCATCTAAAATCAACAATGGAAATAAGAGCCTTCAGTTGTATGGCCAAAGTGCCTAGGCACCCTGAGCATTACCAATACACCCATCGTCGATACGGCGGACGACTGTGGTTGTTCTTATCTTATATCCGATGAGCCTCAACAAGTAAATGAGTGAAGAATACGACGTGATCACTTGCCTGGCGTCACCTTTGAAGTTCTACGCTAACCTTCTAATGATCTCTTCGCAGTTCAGGTTTTTTAAATTAAGGATAACCACCCGATCCAATCTGTGAGCCAGCATCTATTTTATGTTTATGGCCGATGAGGCCCATTCGCTGTTAAGAAATCGGCTTTAAATCTACCCTTCCTCTATTATTAAATCTTTAGAAATCCTGACACTATCCTCGGGTCCAAGTTCCCGCACTAAATAGAATATGGTCTAGAAGATCGCCAGTTTAGCGTCACAGGGGTTCGGACGCCATAACTAGGCGCGGGAGAATTATCTGACGACCTTATTCAGCATATCATCTTATTAATCAAACTCATCTACCTTTGTCGACGATACCATCGTGGGGCCAAATGAGTCCACAGGATCATCAAACTAATTCTACACCCTAGGAAGAATTACATGACCCCTATGCAATCAACATTACCGGGCCCTCCCCTCGAGGAGCGGGCTTGTCGTAATGGAGACCGAGTTCGTATCATAACGTTCTATAAGAATCTTGGTCTTCTTAGGTAGAAAACATGTATTCCTATCAAAGAGCATCACACCAGAGTTGCGGACGAGGACTTCTAGACTCCGAACCCTAATCTTATGCACGTCATGCATTTCACAAGATTCGCGCTGCCGGTCTTAGCCACCCTGGCCCAGGCGACAGCAGACCTCACGAAATGGGACGACTGGGAGCACGGCCGAGTCGCTCTTCAGGACGTTAGCATTCACTTCCGGTACGCGGGCTCCGGTCCTCCACTGCTCCTCATCCACGGGAACCCGCAGTTCAGCCTGACGTGGCAATTCATCGGGCCCGTCCTCGCGCAGAACTACACCGTCATCGCGCCCGACAACCGCGGCGCCGGCGACTCCAGCATCCCGCCCGACGGCAACTACAGCGCCGCCGCCATGGCCGCCGACCTCAAGGCAGTCCTGGACTTCCTGAACGTCAGTTCTGCGTACGTGTTCTCGCACGACAAGGGCGTGGGCCCCGCCTTCGCGCTCGCGGCCCAGAACCCGGGGCTGGTGAGGCGCCTCGGCGTCGCCGAGTACGTGCTCCCGGGCTTCGGGTACGAGACCGCGGCCACGCCCGCGCCGTACTGGGACCTGTACCAGAACCCGCAGCTGGCCTTCTTCCAGATCCCGGACTTCGCGGAGTTCCTGATGAGCGGCAAGGAGAGGCGGTTTCTGGAGTGGTATTTTTACCACGGCAGTTACGCGGGCCCGACGGCGTTCTCGGAGGATACGGTGAGCAGGTACGCGAGCAGTATCGGGAAACCGGGGTTCTTGAGGGCTATGCTGGGCCCGTTCTCCGCGGCGGCGGTGGCGGATGATCATGCGTTTTTTAATGCGACGTTGGGCGTGAGTCCCCTGAGCGTACCGACGTTGGCGCTTGGTGGGGAGGCGAGTTATGGGGTGTTGAGTGTGCTGCGGGAGTCTTTCGGGCCTGTTGCTAGTGATCTGGAGATTGATATTGTTCCGAAGGCTGGTCATTGGATTGGTATGTTTTCTCCCCTTGTCTTTTCGTCGGAGCAAAGGTTGCCTACCTATGTACGGACCGCTAACATGCTTGATACAGCCGATGAGAATCCGGTCTGGGTTGCGAACCGCGTTGGGCGATTCTTGGCTAATGATTCGTCTCCTATAGACGCTGTCGACTTGTCCTATCTCAAGGACGCGGTGACGTTGAAAGTGGGCTATTTCGGAACGCTGAGAAATGCTGCTCTGGGGGGATTTACGGTATCGTGATTGCAACAGATCGTCACTAAATAAGGAGACTCGCGTTTAAAGCATGGTCATACTGCAAGGAAACCATCATTCGCATAAAATCTGCTAAAATTTTTATTATCTAATTCTTGATAGATCTAAGTAGATTGATTCTCTGGCAACATAACGCACATCTAGCACCATTTGCCATATCCACAAATTACTTGATATAGTGTTTTTCGTGGTGTTTTTATTGAGAGAAACATCTAAACAGCTATGTAGGTAATCCTGAGTGAGATTGACAAACTTTCGAATGGATAGGTATAGCGACAACTCATATGCAACCAAAGACTCACCATTTCCTAGGTACTCACTCTATAATTGCTTCCTCAAACGTTTGGTGTCTATTGCAGTGGGAAATGTCGTTTCTGTTTGTGTTTTAAAGACAACATTGCGATTTTGACATGTATGGGTAGCTAGAGAAACAATTACGCCGTGCTGCTTCCTGTTCGTTCCTATATAATGTTCGGGCCCCTGAGTCCAATGTACCATGATAGAATTATCTTCAAGGCAGTAAAATGGCGTATCTGTCGGTTCCTCGACGAGACCCTGTCGATAATGGGGAAGCTGTCCATCTTGCCCTTGAAGAAGCTGGGATATCTTATTCCGTTGGCGATTCTACCGACCTTATTGGCCTTACCAATGAGCCTCCTCCGGTTTTATTGCCGGATGACGGGAGCGGTCCTACATCAGGAACTCTAAGGATATTGCGAAATAATTGTATGAAAATCCAACTCTGTGGCCACGGCAGCGAAAATTTCCATAGAATTCATGCTACTGCAGAGCTAACTTTCCTTTGCTTTAACACTGCTTTGTATGAATGGAGAGAGGAAGACACTGAAGGGCTATCAGAACAAGAGCAGAGGCGAATGAGAGGGGATTGGGGCCGAGACTGGGTTGATAGTGTTTTGCCTCATCATCTTGACCAGTTCCAAAACAATCTCCCACCCCCTGCACCCCCCAATTACCCTTGGTTACATGGCGATGAGCTGTCTTACGCAGATTTGTTGCTGTTTCAAGTAAGTGCTATCTGACTCAAATTTTATAATGATGTTTTGGAATGACTGATAAAAATTCGACGTAGTGCATCGATGAAACCAAGCATCTATTCCCAAAAGCCATGAACCAAGCTAGGAGGTCCGGAAGATACGGTCGAATCTTTAGGGTCTATGACAGCGTAAAGCAGCGATCCAGGATATCAAGCTATCTTAATAGCCAGAGAAGACGAGACAATACTGCTGGGATTTATTGTTATCATGAGGAGATGGATTTGGAGAGCACAGCATGGTCGGTGATGAATGGTGGCTGAGTTCAGCTCTAGGAGTATGAAGCATGAGGAGGTTATCGGAAAGGTTTATGAATGAAGGACTGTGGCAATAGTGTAATCAATACCTAGGTAGACTTTGACATTGCCAAACTTCCGCATTCAATCATTCGGATAGTTTCGCTTTTAGAAGTAGGTAGTTTTAGGAGAGCATCATAGTGCGAGATGACAAGCAGAAATAGATAAATAAATAGAAACGAACGTTAAGAAGCCAATCCTGAGGCACTATTGATCATCACCTGCCTACTGAACCTCGGCTATTGGGTAATTCTTTACCACCCCCTTTCAGGATCCTTGATAACGTGCCCGTTCATCAGGGGTTTGATCCTCTATATACTCAAAGAGCGACTACTGTAAGGTCTCACATAGCATTGCAAAGGCTTCCTTTCGCCAACATTGAACTTCGTGAAATATTTCCACTAGCGCCGAGCCTCCCTGAGATTTGTCACGTTCTCGTAATGCTCGTTAGCCTCATCTGCAGCCCGGTTTGCTTCATGATGCGAGACGTATACTCAAAGGCCGACCACGTGTTTGTATGGTTAGGCGAGGAAGATGGGACGATAGCGCTAGCGATCAGCTCTATTCATGCGATTGTTGCACAGTGCAAGGAGGAAACTCAAAATTTTGTTAAGTTGGTCGATATAATATGGGCTGACAAAACGTACACATACTCCGACGCTGGTCTGCCATCTGTATGCGATTGGGAGGCGTTGTACAGCTTCTTCTCGTCTCCCTGGCACACCCGCCTGTGGCCGATCCAGGAGGTCTGCCTCGCCAAAGAGGCAATATGCCACCGTGGACAGCATACTATTCTGTGGAGCAAGATTGCATTGGCCGCCCGGTGGATGTATCACAGGAAATATTGGACCATTGGCAATCAAAGATGCCGCGGTTTGGATTGCGCGGCCGAGGTGTACCATAGCTCTGGCGGACCCAATGGTTTATACGAACACCTGCAGCTTTGCCCGTACTTCGACGCAACGGATCCAAGAGATAAAATCTTCGGCCTCCTAGGCCTTAGACCCCCTTCCTCCCCAGGCGCAGAGGGCCAAAGCTTTGCGATTGTGCCCAATTACCAGCGCATGTCCCTGAAGGACGTGTACGCGGCTGCCGCCAGAGTTGCGATTGCCGAGGGGAGCTTCGTGGTGCTGAAGCGAGCCACTTTCCTACTTCCGCCGCCGCTCGATATACCGTACCCGGACACGCTACAGATTGGTTCATTTCCGTCATGGGTACCGAGATTAGATGGTTCGTGGGATGCCCGACGAGGGTCGCCTATGCCAATAATTGCTAGGGCTGGGAAATCTGCGGGCGGAGATTTCAGGCTAAGACCTGTCTCTCTACCTGATGATGCAGACGTTTTGCTGCTTCGTGGTCTGGTAGTCACCAAGGTCGCACGAACTAGCAAGCCTTTGAGCTATGAGGTCCTTGACGATCCAGCCGAAGCCGCAAACGTTATAAGGCATGCGTGGGCCATAGCTACGGAACAGTATTCAGCATCTTATGACGCTAGAGGGGCTCTAATAATGTTCATTTTCACGCTTACTAGTGCTGGAAGAAACGCCAATGGCCAAATGATTTACGGGGACCTTGCACATGAACAAAGATTCGCCGCCTTTATGCTCAACCACGGCGGCCTCGACACGCAAGTAGACAAAGTTCTATCAGGATTTGTGGCGGACCACGACCCTAAGGAATTTCTCGGGTCATTGGTTGAAACTACTATGAACAGATGCTACATCATCGGCAACTCCGGAGAACAAGCGCTGGGGCCCATCGGTGTACAAGTAGATGATATCCTTGTTATCATCTTGGGGGCGGATGTGCCTTTCATCTTGAGACCAGTTGAAAACAAGTGGCGACTTATAGGCGACGCCTATGTTCACGGTATAATGGAGGTGTGTACAATCCCTGCGAACATGTCCAGATATGACGGCTCACAATACCCAAGGGTGAATATATTGAGATGATGAACATCCGTGGAATTCTCGACAAAAACGTGCTTCAATTTGCAACGATATGAAGAGCCTTTACCAGTTTAAGACAGTGCTTTAAGGATATGGCTGTGGGATTCGAAACGCTATTACGAATCACTAGATAGCTCTAAAAAAAAGATTGAATTTAATTTAATAAGCGCATTTCTCGGTAAGTCTATTTAATGTACGAAGACAACGGATTGTAGCTAAGTATCTATGTATCCAGGCATTCACTGATGTTACCTTTACCTGTTGTGTAAGGTGCTTACCCCTTTAGTTGGCATAAGATTATAATTTCCATAGAACCAGTATTAACTGTACATTGGCCATAGCGTAGACCCGCCAAACCTGTAGGCGTTGAGGCTTTTCCAATGATTTTCAGAAGGGTGTTAATAGAGCTGAAAGGCTGCCAGCAGTATAGTTACCTATGAATTATGACAGAATTTGATCCTTATGGCAACCAAGGAGATGGAACAATTCAGTGAGCAGTCGAAGGCTATTTATATTCAGAGCTAGAGGAGTACCTAGGTAGATACGTGTATGATAGATACTATGGAAATCCGTTCGGTTTGCCATGCTTGTTCTCTCTGCCCTCTGCCCTTTGCCCTCGCCAAGCCCCTTTTCATATGTCAACCAACGAAAGAAATTCCACGTAGACAACTAAGAGAATGTGATTGGTGTTGTAATCTGATGCCATGCCCACCAAGTCTTCCCCCCTTAAATGTGAATGTGATTCTTCATGAGAGGTGTCTAGCAGTTGTTGCTGCCGCACTTTCCAGAGATGAAGCGGAACGAATTGTCGCCAGAGTATTCCGAGATAGGCCAGCAAGTGCTGCCGGTAGGGACGGAAGAGCAAGTGTTCTGGCAGGGGCAGTTTCCGCTGGGGGAGACGACCAAGGCGTAGTCGCCACCGGCGGATCCGTGGAATAGAATGGACTTGCGGCCAGACTCGTTGAGGCAGCCCGGGTTGGACACGCGGACAGATTCACCGCAGCCCTGAGTGCAGGCGTCGTCGTCGCAGAACTGGGCCCAGTAGTCGTCCTGGGCGCTCTCCTCGGCTGGGAGACCGAAGGCTAGGGGGGCGGCAGCCACGAGGAAGAGAGCGATGGTCTTGCTGAAGAACATTTTGAAGGTATTGAAAGATATCGAATTTCTCTAGTCAGATGATTGTTGTTTTGTGTATGAGTGTGAGAGTCTGAATGTGAGTGTGATGGCGATGATGATGGAGAATAACCCAGAAAGCAGGTCGGCGCGGGCCTCTTTTATATTCAAAATTCTTACACATTGTCTCCCTACATGCCTTACGCCTTCCTATGACCCAGTCTCTGATAATGGCAAGTCCTCTACCACAATTAGCATCACCATAGAGTGGTTCACCGTAACATGTCCTTGAAAGGTACCTAGGTACAGTACCTTACGAGACATGAATCCATTCGGATATCATTGGCGTCGGCACCTGTTCAGTTGTTGAGTTAGGCTCGAAGGGCTAACGTTGAAGCAGGATGTATAATCGCGGCTCAGGAACAAGGCTGGTTGTCAGGCATCACCGTTGAAAGCTGTGTAGCCAGTAAGCACCTACTAGCTTGAATAGGAAGGGCGCAGCTGGCGCTTCCTCTTGCCATTACAGACTCATACCACTCATACCTCTATTCTGGAAGATAAATATACACATGATCCTTCAACAGCCATCAGCTTACCGTCGTACACAGTTAGTTGGTCGACAACTCGTCAAGATGAGGTAGTTAATGGTTGAATATGATGGCCTGATACGGAGGACATCTGGCCCCTTAATGGCGTAGCTTACAAGGAGTAGCTTGAGGTCCAGTAGAATCCTAGATTCCTCGCCGAAGTGCAATAATTACTCATCTCCGCCTATTCACGCTCCGGGCTTTCTTTTGGCATTTTCTTTGCAAATCGCTCTCGATAAGGAAACAATTCTCGAGAGAGGCTCAGTCACGGCGACGAGCTGAACTTGGACAGCCGGTGGCCTTGGAGATGTTGTTATTCTTAGGATATATGACAACATTAGCACTTCCTCCAGGTTGGAGACTTCAGCTTTAAACTTACCTAGATACCTACATCGATGCGTAGAACTGTATAAATTTCGGTACTAAAACAGACTTAGCTCTTCTTGTTATTATAGACTATGAATTATTACCATATTAGAAAATTAGGCCTCGGAATTACAGCTTTCCTCGACATTTGCATTTAGTTAACTTAGACATGAATAATGCCATACGGCACTTTCTACCTTGATACTTGTGTACCTAGGTAACTCAGGGACCAACAGAAGTAATTATGTCTAGGTAATTAGCGCTGAAAATTGCCGTATCACATCAATGCCGATCATTTGCTTCCTGACCACGATGTTGGTGTTACCGACGGTCACCTGCATAATCCACTGCCGATCCTCGTATGGTCGTGGGAAAAGTCATCCAGCTAGATTTATATGCAAATATTACTTATTATTTTCAATACTTGAGTGAGTCAAGCTACTTACCTACCGGTGCTTTATTAAATGAAAGGGGGCCGCCTAGAAATGTATTTATATTGGTGCGTACCTAGGTACCTACTTAACTTGAGTCTTGAGAAATGTCTCAGAATACTTAGATATTTTTCTTAATATGCGCCAAGCCTGCGGGCTGAAATATCATAAGCCAGACTACCGGCACGTATAAGGCGCAGGATGTAAGCCGTGTAAACAAGCTGTGTATCCTAACACTGTTTACCTACAGTCCCCAATCATGGCACTTCCTGTCATATATCTGAATTAAAGATCCTTGCAGCCTTGTAAGTCCTATGCTGCGTGCGGAGGTATTCAGCCACGCGACAAAGGAGCCAGTCAAATGGCCTAACAGTCCAAGTCTGACGTGACACAAACGTTTCCTAAAAAATCCCTTACTTATGTCTTAGAGCCTGAAAAGAAATCGACCGGCTGCTGAGACGGGGTTCCAACGACTCCCATCTTAGTTGTTTTCAGCTCGCGATCCTATCCTTAACCCTAGAAAGCTTCTGTTCTCGCCCCTTTCGATGAGGTTGCCGTCTACGCGCTCGCAACCAACTTGACTTTATTCTTCGGGATTATCTTTTCAAGATGAAAATCATTCTATGAGATTGTTTCCTAAACCAAGTTTAAGATGTCAAAATGCATACCAGCATAGGCCTATCTCTGGGCTTTGTATTCCTCGTAGGTATCGGCCATTTCAATCAAGCTCGGTGCATTATTGTACTTCCCCAAAGACATGAACTTCCACCATCAGAGGAGTGTTCAGTTTGCCATACCTCAGATTCAAAGATTCCCCCATAAAATGAAGAACGGCACCTAATACTTAGACGTTACAGTACACTTCACTTATAGGGTATCTGCGATCATCATGTTGGAAAGATCCAACATCCAAATTCTTTCAAGCCCAACGGGCATATATCCCCACGTATTCGGCGCATCGGATACAAGAAGCTGTAAAATACGCCGACATAGTAGGAACAGAACAGTCAGAGGAGAGAAATAGGACAGACCCACCCGAACTATGCATAGGTATTCCCTCGGTGCAAAGAGATGGCATATCATATTTGAAGTCAACATTAGGCTCCCTCCAACACGGCCTAAGCGCAGGGGAACGAGCAAGGCTTCGCTTTGTCGTGCTTCTAGCACATACCGACCTAGAGAAGCATCCAGACTATGACCAGCCATGGCTCAAGAACATGGCGGACAAGCTTCCTTCGTATTATGACGACGCCGAATATCTAGCTCTTGCTCACCAGATGGAACGAAACCAAAGTCATGGGATCAAGGCCAAGTTTGACTATTCAATCGTCATGGAAGAGTGTGAGAAGACGAGTGCGCCGTATATCCTGGTTGTCGAAGATGACGTAGTCTTCTTAGATGGGTGGCGGCACCGAACCATGCAAGCATTAGACACGGCCACCACCAAATCCTGGGGGGCCGGCCATACTGACTGTAAGCTTGGCAGTACATTACCAGGTAGTACTATTTTTGGGCGGACTTGACTAATCCAAGTGTTAGTCTTGTACTTGCGACTGTTCTATTACGAAGGCCTTCTAGGCTGGAACTCGGAATCCTGGCCGAAATACTTGGGATCGTCCTTGGTAGTCGCTGCTGGCGTCCTTGGTGTACTACTCCTAGTACGGCGATGCATGCCCAAAGCGCGCCTACACCTGACCCATCCCGTATTCTTCCTCGCCATCTTCGTCTTCACGCCTCTCCTCATCATCCTCTTCTTCACTGCGGGAGGCAATTGCGTCATGCCGCGGCCCGAAGGCGTTCGTCTTATGACGAAGAACGCATGTTGCGGTCAGGGGTTAGTTTTCCCGCGGACGACCGTGAGCAACGAACTGCTGCCCCACTTCCGCAGTAACCGGTGGTCCCAGGTGCCAACGGATAGTTTCATAGAGGAGTATGCGGAAGAGACGGGCGGGCTACGCTGGGCGTTGACACCGGTTGTGATGCAGCACGTCGGCGGTCAGAGCAGCCATGGCGTGTATAGGGGCACGTATGGTACCATGACGCCGAGCCACATCTGGAATTTCGGGTTTGAGAGTAACGACGCGGAAAGACTAGCCACGGAGCATTTGAGGGTCAATCACCAATACAGCTGATAGTTCTAACTGCATGTATAGAAGCCAGCTTGTGAAGGGTAAAGATGAGGAGAGGATGAAGATAACAAATACAGTATGAAGTTACGAAGTTAGACTCACGATAAGCAAGGATGAATTCTGGGCAAGATCGATCCACATTAAAAAAAGCTTAAATTGAGTTTTCCCAGACCAGCAAAGCCAAGACCCCACACTAGCCCTACGGATGTCACCTAATACAAGAAATAAGACTGCTCCCACCTTCTTGGCGATGAATATACCGTACAAGGTAGCTACTAGTCAAACCTGGAGCCCTGTACACGGATCACATTCTGACTTCCAAACAGCATGGTTGGTCATTTACATACTCACTCAATTGGTCTCAAGTTAAAGAAGCGAAAGTGTTATATCATGGATGGGATACCTAACGGATCACAACAGTGTGAAGTACTTGACCTTTGTGGACTTGTGCATTGTACGCACGTTGTAAGTTCTACACTTAACACATAGGGTACGACAACCATGAAGTTCAAATGGTATATAACACTCTCCATCATCTGTACAAGACGTAGATTTTATTCCTCTTCTATAAATTCATTATCTATATAAATGATCAGTTCGTCTACAACCCAATTTTCACTTTACTAAACTCCTCTTGTCTCTTTTCGACAAAATTCAAAGACACCAAAACTCGGCAAAATGGCATCGGCGACTGGTTCCCGGATATTTACTATCGCCGATATGACACCAGCAGCATCTACACAGACATTCACTCTGTTCCCTTTACTTCCGCCCGAATTGCGTCTCATGGTGTGGCATTTTGCATTAGCACAGCCACGCATCATACAGACACTCATATACCCACGCGACCGGATTGACCACGCACTCCAGCATCAAAGGTGTGAACGACCTGACGAGCGCGCGCACGAGAACTACAGCGTGATCTTCTACCAGTATCAGAGCATTAACAAGCTATCCCACGTCAATCAAGAGTCGCGGCGTGCCACTTCGGCATTCTATCGGGTTCCCATTCCCTGCTGGCTGACCACACCACCACGTGATTACCAGCCCCTATTCAAACCCGGCATATTCTACTTCAACCCCGATTACGATTATATTCACCAAGTAGGCTACCGCGACTGGAGTACAATTGACAACCTCGTCAAGTTTATTCACGATCTGAAGACTATTCATGACCCTCTTCATGTGGGTCTTCTTAACCTTGCCATTGACTTTCCAACCCTGAATGGACTGTGCCGGTTAGACTTCCATAGTCTTGGCCCTTTGCTTGCAACAAGTTTTGCCGAGACTCTAAGTCGACTCCAGGAAGTTTTCTTTGTCTGGCCGGTAAAAATACCCCAACGCAGCCAGCGACATCTCGGCCGAGATCAAGACCCGGGCTCGGGGTTCCATGATATCAGGCGGGTACCTTCGCTTCCTGTTATGGCCTGGGTACCCGGCTTCCATCGTCTACACCATGACCCCAGACCCATTGAGCATGACTTGGTAATCATCCTTGACACGATGCATGGTCGCCGAAACCCCTCTATCATAACCGCCAAATGGGGAAAACTCCTACAGAAGCTTCGGGTCAATCAAGTCGAGCTGCAAACGGAGCATCGTATTATGACCCAATTTGGTCGGCCCGAGGGTTACGATTACGAGAGTGCGAACGAGTGGCTGGATTCTGGGCATTCCTGGTTTACAGAAAAGGGGTTTGTTAGTGAGCGACGGACTGAGGAAGTGAAACCCGCCTTTGGATTCTGGCTATTTCCGCTACACGTTTTTAATAAACATAGTAGCTCCAGCATAGACATTTGGCCTGAGTTAGCCTTAGCAGATCTATATTGATACTCTCATGTCTTACAGCTGAGGGAAGTGGATCACAACTAGTATAGGTTCTCTATACCAATTTACTTACTATTTACAAGAAAAGACATAGAAGTGGATAATCGTCGTGAAACTTTCTGGTCCGCTATTAGTCGTCAGCCTGTATATTAATTACAATCTGTAAACTACAAACATCAAAGCGAAGAATACTAAACCAATCATAATCTAAATACTACAATTCGTGTGGCTTGAAAATACGACCAAACTGTAGGATTATAATCGGCAGTCCATAATCCATAATCCGAACACGCTGATACTGAATGTATTCAAGTTGGAGCTAACAACATGATCCTGTCAGCCTTAAATCATCAAAACGTAGTACCGAAGATTCTTGAAGCTAGGTAGGTAGACACCGTGTTGGTAATCACTGTATACAACATAGACGATCATTACCCCACAGAACCAGGCTTACTTATTAAAGCCAAGAGACCGAAAAGTCCTAGGGGGCCGGTGGATTTTCTCTAGGTCTGTATAAGCGACAACTCTGCCGTCTTGGCTATAGATCGCGATCGATTGTTAATAACTTAAAATTGACAGCCCCAGACGAGGAACTCTTAGCGAAACAAGTTAGGATAGGGAAACCGGTATGGGTGGGTAGGTCTTGACCAATAAAGCCCTTACATATCTGAAGATGTTGTAGGCGGCAAAAACAGATTGATGCATAAAAATTAATTGGCGCATGGTCGAAGGTTCCGCTGGCATCGGCCGAGAGGTCGAGGCTCAGATAATACGTGACGAATTACGTGGGAAGCATTCCGAGGTAATGCTAGACCTGAACGTCGATCTCCATCTCCCAGAGCCCTCAGCTTGTAGTCAGCTCTGAGAGAGGAAAGCCTCGCCGTAATACTATTATTGGCGGAGGTGGCTTTGACTTACGATGATCGCTATATTGCGTATTAGCCTGGGAAGCGAAAGGAGCTTAGAGTCTGAGCCTTCACGCCACGGCGTTTAAACAGTTTCTGTCTCGCCTGTAGGCGGACGGCGCGGCTCTTACGTAGTGGTAGTCATACCGGTCTCACCATGCATGGGTCAAGCGATGGACTTCCGAGATGCGGCGATATGTGGACGGAAGCTGATCACGGTATCGAGGCAGTAGAGAGGGGTAAGTCGCCGGCTGATGTGATCAATATATCAAAACCTTCCATTAGGTAATATGAACTCTGCTTAATTAACTTGACTGATGGATCACTGGATTGCTCCCAGATGGAGACTACGCGCGAAATGTTTTGAAAAAAATGCAATAATTGCTGCAGGCCAGTAGGATGATATCCAAGCTTAAGTCTTATATTAGGTGCTACAGCATGATTAATCATCACCGCAGAGGTTCAGCTGAGCGTCCCCCGATTCGACCATCATGTTTCACGAGCTGACCATTGCTAATGCTCAACCTACATTATACTATTCTGTTGGGCATGGTATCATGTGGTTGCTGGGAAAGAAATAGGGGTTTTTTGAATCTGTTCATAGCACAATTTGAGTCGTAGGTCTGGAGTATCGTCAAATACTTCTTTCAAAGCCGATTCGCCGTTAATGGATTGCTTTTGACATAGGTATCGAGAGAATTAAGTCGTATTGCTTTACATTCATGATGAGGGACGGCGCAGAACGGAAGAGCAGCGTCCCAACCCCCCCTAACATATTTCAGCCCCATATTATCAATACCCCTTTTTATATTGATAGCACCACTTAGTTTTGTCATTTTTCCTTTCTTCCAATATGAAAAAGAGACGTTACAATGTAGTAGCATTTCAACATGTCTCTAAGACTAAATTTAACAACTTTAACACACCTAGGTAGTATTTACATAGGCCGAGAAAAGGGGGTCAGCCAAATAGTATCACAGCATCCTTATACAAATGCAATAAGCAATGATAATTGAGCGGATTTGTTTGACATACCATGCCCTTAATGACTCTTCTATGTAGGTATATAGATGACGTTGCTTAGTGAGAGAATGTCCGGGTGGCCTAGCCTTTTTATATGATGACTGTCTTCAAGGGACTTAGGTAGGTAGGTTATCCCAACCAATCAAAATCAAGCCCACGAGTCCCTACAGCTCACGCTTTTGACACTAGTAGCATCGTTGGGATACAGCATGGAGATGGCTGGAAATTTACGCCCTGTTTCGAAGTACGCAGGGGCTATCCATCAACTTCTTTTTGCTCGCAGCAACCTAACCTTCTAACATAAAAACGGCAGTCATAACGTATGTCCATTCGAACAGACCTCTGCCTTTATGAGTCCATTGTTAAGACCCCTTCGATTCACGTCAATGCAACAAGCTGCAGCTGGGTCGCCGAAACCCAGAGAGAAACCAGTACCTGTTTGTTATCCTTTTCCAATAACCTGAATTATCCGTAATTAGCTGCAACTGGGGGGAATTATTACCACTTGAAATGCCAAGAAGACGATTGAAAACCGACGTCATGATTGGCAGAGCGAGAACGTCTCTAATCAACAGCTTAGCTAATTAACGCTTTCAAGCTGCAATTTCTATAAATATACTGCAGAAGACTTTATCAGAATATTCAGACGACTCTTCAACATGAATCCCACTTGGAATTGCAAGCCGACGCCAACCACGTAAGGAACTTTTGATTGCGATCATTCACCATGTGATTGAAGACGAAAGCTTGATTCAAATATTGTCCCACGTGTCACAACACTCTTCAGACTCCCTGGATTAGATCCAGAGCCAGAAAGTCCATCCCCAAAAACCCCGTGGGGAATTGCAAAGGGGTCGCGAACTTGGATTGATACGATCCCGACCTAAAGTCGGCCATCGACAAATTGGACGGACTGAAGCTCACATCTTGAGTATCTTTCGTTATATTAGAGTCACTACAATACTAGAAAGATTGACTCCAGTCTCTCCCTTCTCATCAAGGGCCTATCTCGTAGCTTTAGTGGTTTAAAGAACGAAAGAGAGCGCCAAAGCAATCATGGATGCTTTACTAAACCTCAGAACAAGAAAGTCAATTTAGGTATGTATGCAAGTCGAATAACTTCATCATTATACTGATTTCATCGCGACAGATAATGCCTTTGTTTATAAGGTGATATAAGGCTGATCTTGAATGCGCCGTTCGTTGCTGGGTCTAGGATTATCGACTACATAAGTCCCAGACGGTGGTATGGGAGCCCCACATGTTCAGGGGCAAAGCAAACCGGTAACCAATACAGTCATTGAACAAGCCCCATGAAACCCGATATACGCACGTCCTGTAGAAAGCGGTATCACAAAATGTCGGTCAAACACGCAACGGGTTCTCCACAATAACAATCGATAGATCCTTGACAACTCCTAGAAGTCCCTAGCGATGCGGGGGATTGCCAGCAAGATCACCTTTCCGCCCAATTCGGGCTGAGCTGTCAAATCGTATCGTACCCATCGCAATTTCGTCGGATTTCGGAATAGCCTATAAAACTAAGCTCTTCTTCTCTAATAAACAAATCTCAAACACCTTTCCCGACTCTCAAACACACACTCTCTCTGCCGCCATCGCGTGAAACTGCAAAATATGGCTACCTATACCAACGATGACGACACCGCGGGCGTCCCCCAGGCCCCTACCGAGGAGCACACCGAGCTCCTCTCCTTCCTGCAGTACTTTGAGACCTTGTTCATCATCGACGACTCCTCGCACATGAAGCGGCAGTGGAGCGACGTGTCGTCGCTGATCCAGGCGGTGGCCCCGATCTGTCTCAAGTACGACGAGAACGGCATCGACATCTACTTCATCAACCACCGGCCCACGCTCTACTTCCCCGGAATGCACGTCCGCAAGTCCGGGTACAACCACATCGGCCAGGTGCACAGCGACACGGGCAAGCGGGACAGCACCCAGGCCATCTTCCGCAACGTCAAGCCGGGCGGCAAGTGCAAGCTGGGCGCGCGCCTCGGCAAGCTGCTGACCTGGTATATCGAGCAGCTGAAAGCGGACCCGCAGCGGCCGCCGCTCAACATCATCGTCATCACGGCGGGCATCTCGGACGACGACTTCGCGGAGCCGCTGACGGCGGCCGCGCGCGAGCTCGACAACATGAAAGCCCCCCTGCACCAGCTCGGCGTCATGCTCTTCCAGCTCGGCGACGACGAGGAGGCCCGCAAGAAGTTCGAGCACGCCGACGACGAGCTGTGGCAGAAGGCCGGCACCCGCGACATCGTCGACACCGTGTCATGGCGCGGCTGGCCCGCGAGCTTCGGCTCCGACGACATGGTGAAGGCCGTCTTGGGAGCCGTCTCCAAGAAGATGGACGGCGCGAAGCCGGCGCTGGTCGGCAAGGTGCCGCCCGAGCGTCGCGAGACTACGATTTGAATGCGCGCGTGTGGCTCCAAAAAAGGCGGAAGGGAATGATGGGCTGGGAATTATGTGTTAGATGGATAGGAGGGTTTGCAAGAGAGATACCTGGTTCTGCTAACGGCTGGACCGTGTTCATAGATGGATTTGGTAGCTGCTACGAAGCTGAGCCTAGAGGGTGATTCTTCTCCCTCTATTTACCTAGGAGCCTATTGGGTGATGTGATTCGCGTTGCTTGGATAATATCGTCGCGGTATTCGTGTTAGAATTATATTTGTCGCTATTCCTTGGAAATTCTAACATGTCACAAAATTTGAATGGGTATTCCGGAAAGATGTTCCTGTGTGAAGCATAGAAATTTATAAAATCCTATGGTAAAATGAGGTAAAACTCACTAAGTAGAGCTACGTTAGATATACACATATTCATATAGAAGCTTAGCGTGATAAATGAGAAATTAAGGTGAGAAGAATGGATTGAATTTACAAGCACTGGAATAGGGGTATTGTAAGCCCCTTATAATGCCAAGACAAGAGACATATTCCAAATCAGGGGTTAGTAAGGTAGCTTACTAAGGAAGACATTGCCCCCTGTTAAGACTCAAGGTCACACTACGACTGCCGTCGTTGCTCCTTATTCCATTCAGCTCATTGACAAGACATTGGATTTTTGATGCCTACTACCTAAGTAGATACCTAGGTACCTATCTACTTATTTACTTTTCCTTGTCACCCCGAGGCAGTTATGACGTAGATAAGAGCAAAGCAGACTAGACCAGCCATGATCTTCCAAATACGTAAAAAGAGGCATGGCATGACTTACATCAACTGCTGTGAAAGCAAGTATCTGCATCTTCTAAAATCTTCTCTAAGGGTGGGGTTTCTAAGAAGACATGGATGTCTTCCTAGGTCTATAGAAATTCCTATATTCACCGGGTCATCTTAATATGGAACCTTCTCAATAAAGTTCCCGTGTCGAAGCCAAGTATGCCCTCTTCTAGAGCCTCATTTTTGTATGCATATTATCCCCTAGTCCAAAAATTCCAGGTACCAACTGCTTGATCTTTACCTCAATAATTCTGCTACAGCCGGCTACAGCAAGTCTAGTAAAATGTCATGAGGGCAAGAGGCTGTCCGGTGGGTTGCACGTGGGGAAGGTAGTTGACTATAGGTATTAATGCCCGAACCTATTCACAACTAAGGGGGAAAGCCTCCTATAGAGCTACCAAATGTTGGGCTCGTCGAGTAGTCAATTGAAGAGTGAATAGATGGTTGATTCTTCTAAGTTCTAACAGGATCTCAGAGATCCTGAAGAATGCTATGTATGGTATCTATGTACTATGGTGGCTCCTTCCTCTGAATACATATGCTATGTGTTCCCCATCAACTGCCGACGACGCGGCGAAAACTACGTCCACAACTCCGGCTACAGCTATGTGTTCCCCATCAACTGCCGCCGACGCGGCGAAAAATATCAAGGCCCTCGTTGATCATTCTCGTAGTCCTTGCGTGTCTTTGGTATATACACAACGCCTTCTCCCCTATTATCCCCGAACAGTCTATGAGCGGCGATACTAGTCGTGAATCCAACACACCTCGTCCGTTCGCTGCCGTAATTCCTTATAAATGCTGACGCCTAGCCTCTGGAATATCGTTAAACTTCCCATCCGTATGTGGCATACGTATGAGGCGTACTAGTGGCTCTCTCGGCTTATGCTTGTCCATTTCCACGGCTTTCTTTTCTCCATATCCCGTAGGCTGCCATTTCTCGCCAGTGGTATCCCACCGCAAGTACACCGCAAGTATAGTGTTGTGAATGATCTCAACCCATGGTACCTCAGAAGTAGTTTGATGATATCGTATTGCCAGTTCCACATTCTGGTTTCTCCTCTCGGACTGGCCATCAGTCTGGGGGTGGTAGGATGTACTCTATCATTCCCCGTCCCGACGAAGAAAAAAAACTACGTCCCACGCCTTGCGAAGAATTCGTATGAGCGTTATCCACAAGCCATACTTTCCTTCATCTAGCTCGCCCTTATGTACTTCTCTTTTCACCTTCACTATTTTCTTCGCGAAGGTTCTAGCAAGGCGGGACCAATCAACTTCCCCCGAACTGTCTGCGTGATTCGACAGTTCAAATGGCTTGCAATGTGCTAAGCCATTACGATGAGCATATAGCTTCACGGTAGAGATGTAGCGATGGAAGTTGACGTCATTTTCGTCGCCCTTCTCCCTCAGTCGGTCCAGGACTGCGGTGGCAGGAGCATTCTTCTTATCCGCGCCGTTTTTTCCATCTCTGGATAGTTGCCTTTTCTTGCTTGTAGAGCTCGAGCACGCTGCCATATTGGATGCTACCGCCTCCAAGCTTCTATGCTTTGAGGTCTTTGTATTGTTTTCTAAGGGCTTCACCGGTAATGCCATAGCCTTGAAGGAGGGGTTCGATACATGCCCACTCCTTCGCCAAGATCATGTTCTCTGATGCGTTGACGTAGTTCAGAACGGCTGCCGCCCAATCCCCGACATCAAAATAGAATGTGAGGTCTCTCAACGTTGCCTCTACTTCCTGAACACGTTCTTGAAGTCTCTTGTTCTCGGCTACTTTTTTTAATAGCTTCATGGTGAACCTGAACTCAATATCCAGGGCTTCGAGATCGACGTCAGCTCCGTCAATTGCCCGTTGGGCATTCTCCCGGCAATTATCACGCATTTCTGCTGTCTCGGGGCTCAACTCGGTATTGGACATGTCTTTTGTCCATTCATATATGGTTGTGATGACTTCGAGAGTTATACCATTATCACCACCTGTCCTCTTGGCGACAAGAACAAGCGTTAGTGGATATCGAGTTTCTTGGAACAGACATGGTGCTATATATGTTGTGCGGTTGGTGCCGGAGGTCCAGTCTGTTAGGTCCAGTAGCTAGGGATCTGGTGGGACGGGGGTTCGGTCCATGGGAAATTGTGGGAGGTCCTGAGGCGACCTGGTGGCTAGCCTCGGAGCAGAGTAGACAAAGAGCTTCTGTGGCTACATCAATCTGTTCTGCCATTGATGTCAAAAAGCTATCAACTGGTGTGAGCTGCCAATTATAAATAGCTTCACCTGTATGTATACCGTAGCCCCTAGACGAGGGAGTTCAGAGCTCGTCGCGAAACAACGTCGTTATTTCCCTTCTTAATATGGCAGTTGGTAAGATTGGGAATAATGATAACCACAATAACAAATAAGTTAGAAATATTTCCGAAATCAATGTAACCATGTTGCTGAAGAATAGCGCGGTCTACCTGAATTTTATATGTTCCAGCAAGTGTGATGTACTAGACAGGTAATTCCCTCTTTATTCCCTACATACTTTGGTAGTTACCTACTTCCAAGGTTGTGTAAGGCCAACTGGCCGTTATTTTAAAAGGGAAACCACAAGTCGAAGTATTGGGAGGTTAGCTGCAACGACAATGAGCCATTTCCAAGTTATATCTCTAGTCAACACATGGATCGTAACTGTATATTGTAATTTAGCTTTGTCGTTAACTTAATGCATGAAGTCTAGGGAAGGAATGATGAATTTACTTGACCTTTACTATCTGAGATATACCTGGATGCGTAATAAAATCTTGTCATTCACAATATATGAGCATGGGTGAACGTCATGACTTTATGCTCAAAGTGTATAGAATCCGATCCAATATGAGTTGTATTGACGAGACTCTGAGACTCCGAGCCTATTTCACATAGGCAGGCAAGAGAATGGGTGTCTCTAGGAGTACTTGATTCGTTTGGTAAATGCAGTTGGGGGAACAGTCCAAACATGCGGATACCGTTCCTCCTAGACTTTTGCCATCCACCAGAACGCCATTGGCTAGTTCTAACCCCAAACTAGCGAACCAAACTCTGTCTTCTGCTCTGTTCTTGCGTGGGTATCAACTAAAGACCTTGCTAGGCGGTTCTCAAGGGTGTTTACTTCGCGTCGTATTGACTTCATTTGTCGCGATCTCCACCGATTCTCTCCAGTGCTTCCAGCATGACCACGGAGTTGCCTCGAATGACCTAGAGGATTATTAGTCCATGAAGATGACGATTGCCTTCGGGTTTACGAATACGTACGACCATGCCTAGCCTGACTTTCTCACCTCCATCCTTCTCCTCTACAGCATCGTCCAGCACAATGTTTAGGAAGACCTAGAATAAAAAGGTTAGGTGGTGTTATAGAATAGGTATATAAAGAGTCTTCATGCGTAGGTGAAGGGGAATCGATTGCTGGGTCACTTACATCGTAACCGCGAAGAATGCCTAGAACCTTGCGGCTCCCGTTTAATTGAACGAATAGTCGCTTGTCGAGGTACTGTGTATTTCTTGGTAAGTCAAATGTTGCAAAGTAATAGTATTGGGAAAATGTGAAACATACCTTCTTGAGTTCTGGCTGTGCGGGTGCCATCTTGACGAGAGTTCAATTGATTTCTGGTGAGAGTTGAATATTGGGATTGCACAAGATCATCGAAGAATGTTGACGGTCAAAAAGAAGTCCCAAGCTCGCGGGTAGCCTGATAAGATAGTGTGGCGCGACAGCTTCCAAGTTCTTATCGATAAAGAATTATTGTCCTAAAATACAGAGGTACCTTGTAACTAATAGTGGATTCTTTCTCAACTTCAACATTCAACCTTTTAGACATGTGAGACTTGCTTCGACTGTAATATTCTGCTTTCAAACTGGTGATCGGACTTGGGACTATTCACCATGAGCGCGTTTGGAGCAAAACGAAAAGCGCGCAAGATTACCGTCCAAGATGACGATGACGATACAGTTCCCATTCCCACCGATTCCTTAAATCCGCCAGAGGAACCACAAGGTCCCGCGTTACAACCATCCTTCAAGACAAATCGTCGGCCATTCAAACAATCATCGCTACGAAAGAGTATAAATATCGATAAGGTCGAGAACAATACCTCTACGCCTCAAAAGGCGAAGGACGAGGCGGAAGATGGCGAGGATGGAGGTGCACCTTTACTGATCCGACCGATGGGGAGGTCAGGGTCTACGAAGATAAAGAAGCGAGCATCCAGTTCTCGCCTTTCGTTTGGTGGTCCCGGAGAAGAAGCTTCTGCAGATGAGGACTCTATAGTATTAGGAGAAGAAGTCTCTACGCCGAAACGATCCACAACGCTTGCGCATACTGCAGTAGAGAACAGTGCCTACAAAAAGGGAATCAAGAACCTGCCTCTTGGACGGCTACCGATGCGCTCCACCGACACCGACGAGGACCGACCACGCTATAGCAAAGAATACCTCTCTGAACTACAAATGTCAACCCCCAACACGCCCCAGGACCTCTCGAAACTCCAACCCACCTCCGACGACGAGATGATCCTCGACCCGTCCGAGCTCGAAGGCGCCCTCGTTGTAGAAACCACCACATCCCAACCCGCCCCTCCCAAACCCACATCCATCCTAACCGAAGCCGAGATCCAGGAGAAGAAATCCCGACGCGCGCGTCTAGCAAAAGAAGGCCAGCACCGCGACACCGAGGACTTCATCTCGCTCTCCGACGACGACAACAACGACGGTCGGGGGCCGGGAGACTCGTACCTCACGCTGCTCTCGCAGCGGCGCGAAGAGCGCAAGGGGGGCAAAGAGGACACACGTCTCATAGCCGAAGACGAGGACCTAGGCGAGGGCTTCGACGAGTTCGTCGAAGACGGGGGGCTGTCTCTCGGCAAGCGAGCGGAGCGCGAGGCGCGCCGCAAGAAGCGCGCGGAGATGGCGTCGCTGATCACGGCGGCGGAGGGCGGCGGCGACTCGGGCGATGACGAATCAGATGCCTCGGAGGCCGAGCGCCGGGCCGCGTACGAGGCGGCGCAGACGCGCGCGGGCATGGACGGGCTCGCCGAGGAGCGCGAGCAGCAGCGGCGCCGGCTCGGCGCGGCCGCCGCGTACCGGCTCAGCACGGCGATCCCTAAGATCACGCCGCTTCCCGACCTGAGCGTGCTGGTCGCCGAGTTCAAGGCGAAAGTTAGGAGGAAGGAGGAGGAAATGGAGAGGTTGAGGCTCAGGATCGAGGAGATTCGAGCTGAGAGGGAGGGTATTGAGAAGAGGGAGCCGGAGGTGCAGAGGTTGCTTAATGAGGCGGGGGAGAGGTATCGGGTTTTGATGGCTGGTGGTGCGGAGACTGCTGCGAATACGAATGGTGATGGAAACGATAGCAGGGACGGTAATGGGGTTGTAGGGGCGAAGGCGGAAGATAATGTGGCGGCCGCAATATCGCTACTTGAACAAGCTAGGGGTGGGATAGATTCTCCCGGACAGAGAGGGCTAGAAAGTCTAGGAACGACGCCGGTGAGACAGCGATCGCAGATGGAGATGTGACCTAGCATACTTGATACCCAATACTGAATATCACCGATCTGATTTGAGTCGAGTCGGTTCGATTCTTCACAATACATACGATGAAATTCGAGTCAATTTAACGAGCCTTGTAAAATTTGTGTCTTGAACCTTCTACATAATGAAATACCATGCGAAAACCCCCCCTTATAGATGGTGAAGGGGTGACAAGATATGCTAACCAGCGCCCGTTTATTTGTGTTCCCGGTATGAGTACACGTATGATACATCTGCATTATCGTCTACATTAACATGCAATCCATGTAATGAGACAGTCTTTCCTCTGCCCCTCACCGTGCCGTGTCTTCGATCAGCTTCGGCGGTAGTCCTTCCTTCTATTCATTTGTTCGTAGTTCATACAGTTTCCAGACTTCTCTTTTGATCTCTTCAGGTAGCTACGCAGTTACGCAAGACCACCCCGGTTGATTTAAGCCATACGCTAGGCAGGTAAGCGCCCAACTTACTTCCCAGACCTCGAAACACCAGCCCCGATAACACCAGGCAGCTTCTCCTCGCCGACGTTGAACAACAGACCGATAGCAAAAGCAACTGTACCAACTAAAGCAAGCGTCACGCCGGCGAACAGCCAAAAGGGGGTGCTGATATCGCGCTTGTGGCACGCGGATCCGCCCCAGTGGTACAGTCCCGTGCGGCCCGCGTCGTCGGTCTCGTTCGTGCTCATGCAGCGGCAGGCGAAACACGCGTCCTTGACACCCTCAAGGTTGCCCCACCTGTTCACGCAGTCCCCGTGTCCCGAGCAGCTGTCCGTGGCCGCAATGCAGGCGTTGTGCGAAGTAAAGCAGGAGGGCAGGATGGCGGGACGGGCGGCTAGGTTGGAGGGTTTGGAGGAGAAGGCGTGGAAGGGCTTGGATGGGTCGGAGGGCTTCTTGGAACCGTCCGCGTTGAAGGATGAGTCGGCCGTGGGGATGTCCTTGTTTGCGACCACTTCGGCCATGACCAGCTCATCTTCAAGGACATCTCGGCGAAGGAGGGAGGAGGAGCTGGGGTCGGCGAGGAGGAGGATGGTGGTCTCGAGGGCGCCGGATTTGGCGCCGGATTGGAGGGTTGCGATGTTTTGGCCGAGTTGTTTGATTACGTTCTCATCCTGCTACTTATTAGTCTTACTTCGCTTCTTGATCTAATGTATATAGACGTAGATAGAAGGTGGATAATACCTTAGCAGCATTATATTCGAGATATTGCGTCTTGCCCTTCCAGCACTTGCCGTTCTCCGGGTTAATAGACTGATCAAATGCGCAGCTCGCCTTCTTCCCCTTAACAGACAATTGACTCAATCCAGGAGCCGTAAAAGCAAGGGGTACGCCCGGAAGAGCGGCTTGAAGGTCCTTCTGCTTCCCAGCCGTGACGCCGGAAAACGCGATAACTAGCTGCCTAGGCTCGTTCGCGTCGATCTCTTCGAATAACGGCCGAGGCGTCTTCGCGTATTGGTTGAGGTAGAGTATGGACTCTTCTTGGGAGATCGACTCGGGTAGTTGGCCTAGAGCTGATGGCTGCTCGGATGTACTGAGGCGCTGAAGGAGGATAGCTTGAGCAAGGTCTTGCGGTATTGAGGGAGGGTTTGAGACTGTGGTCTCTTGTTGCTTGATGATATAGACCTCTGCATTTTGGAATTGCTCTTCCGCATTGGCGGTGGCGATGCCAGCTAGAGCTGGTAGTAAGAAGCTCTGCAGCTTCATGTTGTCGAGGCTGAATACTCTGAAGCTGTTGGTTGTGATGAAGATTGCGAAGGCGACGTTAGCTGGAGCTTATGCGATGTGATGCTGTATTTGGTTAAGAGGTTAGGGGATTTGACTGGATGAATATCGGCAAAGTGATGCAGAGATATGTACTTATAGAGTCGTCTGCATGTGTAGCATATGCAATAAACAGGTTATATGTAATACGTGCGTAGGGGATCTGATCAAATGTCCATGGTACATGGCGGGTGGATATGTTTGTTAGGTAATCGGTATAGTAGGTATTCGTACGTAACTGGGCAGGTACTAGTTCTAATTTGGAACGGTCTAATTGGGGGTGTCGAAGTTCTAGAAGCAAATGGTCTATATGGTCTATCGCACCTTCCACGTCTAAAGGCTGCGATTTTACTTCTGCCTTGTCACTTAGACGTTAAAGTCAATTCATTTGTAACCGACTAAAAACTTCCCAAATCCATAACTTGCCTCTGTTCTTCCCGTCGTCCCGATGTCGGGTCGCTATGAAATGGGAACTCTAAGGCGCACCGCAGACCATTTATAACCACGGATACACCCAATTACCTAGTAATTTATGCCACCGATCGCTAAATTTTGACATACAAATCCGAAATCTCGCCAAGTCCCTCCCTCTTTCGGCCGCCAACCTGAGGCGCGCCTCGATCGTCTGCCCACCATGTTCCGACTCTTGCGATCGCGACCGAATCCTTTAACCCTCGCTACTAGAGTTCATGGATCTACCGGTCCTATGCCTCAAGTTATGCAGGTACAGAGGGTAAGGATTCGCCGAAAGTGGTTCAAGCCAAAGTAAGAAACCAGAAACTCGGATACCGTCCGTAGCGCCCATATCGTCCTTACTAATCCATACTGCACAGGAACTTCATACTCGCTGGTTGCATCTACTATATCTGTTACCAAGCCTACGAGGCGTCTATCTTCATGACCCTCTCCGCCTGGTTGGAAGAGCAAGAGAAACACTTAACTAGGAAAGAAAGGGAAGAGATGGAAGAAGAGATGCTCGAACCTATGTTTTTCCCGATCCCCTTCACCACTAGACCTGTCGAATCACCGCCGTACAGAGGTTCGGATCCGGAGTGGCAGACGTTTATCAGGATCAATGGCGATCGGGAGCTGACGAGGAGCATACAAGGTAAGCAAATAGAGACTCGGAAGAGGAAAGGGTAAGAGTACGTTGAATGAATGGCTAATTCTTACATGAGACGATCTCGCCGAGCTTGTTCGCAAAACCGCACTACGAAGCATAGTACTTGTCCAGAGATGTGGTAAGGACATGTCTCTAAGTCGATATTGGCTTCATATCATATATCCCAGCAGACCGCCGCCAACCTTCGTTCAGAAAGGGTATGACCCCTCGCCGCGTCTGGTTCCGTACATAGAAATCCACAATCTAACTTGCTCTATAGGATATCGATAGGTGATGAGGTTGCTATTACGGAGAAACCTATCGACACTACGGCAGCTATCTGGATACGGCGTGCTCTCTGGCCCTATCCGATCACCGTATCATTGTGGAGCTTTACGGGGGCGCTCATGAAACAGAACGTTTCGCACGTCGCCAAGATATTTGGATACGACCCTAATCCCGATTCAAACCCTTCTCTCCAGAAAACTATAAAAGATGTGGAACAGAGGTTGAAGAACACGGTAGCCGAAGCCGACTCTAAAGCATCTAAGACCCCGCCTTCCACGAAGCCCCAAGAAGCCGGTGGTTCATCGGGCGACTCTCCTTCCCCCATCGAGAACAGACCGGCCGGATCATCGCCAACTCCCGAATCCTCGGCTGCCTCTCCCAGTTCTGGAGTGAGTCGTCCCATCCCCGTTATTTCCGGCGTCGAATCCAACAAGCCGAAGAGTGTCAAGGATATATACGGTATAGAATCTACTCAGGAGCACATGAAAGGGCCGTGGATGGCGTTCAAGCAGAAGTTCGGTCAGACCTGGCGACCTATCCAAGGTCTCCCTCCGCGAGGTTCTATCTTCATAAGCGGGCTCGTCGAAATCGCTACACCACGCGCTTATATCACTGTTGATGCCAAAGCGTTCTGGGATCCGAAGACGAAGACGTTCGACACGAAAACGATGACTTTTCGCCTAAGGACAATTCGCATGAAGACGCAATCTCCTGCTAGGTACTAGATCAACGTCTTATTTGCGGATCGGACTACGGCCGTAAGCACATAACTAATGACATTATTGGACTGGGGCCGGCGTTCACGGAAGGAAAGAGGCATAGGATCAAAAATGTATATCCATCCGGTTGGTAGAAGCTGGGGGGGAATTCATTATTGCGTGCATAATGATGCATAATAGGGGCGTTCTCGGCTTGTTAGGTATAATTTGACTTTCTCTTGCGTATAATGGAAGTAGAGAGCGAGCGAGTTTTGAATAAGAGGGCCCACGACTAGTAGATACCATAGAGATAGAACTCAGCAAGTTCTTCCCGCTGGATAGCGAAGGGTTTAGCTAATTCTATACGATTTGCTTCCCGAGAGCTTGAAAGTACGTCAAGGCTTCGAGTCTGTGGTCGTCTCTCTTGCCCTCGTGACCACTTGCCTCCCTACCCAGCCTTCCATCATCATCATAACATTCTTCTGTGGTCTAACTTGGGATTAGGTGTGAAAAAGTCAGGCTAGGGGTATTCATGTTCTTAATCTCATTAACTGGTCAGCCGCATTAGATTTCACAATTGTTTTCTAGTTAATTCTTTACTTTAACCGGTAGTTAGGAAGTTAGGGGTGTGCATTAACACCGAGTAGAGCCATATTTTGTTACGTCTCTATGTACTCGATTTATTAAGAGAGCAAATTCAAGCATAGATACACGTCTCTAACCTAGGTACCCACCTAATTCCAAATACCCCCTGAACGCAAGGCTAGCGTGCCTGCCGCTTTGTCGACACGTTGTAGCTTGTCATCAGATCATACCAATCCTTCCCGTTGACCTATGGAAGATATATCTGCAATATGACGAGTTAATTTGGGCATCGCGTTATACAAAGTCTGACATGGCAGTGGTAATATATAGCATAATAATGCATCCCACCACTCTCATATTATCCTCCCGCTCTCTCCAAAACGCGGAGGACCGTCCTCTATATTGGGTAGCTAGGATGATTGCTTTTTCGATATACGTTGAGATCTGAGGGCCAATACTCTCGTTTGCAATTCAGCCTCGGAATAGCCTGCCAAAGCTAGGTAGGACAATTCAGCTATTGTCGAAGCCTCACTATTGTCAAGGAATGCGAGACGCGGTTGGCTGGACTTCGTTTGCCGTCCCACCTGGGTCGGCGGGAGCTTACAGACATGAGGGGTCAGGGGTTGACTTGAGAGTTTCGGTCCGGATCGGTCGTCCAGGTGTTCGTGTTAAGCCGATCAGATCTTAGAAGCAAGACAGCGGGATCCTGCTGGACTATTCGATGAACAGATATTGTTTGCTCTCCTTGGTTCTAAAATGAAGACAACAGGAGAAGGGACGAGCACGTACGCCATATGCTGTTTAGAATTAGGAGTCTGAGGCTGCGTTCTAATCATTCTGCAGCGGGGGTATATAACCTCGAAGTTCTTACTATACAAGATGACTCGTTCTTCACAATGTCATTCTTTCCATGGTCAGAAAAGTCAGTTTTTGATTTCTTTGTGAAAATGTTTTTGACTTACCTAATTCCAACTTCCGCCACAGGAGGCTTCATATTCTTATCCATCATTGGCTTTGTTATTTATTATATCATAAAACTTTTTCATAACCAACAGTCCAATGCTCTAGAGCAAGTAAGCAGGCACAGTGCCGTTGCTAAATTCGACGTTCTCGGGGAGAACAACCTACTCGATAGGCTCGCCTCCCGAGCTAGACCAAACCAAAGACTGATCTTGGTCTTTGGTATCAACAATTCTTTTACTACCATGGATCAAAATGTCCATAAAAACTTCACCAGATCAGCTCTAAGCGTCATCCTTAGGATGAGTCCACAGAATTGGTTAACTTTCTTTACCATCTCAGAAACGGCCCTCAATGAAGCACTCAGGCTTGATTCAGCCTCTCAAGACTCTGTACCATTGGCAGTCACAGTCCGATTCGTCGTTTTCGCGGCCATGACATACCAGTTCTTCGACGTGAATCTCGGCGGTTCCAACTTCGCTGATGTTGTTGAGGCGACGAATGCGATCAATAATCTCTGGGAACAGTCAAAGAATATCGAAACCATAGGGCCTGAGTTGCGGAACGAACAAGACCACCTTGAGGCTTCTCTAAGACGTCTGCTTCCGAACCATTTCCCATGTAGCTCCGAGCAGCACCCCTTGAACACCATAATCCCAGCGTACGAGACAATGTGGCGCGTGGTGTTGCTAACGTACGTCTCCGCCGGATTCAGAGACATGGACCTAGAAACGACACAGCAATTTCAAGAGGTCATTCGAAATATTCCCGAATGTTTCAACTCGGAACCTAATTGTAATATAATGGACACGGCGATTAATTTTGCTAAGGTAAGCCCAAACCGCATAATCGCGCCTCAAATACCATGTATTTCGCATACTAACTCTCAGCAGGAGGGACTAAGATTGTATCCCCCGACGAAGCGAATCCATCGCGCGGTGCCCAATGGTCAAGATGGCTGGTCCAACGTAAAGGCAGATGTCGAATGGTGTCACAGGGAGAGGCGCATCTGGGGGCCCGACGCCGAGCAATTCCGCCCCTCTCGGTTCCGGAACAATACGGAACACATGGACGAGGCATACATGCCGTTCGGCGCAGGCAAACATAAATGCCCGACGTCAGCTAAGTTCTCCTATCACGCCATAATCATTCTCGTGGTCGCGCTGGCCAAGCGTTTGGGAACGAGAGAAACGGGTTCTAAGGTGGTCTATAACGATCCACGGTGTGATGGAGACGCGAAGGGATTATTGCCTTCGGGTAGGAAGGATATGGACGGTTGGGTCCTCGAGATGAATGGAGTCGAGTGGTTGGGACGCGCGATGTGATGGGTGAGGGGATGAAGAAGACGATTCTTGGGGTAAAGGGTATTTCACCGGCGCCGATTGCTGAAGATGTCTAAAGGACATCATAAGGAAATGAGAAGTGAGCATTGATTCGAAGGAGCAAAATGTATAGTATTAGATATTTCATTCATCAGGTACTTACCTACATAGACAAGAAAACTATTTTTGGACTTAACCCTTACCTTCATTACGCTACCGTTACAATCTGAGACCGGTGAAGGTTTCCATTAGTCTTCGATTTCCCCGGTACCTAATCTCCAGATTCGCTGTTGGATCCCGTTCGTCGATCTTGGCACTGCGGGATGCCCGAGTTTGCGTCGATCTACTGCAGGCCGCTGGCACCGACGCTGCAGATTTGGCTGTTAGTAGCAGCTGGATCCCGGTAACAAAGGATGATTGCCAGCTATTGCGAGACAAGGATTCTCCAAGATTTCGAGCACGCCATTAGCAGCTTACTTTGTTTCATCGTGGCTAAAAAGCTAGCTGAAGCTTGACCGGACTTCTCTTTTTAAAGCCAACAAGCTTTCTAGCTACGGACTGCCGATTATCACTAGGCAATTACCAGTATAGACAGCTTAGCTTCCGCTACCCACCTCAACAATGAAACCATAGTGCATCATTGTTGATTATCGTCGTTAATAGTTATTGTTGGACCCTGTCTTCGTTTTCTTCCTGTTTCAATCCGATCCCCCGATCTACTAGCTTAGCGAGCGAATCATGACAGGGGATACGACCGAAAGCGGAAAGAAAAGCCCTGAAAATGAGCGACACCTAGGCGAAGACGTCGCCGTCGGGATCGAAGATGTTAGCACGATCCCTAAAGGCACGATTGATCCGGTATACGAGGCAAAGGCGAGGGTATTAAATAGAGCGGTAAATTTCTAAAAACCATTCTCTCTAATACTTCTGATCTTTGGTCTAATAGTCAGCATTGTAGATCCAAGACATTGGCATGGGATGGTACCAATGGCAGCTCTTCATAGTCGTAGGGTTCGGTTGGGCATCCGATAATCTTTGGCCGATCGTCACATCTCTCATTTTCACGCCCATTGTAAACGAGTTCCATCCGTCGCGTGGCCCATTACTCAGTCTTGCCCAGAACATCGGCTTACTTGCCGGCGCCATGTTCTGGGGATTCGGTTGCGACGTCTTCGGCCGGAGATGGGCTTTTAACCTGACTCTTGGCATAACCGCCGTATGGGGCATGATAGCTGCCTCCGCCCCCAATTTTGCCGCAATTGGGATATTTGCGGCGTTTTGGTCGTTTGGCGTCGGCGGAAATCTCCCGGTTGATTCTGCTATTTTCCTCGAATTTCTCCCCGCATCTCATCAGTACCTCCTGACGGTTCTGTCTATCGACTGGGCCGTTGCGCAAGTCATAGCTAATTTGATCGCATGGCCCCTATTAGGGTATCGGACATGTCAGCAGACTGACACGGACTGCACTAGAGCTAAGAACATGGGATGGCGCTATTTCATGATCGCGATGGGAGGGCTGACGCTTATCATGTTTGTTCTTCGTTTCTTCTGCTTCACCATCTATGAATCCCCCAAGTACCTCATGGGCAAAGGATTAGATGAGGAAGCGGTGCGCATAGTCCACGAAGTCGCTCGGCGGAACAAGAAAACTTCGGATTTGTCCATCGAAGATTTGACGGCGTGCGAGCCGGAAGGGTATGAAAACCGGGCTACTGCGAGCGACGCCGTGAAGCGCAAGCTGGAAGCGCTTGATCTTTCTCATATCCGGTCCTTATTTGCGACGGGGAAATTGGCATACAGCACGGGCGCGTTGATGTTGGTCTGGGCTTTCATCGGACTTGGGTAAGCGAAGGTCAGACCCCTTTTCTCCCTTACAACTATTAACCTTGCCCACAGTTATCCATTATATAACGCTTTCCTACCGTATATTCAGAGTACGCGCGGCGTAGACTTCGGAGATGGGTCTACCTACATCACGTATCGCAACTCGCTGATTATCGCGGTGCTCGGTGTACCTGGTGCCCTCCTGGGCGGTCTTCTCGTCGAATTGCCTCACTTCGGGAGAAGAGGGGCGTTGAGTCTAAGCACGATCCTGACAGGCATCTTTCTATACTGCTCGACAACAGCGACTAGTTCTTCTAGCTTGTTGGGGTGGAATTGTGCTTATAATTTTACGAGCAACATCATGTACGCCGTCCTGTATGCCTTCACGCCCGAGCTATTCCCTACTAAAGATCGCGGTACTGGGAATGCGCTTACGGCGACGTCAAACCGGATCTTCGGCATCATGGCCCCTATTGTTGCCATGTTCGCGAACCTTCAGACGGCGGCGCCGGTTTACACAAGTGGTGCACTGTTTATTGCAGCGGGACTTCTCGTTGGTACTCTACCTTTCGAATCGAGGGGAAAGGCAAGCCTGTGAATTGGTGCGATGTTACTCCTTAAATTCCCCGTAACGCCTCTGAACGCCTCTAATTATAGGGGTTAACACCTACCTAAGTCGTATAATGCGTTGTTATCAGGTCTTGTACAATTACTTTAGGAAAAAAATGATACCCTCTTTTCTATTGTTTTGGTGAATATGGAAGACCTGGCCCCGGAATTTTCATTGTGACATTTTTCATACTTGCGGTTTGAAACAAGCGGTGATCAAAAGCTGGTCCGTCAGAATGGAGTCCCTAATTGCAGATAAAAATACACCCAAGAACGAATATCACGAAATATAATCTGTTTCTAGATAGTCTACCACGCGCAGGTATATGAGACTTGAAACCAGCCGGTGGAGTAAAGGTATATTTCAACAAATACCCATCCTATCCTTACTCTATCACGCCGTCTTATAATGCTGAGTAAAATCGTACTTCATGTCAAAGAAATTCAGGTACATTCCCTTCTGCTTCTCGAAATCGTTCTCGGCATCTTTACACGCCTGCATGACAGGGTCGCGCTCCAACAGGGTATCCGGGTCGCTGTCCGACACGCGGCGGAAATTGCTCTGAGAGATGGGATCGATGACCGTCTTCCACTTCTCGATCCGCTTCTCGCTGTACAAATCTAGGATCGACTCGTCCGCCTTCCCATCCCAGATCCCCGAGAGGCAGTCGTACAGGCCGCCAACATCGACGAATCCACCCGTGATGCCCATCCCGCCCCACGGGTTGCATAGGTGCGCCGCGTCGGCCGCTAGCAGGATCCGACCTACGCGGAACTTGGGCGCGCAGCGCTGGTGCATCTTATACGGCGACATGTTGATCATCTTGTACTCGCCTGGTTTGGGGTGGCCGGGAAGCATCAGCTCGAATTTCCAGGGTTGCCGCTCTTGCATCTGCTCCCAGGTTAGGCCGGGCGATTCGCCGTACGTCACTCTGTACATCCCGTCTTTCGTGAGCCTGGCTGCCATCTACATATTTCCGTGTAAGTCAGGTTTTTTGTCCAAGTAAATCGCCCTTTTGTTTGTTCTGGAAGCGAGAGAATAGGAACTCACATAAAAATGTTCAGGATGTAAGATGAAATTCGAGTCTTTGAACCCGAACTTGGTGAAATCGTAGTATATCTAGGTAGGCTAAGGTTAGCCTTCTTTGAACGAATCCAATGAATTAGTCATTTCGGGCACATACATTTGTTGCTACGATCTGCCTCTCCCAAGTAAAGCCGGGGTACTCGTCGCCAAAGAGGGATTTCCTAACGGCGCTTCCCGCACCGTCACACCCAACGACGTAGTCGCCATAGATTTTCTTTTTACCTTCTGGCGTTTCTACATCGACCCAGGCCTGTTTCTCATCTTGACCCGTACCGACGACCTTGTGTTTCCAATTAATCTTACCATTGTACTTGGTCAGAAACTCCTCGAGCATCAACTCGTCTAACTGATCCAGGGCTAAACAAGCCATGCGCATGTCTTCGCCGTTCATATTCTTCAGGACCTGGGCGTCCATCCCAGTAATCCAGCTATGGTCCTCGAATCTTCGCCAGGACATCGACGTCGGACTCATACCCCGCCGGCGGATCTCGTCGATGACGCCCGCCCGGCGCAGATCCGGGATGGCGGGGGACCCGTAGATCGCCGCACGCGGCTGCTTATCCAACTCGTGGGATGCTTCAAGGACCTCCACGGAGATCCCATGTTTGGATAGGAGCAGCGCGAGGAGCAAACCCGAGGGGCCAGCTCCCACAATAATAACCTAATAGTATTAGCCAGGACTTCAGAACGGGGGGAGGGGGCAGATCTAATATATGATCAGTCACATATTCCGTACTCTACCTTTTCAAACGGACGCGACATGATTCTCGACAAATAACTTGCTTCTACTTAAGGTCTCTAGAGAGGGGAATTTCTGTGCAACGAGACGAGACGCGGGGGTGAGGTGAGATAAACGTGGTGGTCCATCTTCGGGTAGTTCACTTTTTGGTATCGTCGACCACTTACCTAACTGCTTACTACCCATGTCACTTACCCAAATGTATATCCGAACCCCGACTTTGGGTGAGTGATCGTACACTTGCCGAAGCAATAGGTCGGGTTAATAGGATCGAGCCGATACCCTTCCCCGCAGCCCAGATGCAAGTCCCTGCATGGTCGGAGTTGGAGGCGCACAGTTTCATAACCTCGCGGCAGCCGGCTGAAAGGGCTGATCGCATGCTCATGTCGATCTTTGCGGTGATGTCATTCACCCCTATGAAAAGTAAAGTGAGACACTGGTGTGCGGAGTTTGGTTTTTGTATGTTTTGCCGGATGCTTGCATATTCTGATATTCTGTCTCCTTAATTAGCACAAAGTCGGCAGCCAGGGATTAGAGGGCAGAATACACCTACGTACGTAAGCACCCACAAAAGATGGATTCTGATCGGCCAGGGGCACCACTTTATAATCCTGAGCATCTCTAGTATAACTGGTTCAAGGCAAAATTAGGGTAAAACGATGTACCCCTTATGTCTTTGGTTCTATCAAGACTTTGCGGCTTTGATAACGGGGTCTGAGCCACCAGCAGTTATTTTACCCTCTGATCCCCAGCCGCCAACTTATGAGAGTTAAGGAGATATTTTACAATGGGTTGATTACCATACCCGAGCAAAAGTAACACAGTTGCCAAGCCGTTATTTTGGGGTAAATCATGGTTTAAAAGCTTCGTAAAATATTATTCTGCCGAAATCAAAACTGGGAACTCGAAGGATTGTGGCGTTGACACCTGAGGTAGCGTCACTAACTACCTCCTAGTCTAAGGGGGGTGACCGAGGAAGTTGGGGTAATTTATACTTGCTTTTCTGGAAAATTGCCGGGCACTGCCCCTATTTAGGTATTTTTCCGTGGCGATTTTCTAAATTGTCTCTCCTGATATTTGATTTTAGAGGTTTATCCATCTTGGGCCATAAGTAACCAATCCATTAATAACTGAAATCTATTCTTGCACATGTCAAATTTGCCCAAAGAGGTCTAAAACTCACTTCTGAGTCATGGTAGATTAAGAATATAATCGTGATGGTGATGCGATATACACTAAAGTACCTATGTGATGAAGCTGACTTAATATCGATAGCCACCGCCATCCAAGGTGTCTTGACCCAACTAATCCATTAAGGAGATTGTGAACAAAAACTCAAGAGACTAAATGCATGATTAATGGTATACCTGCCGTTTCCATCCGCCTTCCGCTTCAAATATCTCCCCTACGGCTCTAGAGACTTCCAGCAGGTGTCTATCGTGGTATCTCGGCGCAACCAACGATAAGCCCACCGGTAACCCGTTCTCCCCCTTAAATCCAGGAATGCTCGTTACGGGTGTATGGAGGGCCTAGAAAACATCAATGAGCAATCACCCATAAAATCGTCAGATATCGTAACTTACCGTCCAAATAGCATTGAAAACCGGACTCCCTGTAGTTTCCGTACCTGCGGGAGCTTCGTCTACCACACTCGGTGTAAGGATAGCAGCATACTTGCTGGCGATCTCATCAATCTTAGGTCTTAAAGAAGCAATTTTGTCAAATGCTTCTAGTTGAGCGGCTCGTGAAACCTTAGATTCATTTTCGACGTGATCAACTAGCATAGGTGCTAGTTTATCCTTAGCAATGCGGTACTCGGACAAGAAGGTTGGTCGTCCGTCAGTGCGCAACACTATGCTATGCCATTCCGGCAACTTGTCGAACTCGGGAGGTAATTCAATCTCTTCAACCTCTGCCCCGTGGTCTCTCAGCAGCTTTGCGCCAGCTTCCAATGCGGCAATCGTGCCGGGACCTGCTTGTGGCCATATCATCGTTTTCAGAACCGCAAATTTCGACCCCTTAATCGAGAATTCTCTAGGCGGAGGGACATCATCCTCGAGTTCGAAGACGTCGGCAATCAGTTGGAGGTCGTCTACACTCCGAGAGAAGAAGCCGATCGTGTCGAGGATGAGGGAGTACACCTTCAACCCCTCACGACTGATAGAGTTCCACGTAGGCTTGAAAGCATAGATGCCATTGAATGAACCCGGACGAATGGTGCTTCCACCTGTCTGCGTGCCCAATCCGATTGGTGCTTGGAAATCTCCTACGGCGGCCGCAGATCCGGAGGAAGAGCCACCGGGGGTGCGTGTTACGTCGTGAGGGTTCTTTGTTTTCGGTCCCGTTGTAATCGACGCGAATTCCGTCGTAGTTGATTTACCTGTTTTAATTCAGTATGCGAGCATTCTACCTTTCAATTACTACAGTCTACTAATATATGGAATCTTACCAAGAATCAAGGCACCCGCGTGGCGTAGCGTGATGATGGACGCGGCATCAAGTTTCGGTTCATCACCTTCGTAGATTGGGGAATTGTGCTGTGTTGGCATATCTACGATAATCAGTATCTACCCTTGGTGACAAAGAAGAATGAATAGGTAGGTAATTAGGGGAAACACCTTTAGTATACATGATATCCTTAACTGCGACGGCTACGCCATGTAGGGGACCTCGCTCTTCCGGCGGTATAGAATCAAGTTGCTTTGCTTGCTCGATCACATAATCGGGGTCAAGGTACGCCCAAGCCTGAACAGCTGCGTCTCTTTCCTCGATGCGCGCGAGTAGCGAACGCGCGTACTCTTCAACCGTTAATGAACCATCCTTAAGTTTGGTGAGAGCTTCGGTTGCCGTTAACTGATAAGCCTCCATTTCAGGGGTTAAGCCGATAGAGTAGTTGGATTTGAATCAAGTTCTATGAATATGAATGCGAGATTATATAAAAAAAGCAGTTAGAATCCATTCCCTCTCTCATGGATGAGGTGTCGTTGTAGATAATGGCATAGATAATGGTAGGTAGCTCCTTCTCCGCCCGGCCGGAATCGGAATGGAAGGAACGCTTAGATCGGAATGGCCCCCCACATATAGCCGGATAGGCTCGGGTCGACCCGATAATGCTACTTTCTCAGGTGTGAGATACCAGGTATACAATTGTTTTCCGACTATATATATGCCACATCGCTGATTTGGCATTCTTAGATGGTCCTCAAGCGGATTGTTTAAACAAGAGCAGTTAGTCAATGACCAATGAACAATCATGGGAATTAGTGAACTAAAGTTTACGAAGGCATCGGTAAATACAATTGATAGATTTCTATTATGTTAATTCATGATGTTTATAATCATAAAAATGACTTAGTGGAATCAGAGCATGATAGCGACGAATTTCAAGGCGTGGTTGTTTTCGTGATGTGAAGAACCGAACCATCCTTTCCCACCTGTCCGTAGAATTAGGAAATCACGGATTCTCCTTCTACAAGTAACTACCACCAGGAAGTTGCGATGTGTAATTTCACACTAACGTTGAGTTGAAGTTAAGAAAGTTTGCGGCTCATAGAGGCTGAACCTTAATGCTGTATGTCGATTACGTAATACAAGATCTCCTGAATCGTACGATGTTAACCAACTCTCAGTTGTCAACACCCCCTTCATAGGTAATAAGAGGTTTTTATGCTCGAGCGAATATTGGCTCATTTCACTCAGATTATTAGAAATAAACCCTTACTTTACATGAAGATTCAATTGAGCTTCCCCATCGGCTCAAGTTGTTAAGGCGGCTGTTCGGGACTTTGTTTATAGTCCCATGAAGCTTCTCATTCGAAATTAGCCCTAACTATTATGACCTTCAAGCTTAGAGAGACCGAAAGGAGAAGAATAACGCCAGAGATGTTCTTAGTAAAGCACGCTAAGTGTTGGGAAAAGTGGTGCTTTGACTGGACTGTGTCTGATTAAGGACTCTCGGACATCCGAACGGGGTTACTACGGCTGAATATGCTGTTTGGGGCTTGGCTCCTGGCCTTATAAGCCACTGCAAAAGTCGTTCTTTCCCAACAACGGGTCCCGAATTAGCGATTGGCTAGAGGAGCGCCCACCGCCCGCCCGGGTGAGAGATGTCCTTCATGGATCAATAGCATTCCTCCGTGGCGCAATTGGCTAGCGCGTCTGACTGTTACTGCATCAAACCAGAAGCAATCAGGAGGTTGACAGTTCAAGCCTGTCCGGGGGAGTAGAATATATATTTTTCGCAATTTTTGCTATTCTTTTTGGGTCGAGATACGTGGGAGATCGTATTAGAGGTGTTGAATGCTACAAAATTACGTATAAACTCAGTCAGGCAGCTATGTACCTTCAATTACTTTAATATACCTTTATTCCTTCCTAAACAACATCGCCAAAAGGACATTAAGTATTGGAAGGCATGATTCTTGTGGAATAGTGTGGTTGTTACTTGACAAGTCTTTGACTGTATACGACGTTTCTCAAGATTCCTTAACTTCGGCAAAAATTGAAGGCCCAGTTCCACCAGCAATATTTCTGCTACGAAATGTCTTATTTTTGTGGTAGTGGTGTCCCGCCCCACTGCCGCCCACCTAACTTTGCTCCTTACATAATCTTTGATAATATGAACTCTGAATTATGAGAGGACCTCGGATTAAGTGTCAAGTTGGCACCGACAGCCTTAAGATAATTCATCTGCTTAATATGCCCGGAACATTACAGTTCCCCGACTAAGTCTTCTGTAACAAGTCCGATGTTGTGAAAATGAAAAATTCCAGGTGCTTGAGTTCCTAAGTTCGTGCGGGGGCCAATTGATGATACCGACTGCTCATCTCGCCTAGCGATCATAGACTCTCGGCCGTAAATGTCATTCTATTAGCAACACCCTACTTGTCTCGGGGCTCTTATGATCGTAACAGCTTTGAGCAGCTACTGAACATCAAGTGGACTTTGCCACCAAGGTTTCCTGGTGAGAATAATTGAGTTCTGCCTTTAAACATTTTCATTTCTGCTCGAAGTATCTGAATAGTTGTACGCAAAAATATAGACTGTTGATATCCACTTTATACGCACATATTCAAGTATGATGTAGATGTAAGATAAAAATTTAAAAAACTTCGGGGCAGTTACGGAGCTCCGTAACTACCTTCAGTAGCTCTTTCCTCCCCCGGACAGGCTTGAACTGTCAACCTCCTGATTGCCATCACGGGTGTGAAGTAACAGTCAGACGCGCTAGCCAATTGCGCCACGGAGGAATGCCATTGCTTGATCGAGTCTAGATGATTCGATCGCTGCTTGATTTCCGAGTCATTCAAGCCCCTCATATACCAGGTTTTTGCTAACTCCGATCCTGTACAGGCGGAGATCTCCGAGACCGGGTTAAGAGACAAAACGGGTTAGCGGCTAGCAGTAATTGGAAACTTCGTCTGGTTTAACTTGAGAAGTTTGTTAACTTCTCGACTTGACTATAGGTTAATACCCCCTAGTGGAAAGCTTAGGAACTTGGGCAGCTTTGGTAAAATTCAACTTGGTAGGCCTTCTCATGAGTTGAGAGTTAAAAGTATGTAGCATCCTTATCTGTCGGCAGAAGAGACTAACATGAGAGGCCCATCAGTCATTGAAACCTACCTACACGGATGAGAATTGAGTGTCTAAACTTTACTTTATAAAAAAGGTCTCTACGTAGTTCACTTATGACTAGGTATTTTCGAAATACAAAATCGTATTCAATTTCCTATATACTGTGCGTATGATTATCAAGAGACATATCCAAGTGGTACTACATAGATCAGATACTTTCGTGGTCACGTGGTCACCATACAGCGAGAATGAATTAGATCTCACCAAGACTCATCTCTCACACATCATACTTGACTAGCATGCGGCAACATCACAGCGGACGCATCAGGCAAGCCGCACCTCCTGGGAAAACACTAAATGGGGCGATGTGATCGGACTCTACATGCGGCACGCTCACCGGTTGGCTCCTCTAGACTTAACGAAGAGCGCCGAGATATAAGACGCCATTGTCCAAGGCCTCTTAGAGCGCGATATTATAAGATTCGATGCGGCACGGACCAGTATAGATGGGACAGAGGTACACTTTAGGCTAGATTCTAACGCCCCCACAAGTGTGATAGATGAGGAAGCTAAGAAGAATAGGAGTGCTTTGCCGGAATCGGGACATTTGCCATCTAAGGATTACATCACCTAGATGGCAGACCTAGTTACGAAATTATTACTACAGTTTTGCTCTTGCACATGCTGTCGAAGGTTGAGCCTGCGGCTTGAAAGACACACCTCAGTCAGTAACCTAGTTACCAGACGCTGGATCGCGGCTCGTAGGAGACGGACCAACCTTGATTCGGATGATTACATAGAGCAGTATCACGCCTAGCTAATCCTTCTCGAAGTTCCTAGCAAGCAGAATGTAACAATCGAGTTAGAGCAGATCGACGTGCCATCGCAATCTGTCGACTAGATAGACAATCCGCCTCCATCACGAGGACGACTCCATCAGAAAATTGAATCCATTGGAAGACTACATCTGTAGTTTCGCGAATGATACTAGGGCCATTAGTACGGTTGAGCAGTGGCCCAATCTGTTGGTGTCTGGTGGGACATGTTATCAACTTCTCAACTCTTCTCACAAGGGCCTAGAATATTGAATATTCATACCTATTGATAATGATCTGATACTACTTTCGGTATAAACAGTCAAAGTTTACCTAAGCCTAGACGGATGAAATTCCGGTTAAATATGACAGTTCACAATAGCGTCGAGACTTAAATCCCAGTAATTTATTCCACGAGCAGGCACGATTTACTGAGTTACCTCCTCGTAAGGAATCTCCGCATCTTGCCAATCACGCTAATTACGGTAGACTAGCACTATGCGGGGAAGTTTTGGCGCATTGGCATCTTGCTGTTAGTTTCGCTGTCCCCATCTTAATTCTCACTTCAAATTATCCGCCAACCGACTCTCATCATTCTTGAACTTCTCTAGCTCTTCGTCACGATGCCATAATCATAGGGCCTTTATCCCAATGCGGATTACTATACACGCTATGGTCAATTCAGGCACCTTGATACTCGGCAATCAATCTGATCTTGGGTAGTATTCCCGTTATTGTTTGTACACGGCCTTACCATCTAGGAGATACTACACAATTAAGACATGCAGATGAACCTAGCGGGACAAGTCGACTGTTCCGTATTCACGATGGCGACTCGCTCTAACTATCGGCCAGGGCCTGCAAGGGTAACTTTCCCGGATGGTACCGAAACCAACTTACGCGTACTTATATATTACTCTCATCGTCTCCTTTTCGATTCACGATGTGATCGTACCTCTCGTAGCCTGCTCGTGCTTGAGATAGGCGTAACTAGACTACTCAGTTCCGGCGCAGATATTTCTCCGAGGTAAACCTTCTAGTATTGTTAAATCAAAGCATCAATTATGCGACTGCCGTCTTTAAGATGTCAGTTCCTTGCGGCGGTAATTGGGTTTTCTCCATTCGTAGTCGCCCTTGGACAACAACAGATAATTAGCTTTACCAATAGCGAGGGAGCTTTTCAAATAGCTGGGTCGATCGCCCAACCGCAGATCCTCGTCTCAAGTAACGATTATTGGGGGGTAATTCGAGCGGCCGGTGACCTTGCGAAGGACTTTGGCCGAGTGACCGGAACCAACTTCACTCTGAGCAGTGGGAAAGCTGGAGCTCAACCAGCGGTTTACGAATATAAACCAATTAAGCGGAATTATACTCATGTAAGCTGGTCAATTTTAACCCATGTATTACATTGCATCAAGTAGAAGAAGACTGGTAACTGCTGGTACGGGATACCTACATTCCCGGGCCTCATAACAACAACAACAAGATTTCCCCATAACCATCATCTGCTAACATATCATACATACCTACAGTACGAGGTTAATAATACGCAAAATTTCTACGGTCCCGCATATACTAACCCATCAGCCGAAAGTACGGTCATAATTGCCGGTACCTTAGGACATTCTAAAGTTATAGACGACCTGATTACCGCTGGGAAATTAGATGTTTCTGATATCGAGGGGAAATGGGAATCTTTCACGACCAGAATTGTTCAGGAGCCGATAACCGGTTGTTCGAAAGCTGTAATCATAGCAGGTAGCGATCCTCGTGGCACAATCTTCGGGATATATGATATTAGCGAACAAATCGGCGTTAGTCCGTGGTATTGGTGGGCGGATGTTCCGATCAAGCAATCCAAAGAAATCTACGTCTTGCCGGATAGTAAAGTTCAGGGACCCCCTTCGGTCAAATACCGCGGCTTTTTCATAAACGACGAGCAACCTGGGTTATCGGGATGGGTTGAGTGGAATTACCCGGACACCCCTTACGGAGTCGGGTACAACGCCGACTTCTACGCGAACGTGTTTGAGCTTCTACTTCGATTACGGGCGAATTATCTGTGGCCAGCTCTTTGGGCAACTATGTTCGAGGTTGATGATCCGAGAAGCCAACCACTTGCCGACGCATGGGAGGTTGTTCTTGGAAGTTCACATACGGAGCCGATGATGCGTGCGCAGAACGAGTTCGGGACGTTTTACACTAATGAAGGTCTCGGGCCTTGGGCTTATAATCTGAATAACAAGACGATCGACGAGTACTTCGTTTACGGAGCTCAACGCGCGAAGCCCTACGCTCGGAATAGTTTATGGACTATGGGTATGCGGGGGACTGGGGATACCGCCATAGAAGGGTTAGGTGTAGAATTTATTGTCAGTATGCTAGAAACTCTCGTTCATAACCAACGAGCTATCATCGAAGATGTGCTAGGTGTCAAAATCGAAGAAGCTCCACAACTGTGGTGTCTCTACAAGGAGGTCATGTCATATATACAGCAAGGTTTGACAATCCCGGAAGATATCACCCTCTTATGGGCGGATGACAATTGGGGCAATGTTCGGAGAGTGCCGATCGGAAATGAAACGATACGATCTGGAGGTGCCGGCATCTACTACCACTTCGACTACGTTGGCGACACCAGAGACTACAAGTGGATCAACACGATACAATTAGAGAAGACGGCAGAACAGATGCAGCTTGCATACGCTCACGGTGCCGATCGGATATGGATTGTCAACGTCGGTGACCTAAAGCCTCTGGAGATTCCGCTCACCCACTTCCTCGACATGGCGTACGACATCAATCAATGGGGAATAGATGATGTGGGTAACTGGACTCTTGCCTGGGCAACTCGCGAATTCGGCTCGGAATATGCCTTGGCTATACCAGAAATCCTGACGCGTTTCGGCATGTTCGCCGCAAGGAGGAAGTTTGAATTAGTTGAGCCGTATGTCTATTCGACTATCAATTACAACGAGGGAGATGCGATATTAGGTCAGTGGCAGGGTCTAGCTCAAGATGCGCAAGCAATCTACGACCAACTAGACGAAGCTCTCCAGCCAGCGTTCTTTGAGATGGTTCTTCACCCAATCCTTGGCGGTCAGATCATTCACCAAGTTCATATTGGTGCTGAAAGGAACATGGTTTACGCCAATCAACACCGGACCGCAGCGAATGATATGATCTCTAGAGTTCTGGCTAGTTTCGACGCCGATGCTGATCTCACGATTAGATGGGATAGTCTACTAGACGGGAAATGGAAGCACATGCTAGACCGTAAGTCGATTTACATAATGCTTCTCAACCTTTCTACGACGTTTTTTTGAAGGTTGCTAATTTCTTAGAAACCCACTTCGGTTACGATGGTTACTGGCAACAGCCAATGCGAAATGTTCTTCCAGCCATGGCCTATGTCCAGACTGCGATATCTTCGATAGCAGGCAGTGTGGGGATCGCTGTCGAAGGGTCAAACGCTAGTATTCCAGGAGACGACAAATATCATGCGAATTCGGGGAACACGCTCATGCTCCCGTCGCTGGATCTTTATGGCCCGGTTATACGCTGGTTTGACGTATTTTCTAGGGGTAAGGCTAATTGTGACTGGTTGGCAGAAACCGATTTATCCTGGGTAAAGCTGTCACAGTACAACGGAACGGTAGGACCTGATAATGGTACAGACAGTCGAGTCTTCGTCTCGGTAGACTGGGCAAGCGCACCACAGATTGTCAACAACACAGTAGCCAATATCAACTTTTCAACTAGTTGCGGGCGCGAAGGCTTTTCGAATTGGTACGGTCAACCGATCGTACAACTACCCATCAATTTACGCACAGTTCCGTCCAACTTCACTGTGGGCTTCGTCGAATCTGACGGGCACGTTGCAATAGAAGGGCCGCACTATCAACGTATTTACACACCGTCCAACGCACCACCAGCCCCCGAGATCACATACAAGACTCTGAAAAATTACGGACGCACGCTTGGTGGAGTGACCCTCTGGCCGCAAAACACGCCACCTCAGACGCCCGAGACCGCTCCGGCTCTCGAATACGATTTGTACCTATTTACCAACGTATCTAAGGCCAACGTGACGTTGTACCTTTCGCCGACGCAGAATTATCTATCCGACCAGACGCCGCTGGAATTCGCGGTGTCTCTATTTCCTGCGGGTGCGGAGCAGGCCGAACCGCAGGTTGTCCAATTCGTTGGCGACAGCGTCGGGGCGGACATGCCACCTGGCTGGGGCCGCGCCGTAGCTGATGCTATTTGGGGGCTCGCGCCGGTCCACAATACGACGACGGCGTGGAGTATCGCTCAAGAAGGAGCCTATACTCTTAGGGTCTGGGGACTAGCGCCGAGCGTCATTGTGCAGAAAATCATTGTGGATTTAGGTGGTGTGAGACCGAGTTATTTGGGTCCGCCGGAGAACTTTCTTATGGGGAGAGATGAGATTGGTGTATATAAGCAGACTAGCTTCGCGGATGCATACAGGTAGGGTAAAACCCTATTGCTATCCAGCTTGTTCATTGAACAAATACAAGTGATATCCATGGATAGGTACACTACAATAATATAATGTTTCCTACTAGGTATTCTCAAGTAGGTCTCGTTGTCAAGACTAAATCTACTAGGTATGTAGTACGTCGTAGGTACAGAACAACATCATGCACAATAATCATTTTGGTGTTGACAACAGGTACCGAGGTACTTCTCAGCTACTAGGTTATCTTCGATTGGCTGAAAATTTAATGAAACCAAATTTCCGGGGTACTTGAATTGGTGAAAGTAAAAAACAACCAATCAATCGCTTCCTAGCCGTGAAGTGTGTTTTGATTCCCCACTAATGTTACATTGGGGCTGGACGCTAAAAACAAGGCAGCTGCCGGTTGCCGTGGTGACTTTTAGCAGGACACGATCAACACTGTTTTTTAGTGGCTTTTAATACAACAATATTACAATTGTACATGTCAACTGACAACATTAAAATTCTTGATGACGATATTCTTCTACACCGTACCTCCTACGTCTGCCATCCGAATCATACACGCCTTGACGACGCCGTACGCAAGCCTAGCCACTATCTCCAACAACTAGCACCGACACAATAGTCGGTCTAATTTATAATTTGGCGTTGAAATCGCGGCGATTGTTCATTCCTTAAAATTCATCACCGGCACTACCTACTCGTCTTACTTATGACGACTATTCTAGGTTACTATCACGACGATTTGTAGGGGGAGCTCAATTAAGGGGAAAGCAACACTACAAACATCACACAAGCACCCAACATGGCTTCGTTCAAGGACCCGGGTGCCTCTTCTATCACTGTCGCAGGTAAGATAGCCGAGTCACATCGGATAGTAATGACGATAGAAGAGGCGATGCTAATATAGCTATCAACAGTGCGAGTGCGACCATTCACAATCAGAGAAGCAGCACAACTGTATGTTCACCTTGCCCAAGCCACAAGCTGATGCGAATTACGACGACTCTAATACAAGCGCAGGCACCGTAACGATGACGGGACCCTATTTCTAGGAGACGGTTCCTTAGCAGCAGCTCCCCAGCCGAAGCTGAAGCAAAGTGGCATCCGCTCCGTTATTAAAGTTGTCGATGACCGATGCTTGTATGTTGACGCGCCCCTATACTTATCTACATGCACATCTACGACGATCAAGATCTCTACCATAGACGACTTACAGCTGACCTTCTTATCACAGAGTATTCGATCCGCCGGAAGATAATCCTGTGCAGAAGTTTTCCAGATCGGTAGTGCCGAACGGCAAAAAGGTCAAAGACCAAGTCTTCGCCTTCGACCGAATATTCGACGAGAACACCTCCCAAACCGAGGTATACGAGGCAACGACAAAGAATCTATTAGATAGTGTACTCGATGGATACAATGCAACGGTATTCGCGTACGGAGCCACGGGATGTGGCAAGACGCATACGATCACTGGAACATCTCAAATGCCCGGAATCATATTCTTGACGATGCAAGAGCTCTTCGAGAAGATTGCCGATCGTAGCGACGAGAAGCATACAGAGATATCCTTATCATACTTAGAGATCTACAACGAGACTATTCGAGATCTGCTAGTCCCCGGCGGCAGCAAGCAAGGATTGATGCTCCGTGAGGATTCCAACGCAGGCGTCACCGTCTCCGGACTCACAAGTCACCACCCCAAGGATGTTCAAGAAGTTATGGACATGATTGTGCAGGGAAACGAGTACCGGACGGTGTCACCTACGGAGGCAAATGCTACTTCGTCTAGATCTCATGCTGTCCTGCAGATTAACGTCGCCCAGAAAGATCGCAATGCAGCCGTCAACGAACCACATACTATGGCGACCCTGAGTATCATCGACTTGGCAGGCAGTGAACGAGCTAGTGCCACCAAGAATCGAGGCGAACGACTTATGGAAGGTGCAAATATCAACAAGTCGTTGCTAGCATTGGGCAGCTGTATTAATGCGCTCTGCGATCCTCGAAAGAAAAACCACGTACCCTACCGAAACAGCAAGTTGACACGACTGTTGAAGTTTTCGTTGGGCGGAAATTGCAAGACGGTCATGATCGTTTGTGTCAGTCCGTCTAGCGCCCACTTCGACGAGACACAAAACACTCTGCGATATGCCAACCGAGCAAAGAACATTCAGACGAAGGTGACTCGAAACGTCTTCAACGTCAACAGGCACGTCAAGGACTTCTTGGTAAAGATCGACGAGCAGATGGCCTTGATTAACGAACTTAAAGCACAACAGAAGGACGCGGAGAGAATATTCTTCGCTAAATTCCAGAAGCAGCTGGAGAAGAAAAGTTGGTCTGTAAAGGAAGGCGTCCAGAGAATCCAAGCAGCGTATGAGAACTCGCAGGCTGAGCGCCAAGATAAGGTCAACCTCATGAAGAAGCAACGCGGTATCGAACGCCGTATCGGACTACTATCGTCATGGATTGCGGCGTTCGATACAGTTTGCGATATGAGGGAGGATGAGGATTCGATGCCGCCTAACCTCGTAGCCATGCGCAAGACAGCGGTGGGCATTCAACTAGAGCTCGAGAACAGCCGACAGCATATCCACCAAAAGCTGAGCAAGATGAATTGGGAGCGTGCTATTGACGGAGCTCTCCAACATAGTATCAGCCAACTACCTTCGGGTGACGGACATGCGGTGGACAACGGCGAAATCGAGAGTCTAACGAGAGAAGCGGAGCTGTGGAAAGCCAACTTCGCTCGAGAAGCCGACCGCGAAGTTCTCGAGCAGGATCGCGCAGGCGACGCAGGCATTATGCAAGTTCTTTTGACGGCACAATTCGAAATCCTTTCGTCGCTCGCCGATACGATGAACATGAGCGAGGAAGAGGCAGTCGCCCATGCGAAGAGCATTATCCACCGTCTTCTCGAGACCGGATTTACGGCTACTGCTCAAGTGGTCAAGCCCGACGGGGCTAAGATGCCGGTAGAAGCATTTCCCCCCACGAAACGCGGAACTCCGAAGCGCAAGAAGACGGCAAACCTTAGCAAGGAGGCGGTCAAACCGATACCAAACCCGGCTTTGGCAGCCGTCGTAGCAGCTCAACCACAGCCGGTACCTGGCTCGCCGTTCAAGGGATCACCTCGACGCCGCAAGGCGCTTAACGCACGAAAAGGTGTCTCGTTTACCCCTTCAAAGAAGAAGTCACCTACGAGACGTGTAGTACGATGGCGCGACGACGACGGCGAATCCGGTACTTTAGCCGACTTTGAGAAGACTCCTCAAAAATTCGACAAATCGCCGGAACGCAGCTCGCCGCAGAAGGCGATACCGCAAGTTTCTGCTATCCCGTTGAACCTTAACAAGGACAGAGCAGATAGTCCTGCTGAAGAATCGAGCCCTTCTATTACTGTTCCTGAGATGTCAAGCATCCCCGTTTCGAAGCCTAACAGGTTTCAAGCAGGATTCTTGTCTAAAGCTCGACCGTCAGATGCCGGAGGTTCGCCTACGCCACCGGCCATCTCTATAAACCAGACATCCTCTTCCGAAGGCGAGGGGAGAGTTAGCCCGCTAAGAAACTTGGACGTCTCGAGAGCAGCTAACATCTACTCTCCGAAGACGCGCCTTTCTCTAAGCCCTTCACAAATACCGGCACCTCGAGTGTCCTCACTTTCGCCGCCTTCCGACGAGAACCAACCCCCTTCATCCGATTCGGAAAACTCCTCGATTATCGACACGTCTAAGCTACGTTCGGCGATCCACGCAAGCAAGCGACCTAAGCGCTTGTCTTCGCTCGCGGGAAGCGTTACAGGTGCCAGCGGGGCCTCTAGAAGGGTCTCGTCGGTTGGACCGCTCACAGGCGCGCACAAGACCAGCGCCAGCTACTCGGGTCCCTTAGCATCGAGCACCAACGGCATCTCGCGACTGCGACGCGGCAGCGCGGAGAGACGTAGGAGCCCTCCTATCAGCTGCTCGCCGCAAGATATGCCGGGCCAGTCGAAGGCGTTTACGCCCGGCCAGGCCAGACGCATGAACCTGAGCAGCAGCGTGCGCGGCCTCAGCGGACTGGCTAGCCCCGGCGAGCGAAGAGAGAGGATGGAAGCTACTAGCAGCCGCGGCCGCCGCATTACTATTGGTGGTTCGGCGATGGCTGGCGGTAGCATGAGGAAGGCTAGGAGCAGTTTGGCTTTGCGATGAGCCCCTAGCCCCTCTATAAATAATCACAGAAGCCCTTGACGGATTTCGAGACATGCATGAACGAAGGAATCGGGTGTGGAAATGGAATGACATTTGCAGATTGCGCGTCTTCGTTTCTTCTAGAAGTCTCTCCGGTCGAGACGAGACTGGAGTTTCGGGTGGTTCTTTTTTTTTTTTTACTTTCTATCATTCTCGCAACGTCACGATCGGTCGGCCAGACAAGACAGTTCATAGGAGTTTGGGAGAGGTTTCTGTATAAAGTAATTTTTCTGTATTGACTAGGGTTCCGGGCCCTATCATAGGGCTACCGGTTGCGCGCTTAAGAAGCAGCAGCAGCAGCAACTCTGGTAATGCGATTCTCTGTTCATTATTCATGTTGGGTGATTGATGGCCGGGGATGATTGGTGATTTGGTGATTTAGTGCGAGTGAGTGAGGTGCATGATTGTACGTTTTATCATTCTGCTAATGGGCTTACGAATTGAGTTTTTTTGGTGTTTATTTTGGGATGAGTAGATGATTACTTAAGGAACGTAATAACCTTAGAGAAGAGCCTTCAATAACAAAATGATACGAAGAAGAGGTTATAAACGCATCAAATGATGACGTCGTAGCCTAGGTAAATTGCAGTGAAACGGAGGCTAAACTCTAGCGGGCGCTAGGGATTTAGTGCTAAACTCTAACGATTGTCGGGGAGCTCTATTATCACCACCATCGAATCTCGTGGTCTTGATTGAGATTTCATGATTCATCATAACAATAATAAGTATCCCTTGTCGATATAAATTAACATCGGAATCAATATGATTATTTAGAGAGAAGAGATAAGTTGAAGATACATAGATATATCACCCCACCGTCTCATTCTCGGTCTCCGGAATCCAACTGTTTCATAATTCTCTATTGCGTTTGATCCTCAATTTCATTGTCCTTGTTTTCTAGACACGTTCAGTCCGAATGGGAGATTTTGAAGAGTTGGTTCTTTTCAAACGAACACTGTAATTGAAAATACTATACTAATCAAACCTATTATCTTAACCTAATATTCGAAGCCATGGCGGACGGCGTCCACGTTCTCGACGACTATTACCTAGCCATCACGCTACTCGTAACCATCGCATACCAGTTATTCTTTTTCTGCATAGCTTTTAGCTTCAAGTTTGACAAATTAACAGGTCCACCACCCAACTTTCCAACCTACCTACCTACCATCTCACTAACAAAAACCGTAGACTTCGCCGGCGGAACCAACTTCGTAGTCCTCGCCGTCATCACCCTAGCATTCAGCCGCCATCCCGACGCGCGGCAAATCGTCGCGTCGGTCTTCATCATGGCGTGGGGCCTGCGCCTCTCGCTCTTCCTTCTGTACCGCGTGCTCAAGACGGGCAAGGACGACCGCTTCGACGACAAGCGCGACAAGTTCTTCCCCTTCCTCGGCTTCTGGGTGTTTCAGATGCTGTGGGTGTGGACCGTGTCCCTGCCGGTCACGGTGCTCAACTCGCCCGCCGTCCGCGAGTATGCCCCGCAGCCGTCTTTCGGGACGGGACGCGATGTCGCGGGCGTGATTCTGTTTGCCCTCGGGTTCGTTATGGAGAGCGCGAGCGATGTGCAGAGGATGATGTTTAGGGCGCGGAATGATAAGAGTGCGTTTTGTCACTCGGGGTTTTTTGGTTGGAGTCGGCATCCGAATTATTTCGGCGAGATTATTATGCAGTTTTGTAAGTTTTCTGACAGCCACGAAGAACATCCATGGTTTGGGCGACTACCTAGGTAGCATGTGCTAACAGTAGGTAATAGCCATTTACATGATATCAGTCTCCGCCGCGGCGGATGGTCCTGTCGGCGGACAAGCCTTTAAAGCTCTCTACGCCACGATTTTAGGACCATTCTTCCTCACCATCCTACTTATGTTCGTCTCAGGCCTTCCGCTTTCCGAGCGTCCTGGGGCGAAGAAGCGTTACGAGAACGGTCTGAACTGGGATGCTTACCAGCGGTATCTAAACCGCACTAGCATTCTAATCCCCTTTCCTCCCCAGATATACGAGAAGCTTCCCGTTTTCGTTAAGAGAACTATATTCCTTGAGTTTCCGATGTATGTGTTTGACCCGGCGAAACATTCAGATATCACGAAAGATCAACAGCCTGCGGCGGCAAGAGACGATCATCTCAGAAGATCAGAAGAGATATAGGCCGTTGGAAAATAGTTCAAAACGATATAGTTTGGGTATCCTGTTTATATTGGAAGAAAACTTATCAAATGTTTATAATCCTAACTCGCTAATTTACGCCCCTCGTATCTCGGACATGTTTACCCGTTACCGTCAACCTCAGACTCGACACCACCGGATCATCAAGACCAGCGATGTTGATAATGAAGCAGGGGGCCGGTTAACGACTCATACCTCGTTCAGTTTACCGCTTAACTCGCAGGCGCCGTGCACGTAGCCTGTGCTCGGAGTATTCCCCGCTATGTTTTCTTGCGCGGGCCAGCCCCCATTCCCCACGAGCAGCCCAGGGGCGTCAGGAGGTTGGTCCAGAGACTCCTGAGAAATGCTATAATCGGATTCTGAAGGTTCTTCCGAAAAGGCCTCCGAGCCCTCGGGAATGGGGACCATGGCGGATTTGGTCCAGATATGGATGGCACGGGACCAATCGAGCCCCTCTAGGCACTTGAGAAGTGTCTGCAGTTAGTGATAGGGGTCAAAAGATGGTGTATATGGCGAATTTGGGTTACAGATATGATCTAGAACCACGATTACTGTCTCATAGCAGTGCAGGCTAGAATAGGGGTAGAATGGGTGTTATGAATCGTAAATGTACATACCCCTCCTTTAACGGAGACGACATTTTTGCCCTAGCTATGGTTAGCATATGTGCTGCATTTGTTATGCAAAATGCTTACTGGCGTGCTGTGGATAAGTCTTGTCCCGCAGTTGCGGCAGAAATAACTAACGGAAATCGTATTAATTAACTCGAAATCATCAAAAGCGCCGTAGGATGAGACGACAGGATGCATGAAACTTACCAATATAACGAATGACCGGTATGTGTTGGTCGACTATCACAACAACTCTAGTCAGCCAAGAGGCTATATTTAATGGTTACGTAAACAGAATTGACGCCGTTCTCGAGATGGTAAGCAGACGCAGATCTCCAGAAAACGTACGTATAACAAGATAGTAACTCAGCCTGCGGCAGCGGAAACCGGGGGAAGATAGCAGATGTGCCGAAAGCAGAGCTGGTTTGGCGACGACACTCGGCACAGTGGCAGATATACAGCGCGAGCGGCTTGTCCAGGGGTGTCTTAAACGAGACGGCACCGCATTGGCAACGGGCTTCCATAGTGCATTTCCTTTTTGATCTTACCCCGGACGTAAGACGATGGCCGGAAATGAAGGAATAGATGAGATGGATAGTTGATATACGTGGTATTTGTATTTGAAATGTTTACAGGAAAAACGATCCTTAAATTTCTCCAGTACACAACGCGTAAACAAGTATTTCAGGGGCTTGAGAAAGATGTCCGTTAATGGAGTGGTATGACGAGGTTTAGTTGAGTCAGCGGGCCGAAGCCGTCGTGCCTGGCTGCCTGGTCAGGGTCTCGCGATCCCCGCAATGTAATCTCGATCGAATTAGTCATCAGCCCTATATTACAGAACATATTCTGTACGTTCGTATGATACGATTCGACTCTTGATGGTGTATAGCCAAACTTGTTCTGTTAAATACACTAAATACTCAACTCCTAATATTCGAATATAATAGATATAGAGACATCAGATTAATTTCTCAATGGCCAATACTGACATATTCGTTAAACTCCACTCCGCGGACCGCATTGGGGAAATTAGAATGACATCATGGCATTATGATATTCCTTGCTTCTTCTGAGTCATTCCTAACAGCATCTTAAATGACTACTCGAGATTCAACCCAATGGCAAGCAAATCTAACCAATTATGTTCGAAGCGAGGAAGAAGGCTTGCTATTCGACAATTGGAAAAGCAGACGCCGACTACAATTGGTTATATAATGAGAATTCGATGTGATGAGAAAACAACATATTCTATTCTCCTTTGCTAGTAATAAAGTCAGAGGAAGCAGCCGTGTATTAAGTAGCAACTATCTTCATTGTAGTGATGCAAGTAGTTTCTATGAAACTTAGAATTAAACATCCATGCATGGATTCCATCCCGTCAGAAGAGGTCGATAAACGAAAGACAAATCCCTGCCATATTTCGAGAAGCAATACCGAATATGCCTAATATGCGATGTCGGAAAGTGCTTCGATATCATAACGTTGTGTATTGTTCGTGCCCGTATGGTTTAACGTAGTTTGTGGCCGGTAATCAGTCGTGAAGGAAGGAGCTCGTGCTTTCCAGATGCCGAGAAGAAGGAACCCGAGAATACGTAGTAGGTGCTATTCTCCATGGTCCCATGTGATAATTGGCCATCTTCGTCCCTTCCCACATTGTCCCATTTACCATAGCTCACCATTCCTCCTTCTCACCGATACCCTTCTCAGCCTTCATGTAACCGGCATCGTCTCGTTGGACATTGCCCATTTCCAACTCTTCCACCGAATCCCGTCTTTCCCACCCGGCCGCCGTAACATTTCCTCCGTCCATCGCAACCGAATTCTCCACATCCAGTCCACCATCTCCCTCAACCTCAGCCTCAGCCTCGACCTCAACATCCTCCACATGCTTCCTTCCCCCAGAAACATTCGCATTCGCATTCGCATTCGACCAGCACCCCTAGTACTTGTCGACGTAGTGCAGGCCCAGGATGGGGACGGAGAAGACGCCGATGACCATGTACGCGAAGCCGATGGCGAAGAAGCGGAGCCCCGTCATGAAGAGCGTGTGCGCCGACGTCTCGGAGCGGTGCCAGAAGGAGGACACGCCGATGACGAGCGCGGGCACCACGCAGACGGCCGTGAATATGATGGGGAAGATGGGGGTTGTGTCGGGCGTGGGCGGGGCCGTTGATTCGGGGAGGAGTTGGTAGGCCATCGTTGCGAGGGAAGGGGTTGTTGATGTCGTGTACCACTAGATAAGGATGCTGTTTGGTTGTGATTGTGGGGATCAGTGTATGGGATACTTTCAAATATTGCGAGGTGATATGAGCTGATTCAGTATTTCGAAAGTAGGATGTAGTGCCTTGGAAATTTTTCAAGTCAGTCTAGCTGGTTGAAAATAGGTAGGTAAATCAAGTTCCAAGGTGTGTTGGATGAAGAGTAAATCATGGATAACTCACAATCAGATTTTGTAGAAAGAATATAGCTGGTGAAAGGCTGGGAAATCGATATCGAGAATCGACGAAATCTAGCAACAGGTCTTGTGAATCACATATCCTGATGACCTCACTCGAATAAAGATCAGACGACTAGTTAGTTAGGTAGTTATCGCGGCAGTCATGAAGATGGATCGTAGTTTCATATGTACACCCTATGTATATTGGGTAGGTAGGTACCCAACCAGAAAGAGAAAGGAGAAAGGAGTGCGGCTCAAGCCTGGCATTATTACCATTACATATAGAACATGATCCGAGATGCCATCCATCCCCTTTGTGCCCTTACCAAACCGAACCCAACCCGACCAAACCCTGTCCGAACAGCCTGTCTAATGTAAGTCTAAAGTTTGAGATGAATCAGAACCGAAACCAATAGTACCAGTAGAGAAGCAATGATGCAGTGAACTGACGTTTCGCCATGGAAAATAACCGTACCCAGGAAACGATCGTAGATAGCTTCAGCTTCCGTGTTTGTGTTATTTTCTGATAATAAAGTTGTCTTGGACCGAAAATATCCGGGCCCCTGATACCCCCGAATGCTTCAGACCCACTTTGGACGTTTCGTCCCCGAACCTTTCCGTTCTAGAGCAACTGCACCCCCGGAACCTGTCGGTAAGGACTGCCTTAAGACGCGACCACGTGGGCTGGAACGACCCTGTGATCCACTTTTCCCAGTAACGACTGTATGTAGTAAAGATTGCTGTAACGACCCCTTATAAATCCCTCGCTCTTTCGACGCAGCAAACTCGGACGTGCTGTTCCGCCTCGGTTTTCGACTCATTCAACGCCTCCTCTAGGTTTCGACACCACTCCAGTTTAGTATTGTCGTCCCAGTCGGCAGCCGACAGCTCGACCTCCAGACACCGAAGCCGCTTGAGCTGCTTGAGCCCGTTCTCGATCCACTCTTCTACCTTCCCTTCCTCATCCCTTACTCCCGCCGTCGGCGCGCCCCTCTGAGGCGAACCGGCAACGACCCACGAGACACCTCCACCTGTCCCCACTCCTCCCCCGCTACTAAGGATCTTCAGCCGCAAGCCCCTCAGCCCCTCGGACCAGGCCCCGCAGAGCTCCCTCCACTCATCCACGTACCGACCCGCGAGATCCCGGGACAGGAGCTCGAGCCTGGCGTAGTGCATCGTCTGCGTCTGCCAAGATTGCAAGCCCCTGATAAAGGAGCGAGCCGCCCACAGGCCCGAGGCGAACCAGTTCACGAAGACGAACTCGTTGTTCCGGAACGGCAGTTCCCTACTCTCGTAGTAGATCTGCTTGCTCACTCTGAGCATCGAGGTCGGCATGCAGGAGTACGGACGCCACGGCGAGAGGATCGGCGCCGTTCTCGTCGCTGTAGGCCTTGGGGTTTCGTCCGAGGCCTCTGGCGTGTTTGAATCGTTTTCAGATGGTGCCGTTATGGCATTGACAAAGTAGCCACGGTTAACCGGAATAGGGTACCACGGCGCAAATTGAGTCAGCCTGATGGGGTTCATGAGATGGATCCAATGATAGATCTGCTGCCTAATTTCGAGTGGTAAATCCATGAAAGGGAAGAAGGTGTCGTCCTCGGAACTGGTAGTGGCTGTATCTATGTCCAGCTCATCTTCCGAGCTCCCGTCATTCGAAACTTCACCCAGCATGAGAGCCTCAAACTCGGACAAGTTTTCCTTGTTCAGAGATTTGATGCTAGGTGACTCGAAATCTAGACCGTCGACAGGATCCGGAAGTATTCGGTCTGCCTCATGCTGCTCACATTGGATCGGTCCCCACGGGACGACGTTTCCGCCGTCCCAGTCACAACCGTCATCGAATTCGTCTCGAACCATGTTGTGCAATTCAGAACCAAATTTGTTCGGAAATGTATGAAATCTGGAGAAGGAGAAATAATAATAAAATAAAAACCGGATCGTCGACAATATATTTGAACAACGTAAAAGAAAGCCAAAGGATCACCAGATATCCACAAGAGTCGGGAAGCGAGGGGGTCCAATGAATAGCGCAAGGCAGGTAGAAATATCGGCGTACAAGGCAACAGTACGCACTTGATATAAAGGACAACTCACGATGTCGACCGGGTTATACGCTGTTGCTTTTTCGTATCTAACCGTTGACCGCTAAAGATGAGACGGGATAACGAACCAATCAAATACTTAGGTCCGTCAGCAACGAAGTTGGGACGGGCTATAAGGATTATCAGGTGGATAGTAGGTGGGAAAACCCGCTGGATATAACATCAGCTTACGATGGGGGGTTCTTTGGTCACGCCGCTGGAGAGCCGCCTGTGCCGTAAGCAAAAGTCATCACCTCTGTAACGGTAATACGACGGCGACCCGCTTGTAGGGTGCAAATCTGCGAGTCAGCATCGATCTGATTGACCCTAATTGACTCCGATTGACCAGAGGAATAGCACAATTCGCGACTATCCCTGAAAATCCTTGAAATTTTATTCCGATTGGGTTTCTTTAGCATCTGTTTCCCTGTTCAAATATCAACACGTATTAGCTTGCGTTGTTTCGGGTATTGCTGCATATATAGGATTCGCAGTCGCCGGGTTCGAAGGCGGGAAATCAAGAAAGCAAAAACCGACAAAACTCCTTTTATTTACTCCGCACGAGCAGGCGCCATTCGCTTTAGAAACTATGCCAGCGCCGTATATCGGGCCGCGTCGGCATTGCACGAAGGATAAATGCAGTTCAACCACTCTCAACGAAACATATTGCGTACCTACGTAAGTAGTCAGATCCCGTCGCGCTTACGTACGGCCGGCAGTGGCCTCTCATAGGGCTGAATGGGTCACACAGCGATGCGTTTGAAACCGGTTAAGGGAAGAAACGGGGATATGGTGACTAATCGGGCCTGCGAAGGGCTTACTGAATTGGAATCTAGATAATATCTTGCGGCTTATGTGCGTTGGCTGCGTTGCGCTTGGTGGTGAGGCTGAGAAAACAAGTTTCGAATTTGTATTTATTTTCTCCTTTGCTTATTCGCGCAATTAGTTTCACGAGAAAAATTTTCTTGTTATCGGTAGGCTGGGTGGCTGGCTTAATACCTTAAGAATTGCTTTTTTGTCAATTTGCTTATTCCTCATTCCGTCATCGAGGCCGACACCGCAGACCTTCAGGTTGACCGGGAATGGTCGGATACCTTCGTCATAGAACAAATCCCCTGTCTTTGAAAGTCACGCTCCTAACGCCGATCACTGAGGGAATATAGTATCCCGAAAGTCACTATAGAAGTCTATAGGATCGATAGGATCAGGACAACCAGAGTCTGTTACCCCGCCATGTGACAATCGCTTCAGCCTGTCCCTCGTGACCTCATCGTTGGAGTAGACGTGGGGACTCGTATGTAAAGCCGCCCATATATTATAAGCGCCCGCGCCAGTACCATCTTAAAAGTGGTACCATTAAGGACTCGTCACATCAAAACCTTGGAACTCGGTAAAATATCGCAGCGCCTCCAATGAACGCGAAGGATCCTCACCGAGCAACAAACTCACCCCTCGCCGCGAATCTCATGACATTCTCTAGCGCGGCGCCCTCGACCTCTTGAGTCGCGACTCCAGGTGCCGGCGGGGGCGGCGGTCGATCAAGCTCCATTTCGTCGTCGTCGATATCCTCGTCCTCGTCCTCGTCTTCGTCTTCCAGCAGCGATCTCTTAAGCCCCGTCCGCACGTTCTCGATTCCTCGCGCGCGCTCTTCCTCCGTGAACATGTCGTCTCCCTCGCCTTGCACATATTCTGCGAGGCGACTTTGGCAGAACTCTCGCGTCGATTCCCACACGGCTTCCAATTCCTCGACCCCCTTTCCGCCGCCCGTCTCAGTGCTAGCGTGCGCGCCGGAAAGGTCCGAGGACTGAGTCAATCCAGCGAAAATCTTCCTCCCCTCGTCCATCGCCGTCGCGACATCCGGTTCCGGCTTCTTGCGCATCAGCTGTATGAGTATTTGTTCCTGGGTGCGACCTGGAAAATTCGTGGTGGGGTGAACCATGATGCGGCTGAAGGTGTCCGCCATGGGCATCATGATGCCGAGGACGCTCTGGATCTTACTCTGTAAGATATCCGCATGATTCTGGAGCGATTCCCTGAGACGCGATACGGTTAGCTTCTCGCAGCCCAGAATACGGGCAAGCCAGATGGCTGATAGGTAAGAAAAAAGAGACTATCACACTGAACAAAGGAGATACGTACAGATTGGGTAGCGGATTGCTCGATAATACGCTGGCCTTGAGGGTGCCGATGCCGCTAGAGATCTGCATGAGCCGCAGCCTCGTCGCCTCGAGCGCCTTGTAATCTTCCTGCGTGAGGCCGGCCGGCTCCATAATGCTATAGGTTCGGAATAGTTGGAAATCGTTAGGTACAGGTACCAATGCGAAAATCAGGGATTAGACGTGTACTTCGGGATCTGCACGAATTGGCTACATATGTAGGTCGGCAACTAGCGTTAGGTGGGATGGGATGGGATTTCTAAATGCGGTGTTGAGTTGTTGAATAGGAAACATTGAGTGTTAAGTTTGGAATTCCAGAATTCTTCAATAACAACATGAATGGACCAGTCGCACTTGTCGCCCGTCGCACTAACAGCATTTTAGGAAGGCGACCTGTAGCTACCTCCAGATTACGTAAAATCTACAAGGATTACGAGATGTCATTTACATAAACCTGAAGCACGGACGATTTTATCCCGCTATTTATTGAGTTCACACCCTCCATCTGGTAAGTACAACCCCCGAGTACCGACAGCCGAATACTACGCCACTAAAGCGTTATGTAGGCATGGTTGGCATGCCACTAGCTCTGCTGGAGGGGGGCTCTTATCAGGGATCCGTGATTTTCAGGGGTCCACCCGGGCGCTGACGTCGCATCCATTTCAACACCATGTGATTCAATATCTTTAATCTACACAAGGGCTATCTATCAACTAATCTACTTGTCCAATACTAGTGCTATACTAGATCGATGCAGAGTATAGTTACAGATAGGTATCTAGCGCGTCTCATTTTCATCCGTCAATGGTCATCCGTCATCCATATCATAAAATCATTCGCCCATAACTCGTCGCTAAATCCCGATGAAAAAATCACACCGTAAATCTCTTAGATCGGAAGTATCAGGTCCACCGGCGCGTTCGCGGATGCGCCGGTGTGATATAACCCAATCCACGAATAGGCAAGTTAGGCGCCGCGAAATGCAGATGCACCACCACCCAAGTACCCAATCAATCTCCACTTTCAAACTTTTCCATATCCCGTACAATAATAAGAACCGTAAAATGAGACCGTTACTCGTTGTGCGAACCGGCCTGATCGATAACGATATCTCTAGTCTCTCGGCCGTATTTGTCAACTGGAGGGAATCTAGCACGGCGCTCCAGATCGTCGAGGGGCAAGAAGGATCGGATGTACCTAGATATCGTTAGCTTTGACCATTCTGGTGGTAAAACAGTATTAGTAGGTAAGTCGCTTACTTGTTGGTGCCGTTGTCACCAGGGTTGTAGTCCCACGCCTCGAATTTGCCCTTGTTCAAGGCGCTCCACACAAGTCTCCTCGTCCGTTGCGACATCAATACTTGCTTTGTGATGGCATCAAAGTCCCAGCGTGCGGTGGCTTCAGCTTCGAACTTTTCAAACTTGTCCTTCGCCTCTTCTTCCTCCGGAGAAAGCGCCTCCTTCTTAAGTACAAGCTGCGCCAGGTTGACGAGCTCAAGAGGATCCCGTTCGAGGTTGTAGAGTTGGGGCGGGTCGGTCGGGCACGTGACATACTTCCAGGGACCGCGTCGAATCATCATGTACGGGCTGATGGTTCCTTCACCGGTGTACTCGGCGATCACAGTGTCGTGGCCCTCGCGACCCTCCAAGTGGGGAAGGAGAGAAAGGCCGTCCATGGGTAAGCCGGCTACCGGTTTAGTACCGACAAGGTCGCACAACGTAGGAAGGATGTCTAGGGTCGATACGTTTTGGGTGACTCGGTGAGGGGCGAATCGAGGGTCCGAGATCAGGAGAGGTACTCTCACAGACGACTCAAAATAACTCATCTTGTACCATAGACCACGTTCTCCCAGCATATCTCCGTGATCTCCGCTGAAGACGATGATAGTGTTCTCGTCGAGCCGGCATTGCTTTAGCACACGAAGAATACGCCCGATACAATCATCGACGTAGCTGACGGCGCCGTAGTATGCTCTTCGAGCTCGCTTGATCTGATCGTCTGAGAAGTCCTCGTCCCAGAGATCGCAAACCTTTAACAATCTCTTGCTGTGGGCATCCTGCTCCTCCTTAGGGATCTTAACCTTTGGCAGGGCAATGTCCACATCTTCGTACAGGTCCCAGTACTTTTCCTCAATGGTGTACGGGTCATGAGGGTGAGTAAGAGAAACCTATCATGAGGATGTATGTTAGCAACGACTATCTAGACACACTCCATAGCCTTACTCTTAATATCCCCTCGAAATTCAAAAAGAAAGCCACTCATCATCAAACACACATGTACGTACCGTTAAACAGAATGGCCTCGAGTCAGGTCCTTCGCGAACTTGGTCGTACAGGAACTGGGTAGACCTGTACATAACCTCTTCGTCATAATCCAGTTGGTTGCTTCGCACACAAGTTCCCGCTTGGAGAATGGAGCTAGCGTTGTGATACCACTCAAGCCGCCTATCCGGCTCGTCCCAGTTCACGGCCCAACCAAAATCTCCTGGATAAATATCGCTCGTAAGACGAGTCTCGTAGCCGTGAAGCTGATCTCCGACAAAATGCATCTTGCCTGCCAATGCCGTGTGGTAACCCTTGGCACGCAGATAGTGCGCGTAGGTCGGCACGTCACTTCCGATCTGAGAGGCGTTGTCATAAGCGCCGATCTTCATAGGAAGCTGGCCGGAGATCAAGCTCATGCGAGAAGGGGCGCAAAGAGGAGATGGGCAATACGCCGAGTCAAACTGGACAGACTTAGCTGCCAGGGCGTCAAGGTTAGGAGTCTTGATCTGCGACTCCGGATTGTACATCTTGAGTTGCGGAGCAGCCAGCTGGTCTGCCATGAGGAATAGGATGTTAGGGGGTTTCACGGAAGAGCCGTTGGTGCCGTTGATCCCGCTAACATGACCCGCCGCCGTTTGGCGAGGGCCGTTAGGGTTTACCCCAGAACGTGGAATGGAATCGATATCAGGAGCCATTGTAGTTATCGTGGATAACCATGAATAGGCTTAAAGAGTTATGATGAGAGGTTGAGAGATGGAAGATGAGAAGAGGGAAGAGAGAGAAGAGATTGGAACAGGGCTAAAGAGTCTCAACTCGAGAAAACTCAAGCACAGCCGGTGTTCGGAGCGAAGGATAATAGAAGACGGAGATATATACAGAGAGAAGATAATAGAAGAAGAATAGAAAGCGGGAAGAGAGCCAATTAAGTAAAAACGCTGGAAGGAATTAGCGTGAGAGATTCAACAACCTGTATCTCTTGTCTAGGCACTATCGGAGGTGAAGATCGTGGAGCTGGCTAAAACGTAACGCTTACTGGGTTGCCAGTCGGAGCTACTGGATAACTGCAAGGGGAATCGGTGATTTTCAGCCAGGGACGTCTGAGACGTACGAGAAGGGATATTTTAAAGCAGCTCAAGGGCCAAATACCGACGGGGGTAGCTGGGCATACGTCTACAGCCTACGTAGTACTATGCGATGAAGCAAGCATCGTTGGACGTTGGGAATATTGCAACGGTGGTCACTGGTCGTTTGTGGGCACAGACAAAATCGGATAGCGACTGGCGTAATAATGGCGAACGATTGCGAAAGAAACGCTAAGAGACACCGCTGTTTTTACCCCGTGGAGCAACCTTGAAGAGGTGTTGATAAGAATACCCTACGACTATGCCTAGTCCGGAGTTTGCTCAGGGGATCCGCATGCTATTCTACCGATCTCTGCCAATCACCGAGCACTATTACCATGGCCTTTTCCCCAATTGGAATGCAGTCGCGTGTGTGATTCGCTCCGCGATGCAAGGGGTAAGCAGCGAAGTCCATATAGAGATATCACGCCGCGGCGTGTGTCTATACACTGCTCGTGCCGCAGTTTGCAGTAGCACAACTTTATTGCCCTCTTTAACGCCTGAATGATGGATAAGATATTCAGACCAAGTAACCACCTGGCAGCCCGGCAAGCCTGGGCACTTGGGAAATCTGGGGATTCGACTTTGGAAGTTTTCGATACCACGTTTCTTATCATAATGTTTCATACTAATAACCCCGTAATATTAAACTGACAGTGTGTAATCTGATCTAGTCTCGGCTTGATTGACTTGGTAATTTCGTACAGTCTCGAGGTCTTTGTTCCGTACTGGGCATACGTATACAAGCTAGGATCGTAGTAGGCTGAGTAGCTAATCCTGCCAACTCGTTACGACTGTAATAAAAAATAATAATGAATTATTACATCAGCATCAATCACGTCAGTTTCTATTAAACTCGCGCAAGACCGCCGCGCGCAGTGAACTACGTACCTACCTGTCTTTTGAAGTTTCATCTCGACTTTTTTCACTCATGACCGAGCAATGCCCATTTCCATACACATTTTTACACCTCCGGTCTAGACTCGACACCCTCACAAAAAGCCAGTCAGCACAATCGGAAAATGCGGGCACCTATCGAGATTCGATTCTTGACATCCTCTCAGAGCAAACCGCGGAATCAACGGCAGACGTGGCGATGCAGTAGTTCGGGTAGTCGACCACCTCGGACAGGTCACCGGTCTCACATCCGGCCTAACGCGCCAAACGTGTGACTCCCAGCCTCGATCTGCAGCGGCTGTCGGGGCGGGATCCTTCTCACCTCGCCGCCAGCTTCCCATCTTCCCGTGACGGATCTATTACCCAAATGAACTCGGAAGCGTTCAAGCGGAGACCTGAGAGGTTTCTCGCCTGCATATTCAAGATACAGATACTCCCGTCTGTCCTGTCACATTGCTCACGGCGCTTAAAACATGCAGATGCCATTACTTGAATTTTCCCCCCCCAGCTGATAAATCACGGTAGGCCAAGCCGGGGAAGCGTAACACCTGACATGTCAAAATATTCGATAGATAAGAGCCACATCATCAACGGGAATGGTAGAACGAGTAAGAAATCGGGATATAACGTAAATTGTATTACAGTGGTTGGTGTCTAATAAAATGAGATGCTGCTCCGCGAGGTTTCCTCGAGGCGTTGGCAGGAATTCTAGCCCCTGCGCCTCGTCGTGGGCCCCTTACTTTTAGGCGTGGCCGAAGACACGGCTGAGCTCTGACCGCCAGCGGCGGCGGGAACCGGGGCGGCCTCCTTCATCTTGCCCCTAGCCTTGGCCGAAGGGGCGTTCCAATAGTATACCATCTGCGCAGCCAAGACCAAGTTCAGCGTGAAACCCGCGACGAAACCGTACAGGATCAGCTTATCATCCACCTCTTGCAGCGTCGTGAAGATTCGAGAGAGCGAGCCGGCTAGATAGTTGAAGACCTGCATGTTGCATTAGCTCAAGTTCACATCGATAGGATGTCGGGGAGAAGAATCAGGAATAAGAGATGGCTGGGCGAGGATCGTCAAATATGAGATCGGCGGCGAAAACTCGGCAATCTTGCAGATATTTTGCAGACATCGCAGACATCGCAGATATCCATCTTCCAGATAGGAAACCGGGTATCATCCCGTCATAAGTCGCTTACCGTGAATGCGCTCAGCTGACCCGTTCCGCCCTGCTGATAGATAGCAGCGATCTGAGGTACCTTGCTAGCCACTCCCAGGACGCCCGCGCCAGCCTGCAAGTAGCTTAGGGTCTGCATATCGAGGATCCCGCCATTGAACAACGTGACGACGCTCGTCGCGAGAGCCGCAACAAACAAAGCCGCCATGCTAGCCCTGCCGCTGTAGTTCAGAACCAGCACGGTGATGATGACATTTTGACCCAGAATCAGAGCGGTTTCGCCGTAGGTGCTGAAAGGGAACCCGTTGCGGAAGTTGTAGGCGAGGGAGATGAGGTAGGACGAGGTTTCGAGAAGATAGGACAAGAAGCTGATGCCGGAGGAAGATTGCGACTGCACGAGCTTGACGATCTGGGGGACCTTGACTATAGACGATGCGCCGATGATGCCGATACCGAGGCCCTTGGAGATGGCCAGCTTGAGGCATTCGGGATCGGTGGGGTTGAGCTGGAGAACCAAGGTCTTGTAGCATGTGTCTCCGATGATAGACACTCCGAGATCGCGGATAGGAGTAGGTAAGGCGTTCGTAATAGGCCGCAAAGGCTGCAGGGCGGTTCGTAGGGCCTCCATCACGGGCGATCTTTTAGCTAGACAATGTTATCCAGCATATAGATTATCCGTCACTTCTCTTAGGATTAGAAGAATATCGAATTCTTAGAGATAAGTACTTAGATGGACTAAGGCCACGTTCGTCTTATGCAAAGAAGGTGAGTTGGCAAGGCTGACACCAAAAAAATAGAATTCAGACCTTATGCAAGCAAATCGACTGACGCGACAAAGAAACCACGCCCCAATCCTTGGGTACGTAATACTAATCTGGCAGCCTGTGGCCCTGTCAGCCGGTTTTATGCGGAGACGCTAGTATTTGATAGGCTTAGCCGGCTTAAGGTACTTTCACCAATCACCTTGTACATAATTTTATACACGACAACACATCCACATTTCACTTCTTCACCTTCACTGCTTCACTATAATAAGGGGTAATGCTTTGATAAGCTACCTGAAGAAGGGCTCAATGATGAGCCCTTGAGCCTGTATTGAGGCGTCCGGGGAAAAACAGTACTGCTTAACATATAGCAGACAGAATTGCGAAAAGAAAACCGGTAAAAGAGTATTAAGGTTAAAACAAGAAAGAAACCTGTCCATCATCCAGCTCAAGCATTCATATGTGCGTGAGAATCGTTAGTCCCTTAGACCTTTAAACACCGTTCAACTCATAACAAAACCTCCCAGAAACCGAAAGACCGTCCGCCCAAATTCCATGACTGGCGTTAATCATAATCGTGATTCGTTCCCTAAGATAAGATAGAAGAAGTATTGTATCGCATCACTTCCTTGCCTAGTTTGAAGGATAATAGCGGGCATGGAAATAGTTATATACCTCCTGAGCGTAGTCCGCAAGGCTGGCACCATCCTCCCACGTACTCTGGTCCTCGGGGACGCCGACCCACTTGACCTGGAGCTGAGAGACGCCGTTTATCACACGGTCGTCCGTGATCTTCTCAAAAACTCGCGCCGCGGGGGTAGCGCTCGTCTGGGTCTGGACGGCCTTGGCACGGCGTGTGGCAACCTTGCGACGGCGGCGAGTGGCAGGTGGCTGGCTGCGACCGGTCGCCTAATGGATTGATTAGTATTTGTTCACGCATCAACTAAAACACGGCGGATTACTTACGTAGAGAACGGAGGTTCTCTCGGTGGCGGCGATGGCGTGTCGTCTAGTGGATCGTCGGATGGCAGAGTATGTACCGTCCTTCTTCTCAAAGATGTCCTCATTCTCCGTTGCGACCATTCGTGCTTTGAGAACTTCATCCTCCGATCCAAGTTCCTTGAGCATATTCTTGCGGCGTGGGCGACGAGCAGCTGGCTTCTCGGTGCTGGTACGGGTTACCTCTTGGCGGTTCGAGGTAACTGCTGGCTCGCACGAGGCCACGCCGTTGTTACCTTGACTAACCACCTGGTCATGGGTATTGACATTCATGGCAGGAACGGTTAGGGTGTTCGTTCCAGGAGACACCGTGTTGCTAGCTTGGTTCATCATGGTCCCGTCACTATCAGGTGACATGATTGTACGTCAAGCTACTGATGGTTAATTATCATAGCAAAAATGATATAAAAATTGAAGCATGAAAAGATGTAAACAGAGAGCGTCGAGATAGGGATAGAACCAATATTATCAATAGATGAACGACGATTCGAAAAGGAAATAGAATACCTTGGGTTGTGACGGTGTCGTGTTGAGTAACAGGGACGGTGATGAGATAGCGATGATAAATTCAATAGATTTTATAGGTGATACTCGATGTAGCGTCGAATATCTGATTATTTAATTTCAGAGGAGACGACAGGAGGGCATACATGAAAGATGGATCGACGTATAGAAATAAGCGTCGCATAGATGACGCGAACGAAAAAAAAAGGAAGGAAAGAAACTTACGATGTTGAGTGTATTTAGAGCTGTATCACGATGTTAACGAGAGAAGACGCGTATGATGGTAAAGAAGAGCATAGAGTGTCGATGGGTTTGCGAAAGTGAGGAAGAGGGAGCGTGTGATGTAGTAGAAAAGAAGAGGGTGTGAGAAATTGCGACGATGGTAAACAGAGTTTCTTAAATAGCATGGGGTGTGTTTTTGAACTCGATAGAATCAGTAAATTCAAGAGAACCGGCAAGTATTCACGTACCTATCATGGTGTTTTCTTTTTAAAAAAAATCCAAAAGCTACTGGAAGGGCACTAGTGAGTTAGATGGTATACTGAACCTTGTTGGCGCTGGTTTCAGCGGAAGGCACACCTGGAAAAGGGATTAGCTATCCTGGGTACCTACATACTTACACCTGTCGTGTCAAGTGGTACCTGTGTAGTCAGTGACGATGGGCTGTTTTCGGAAAAGGCAGTCCGTCATAGTTACAGCTGATCCTATTCGAATTTAGTACTTACGGTAGGGAACTGAACTTGTCATTTTCAAAGGTGTTTAAGTATATATAGGTATATATATAAGTACCTACTAGGTATGTATAAAAACGTGTTCGTGCCCTTTCGTATTATCATATCCGAATACTACATAGGTACTTAGTATGTGAAGAGTATTGACTTGCACTAGATATCATGGTGCCACCCCTTTATTTATAGCATCACGTAGAAAGTTTGTATTAAGAGTATTTTGGCAAGCAAATACCAAGAATGAAGCAATACAGTGTATCAGCCACTATTTGTCAAAGGTACCTAAACATATGACAATGAATATCATGGAGAAGCAATCATTTTAACTGCTATCTCCTGACTGTCCCACGACACCACCATGCCATCAATATTTCCCAGTATCGTTATGTGGTTAGGTAGGTATATATGTAGCCCTTAGCATGATCGCATCATTGATGCTGATTCACCTCCTTACATGCCACAAAATCATGTACTCATTTCAACTTATCCGGGTATCTTGCTAATAACAGTATCACAATCCGCTTCACATAAACCAGCTATAAGAATCTCTCTAGCACCTTTAGCTACCCAGGTGGTTGGCAATTGGTGATTTAGTCTAGCTCTTCTTCATAGTCGTCAGGTAGCTCCTCAAACCGGCCTTCTTCAACAGCCGTCCGTACTGGGTTCTCGGCAGATATAACTCCGTTTGCTCTTAGCCTGCCAAATAGTTAGCAATGACCATACCTTAGGTTGAATTACTTTTACCTCTCAAACAAGACAAACAACCTCTCCGCTTCCCTTTCTCTCTCCTCTTCCGTCATCTCGGGACCTTCGGGCTGTCTCTCCGCATCCAGAAATTGCCCCGTAATAGGGTTGACTGGTCTGTTGGCACCGCCCCTAGCGGTGCTGAATGCCTCAGACGCGTTCTGGGGAATCGGAAGGTTTCGGTTGAACAAGAAGCCCGACGCAAATCCGTAGCCCACATTTTCAACGAACGCCGACGCATCTTTATCAGACATGTCAAAGAATAAGTTGGATATCGTCTCGCGTAGTTGGGGTGCCACGGGATTCGTCGAGTTCTTCAAGAGCCAAGACGGTAAGGAGTCGGTTCGTCCAAGCACCTGCGATCTATCTGCCTCCGTTGGTAAAAGTCGAGATCGTATCGAATTCTTCGCATCGGTTGGCGCGTGTTCATGAATTGCAGAGATAACACCGATTAGGGGTGTAATCGACCCATCTAGTTCCTCGTCCTTGTATACCGAGGTTGAACGGGCAAGCAAGTCGATCAGGTGATTGGCTAGGATATTAGGGTCGTTCTGAGGATAAAGAGAACTTTGGATTTCCTTGGAGCCGGTTTCCAAGTTAAGGAGAGCGTTGACTAATGAGTTGACCGGAGGATCCAACGGTTTCTGAGTTGCGAAAGAGCCCTTGCATAGCACAGTGACAATATGAGGTATGGAGGGGGTAAACGAAGAGACCCGGCTATTACAATAGTGAGTAATGTTGAAAAGGAGCTGAAGAGTCTGGGCCAGCGCTGTATCTTCCATGGGATCCGTTGCCGCGCTTGTCGTCGCCCGGTGCTTTGCGTGTCGCTCGAGGTTCTTATTAATGGAATCTGCTAGATGATATTTGTCGATAAGGTCTACCAACTTCGCGTTTGTGCCATACGTTAATAAAAAGATGATCCTAGAAGCCAGGAACTCATCGTCGCGATTATCACTCTTCAGCTTATCGCACGCCTTGGCTTCGTAACCGAGATCAACAAACACCTGCCGAGTTTCTTGCTTCAGGAGTAAGACATTGCATAAGATCCTCATAGCGTTCCTAGATGTGGTGCTGGAAGGGCTATTGAAAGCGTGCCGAGTGAGCGTCTCGACGCCCTAAGAGAAGTAAGCTTATAGAGCACTCTGCTTCAAAGTTCGTTGACTGTTTACTGACCTCCTTACTAAAAATAGGACCTGCATCTCGAGGGTCTCTACTATATACCTTGAGTTCTTCCAAGGCCGAATCTCGTTCTACGATTTGATAAATCAGGATAAGTCGACCAGCTTGAGAAGGCAAACTACTCACGATGAGGAAGCAGACTGATAGAAGCCAGGTCTTCGGTTAACCTTCCCATCAAACTTGTGACCTTGGCTAATTTTTCTGCGTGACGAATGAGCATGACACTGCCTCGCAGGGAATTGTAACCACTTACCAGGCCCTGCCAGCACCGCAACGGCGGCGGTTTGCTGAGTTGGCTGAGCCATCTGAGGACGAACCAACGATTCCTCCGACCCAGCCAGTCGGTTACGCGATATCGAGAAAATTCGCCGGAACGTCCCCGGCCGGAGTCTGGATGACTGCTGACTCATTATGAGCAAGAGATCAAGACATAATACACGGAACTGTTTTGTTGTGCTATCGTGCTACTTTGGGGTAATAAAGGAGAGCGGGGGATTACTGAAGATAGCTTGCTCAACGCTCGTGACATGTCATGAACGAGCTATAAAGCATTTATGGTGTTGAAAAAAGAGCATATAGGCACGAAGCGGGGTCACATCCCAGACACGGATCGTGTAAGTAGGTAGCAAACTGCTGAAGAGTGATTGTGATTATAAATTGGACAGATTTCAGAAAAGACTATCTGGATAGACAGCGCGTGTAGCGTATGTGGAGAGATTATCTAACGAAGAAGTATTCGATAATGGAGAGGTCGGACATACTAAGGGGTATAATCAACCCAGCTCCTAACGCTGGCGCTCTCGAACCACTCCGCCCACGAGAAGACACGACAGGTCCGAGGTTAGAAGTAGTGTCACCCTATCACGGAGGATAGAGAAATGATCCTCGAGGGGGCGTGACACAGGTGAGTTTGTTAAAAGATCGGATGATGCGCTTCTTAATGGATGTACCAAGAGTTGAATTATACACGACCTTGGCGATTTGCTGGAAAATAGACATAGAAGAATTTAAGCTCCAATTAATCTAGTGAGGTACCTTGAGTGGTACAATTACGCAGCAGGGATATCGAAAATCCAACAAACTTTTGGCCGTTAAAGCTGTCATCTGGATCGGGTATAGGGAAGTACGTAATATGGATGTATCTAAGTACTTACCTACCTGGAGATGGAGTGTACAAGCTGGGAAGGTGCTACTTGCACTGTGGGAGGTATTTAAAATCTCCACAGGAGATTTTAGAGCTTAAAAAACCAACAACAATACAACATTCTATTCCTTAATTCTTTTCTCCTGGTAGGTACACGCTTACAATTTTACGAAGATACACAGGTACAAACTCATCATAGGTACTGCTAAATTTGACATGTCGTGGAGCACAGACTATACTATTTAAGGTTTTGTGAAATGCCAGCCACACGAGGTTGAAAGGCAGGAAGGAGTCGATGGTGCGGGGTCTTTACTAGGTACGTACTAATAAGCTTAAAGTGGAGGCCCGAGCTTCTCGCGTTAATCTAGCGGGTACGCGAAAAAAAGCTAATCGCGTCGCGTTTTTTCGTTACTCTTCTTTAATACCTACCACTTACCTTAATCAGGGGGCCCGATGTCTTAGCTAGACATCGTCACATCCATCTGAACTGTCTGGCCGAAAACACCTATTCGATCTTTTTGCTCTATCGTCCCTTTTCTTTCTTCTTTCTTTCTTCATTCATTCATTGAGTTCTCGTAATCTGCTGTTCGCAATTGGGATTGATTAATGGTTGCTCGCTCGTCCAGTTCAACATCCAGGTTACTGGATAATTCTTCTCGTGGTAGGTGTTGCGGGCTGAAGCAGCCATGGTATCGCAAGTAGCAGTGGTTCCAAGGAGTTTGGAATCTTTACCTGCGAGACCGCCAACGCCGCCGCGAGAGAAGAGGCAAGACGTTGCCTCATCATCGAATCAAGTTCTCTCCAGTCAACCCGTCGATACCAGGCTAAACCTGCATACACCTCCAAATTACTCCCCCGATACTGGTGATAATTCCAACGTCAGTTCCCGAAGATCGAGAAAGAAGGTCGGGTTCTTGGCGCAAGCCGAGTATCGCGAAGCTCCGACCTACGCTGGCAAGGAAAATGTTCGAAAGCAAGCTACTCCAACGTCGGCTATCTCATTGGCAAATTCTGCCAAACCTGTCAAATCCATCCTCAAACAAACTTCGAGCCCGATACTTCGTAACTCGCTAGAGCTCTTGGCTTTCGGCGACGAGGAAACCGGCCGGGTTAACATCGTCACCATGTTAGATTCCACCATTAAGCAGCTAGCCGGCGCGGACCGCGATTCCAAGATCGATGCGTATACGATGCTAGCACGGGCGTTGAAAACGTCCAACAACTTACCCGACCGAGTAGCCCTCCATGATAAGATGAGCTTGTTCATGCAATTCATCCAACGAGATGTCACCACAAAGGACTCGAACGGAGCTATCGATTCGTCTATGGTGAACCACGCTCTCACTCTTCTCTGCACTTTTTTCCACTTTCCCGCCATCGCATCGATGTTATCATCCGACTTCGGCATCTTTATCATCGATCACTGCATTAAATCTTTCGACGACCCAGCCATACCCAAAGACGTAATTAGACACCTGATGCAAGTTGTGGCTTCCCAGGATTTTCCGGGGAAAGTTATGACGGCGGATCGCGTTGGTCGACTCGTGACGGCTCTCCATAGGATCGAGGAACATATCAAGGGCAAAAGTATCATCATGTCTCGCATATTGATATACCGAAGACTGGTCAAGCAGGCGAAGATGCACATGGTCACGCATTCGGATTGGCTCTTAGATCTGTTTACCGACATGCTTAGTAGCTTGAAGGAGATTCGCGCTTCGGCCATTGCGCTAGGACTAGAAGCTAGTTTCGCAATCGGGAAAGAAAAGCAGCTATCCAGAAGGGTTATGGAAATACTACAATTACAGGTCGAGGAGACCCAGTATATTGAGTATTATATCGAGAGATTAATGAATATGGTGAAGGACAAGATCGAATCCGCCTCCGTCCCTCAAGTCTGGAGCGTCGTCATCCTCCTCCTCAGATGTCCGGTCGACCGATGGGAGTTCTTCGGGCCTTTTCTCGAGATCATTCAACGTTGTTTCAATAGCGGAGACTATCACACCAAGCTCGAGGCCAACTTTGCATGGAATCGGCTAGTCTACTGCCTACATTTCAACGAATCCTCGTTTTCGAAGACTATCGCAACCATATGCCAGCCCTTTCTCAGCCAGCTGAAGCGAAAAGGCGGAAGCAAGCAGGCAGACGAGATACGGAAAGTGGCGGTCGCTGGCGTCTGCAACCTCTACTACTATGCCTTCGGGCCGAACCTAAACACGGCACGAATCGAAAGTTACTGGGACGCGTGCGTCCGACCTTTAATCCTACAGCTAGCCCCTCTCAAAGTAGACGGCAAGTTCATAGACAAGGCCGCTCCTATCCCTCCCGAGAACCTGACTCAGTCCATATACATATTAACCAGCCTATTCAACTCCTCCACGGCTCGACTGTGGAAAGAAGATCGAGTCTCCGACATTGTGTTGGTCAAGCCGGAGGAGTTGCCCGCGCTGGACCCGAAATGGGTCAGGCGGAATGCTCAGAGAGTGTTTGCTGTAGTGGAACCTATCTTGGAGAGTACGTTTTTGGATCTCTCGAAACCGGCGTCGCCTGCCTGTCAGCTTTGGCGAACTCTTGTCGGCGCTGTGGCGACTGCCGCATCCAAGGAGGTGAAGGTATCCTCCGAAACGGCTACCTTCATGGCACAGTCTTTCAGTACATTGGCTTTGATATGGTCTAAGGGACTTGATCAACCAGATGCCGAGCCTGACTCTCAGCAAAGATTCTTAGACGCGGCACAAACGTATATCTCGACGATGACCGAGTCACTGGGCTTACTACCTTTCACCGAGAAGCTGCTCTCTTTACAAAACGAGAAGTCGTTTAAGATCGTCGCTACACCATCAAGCCGCTCGGGAAAAGGTCAAGGCCTTGCCCGAACTCCCCTTCACCATTTGTTTTCTATGCTCTCCGCCCTACCTCCTGGGATCCTAGATAGTGATGGATTATTAAACCTAATCAGGGTTGTTTTCGACCCCTTCGTAATCTCCCGACCATCCTCTCAGGGAAAAGTCGACTTGGCACGCGAACTGATGCAAACATTACCGGTAGATATCCCTTGTTCTTATGGGCCATGGATCTTCGTATCCGATATTCTCTCTCTATCTCTAGAAAATAGCCAATCTAGTCATCAGACTGCTTCGAGCAGTCAGCCAACGACAATCGGCCATGAGTACCGCGAGATCGTCAGACATCTCGAAAGGGGTGTTAAATCCACGCCCAATCTACCTTGGGAACAGTGGCATTCGCTTTTCCACCTATTGGTAACTCGTGTTACTTGCGAAGCAGGCGAGGCTGGGTGTGCTATCGTGGTTGTGGAACCGTTGGCTAAGAGCCTTTGGGAAATCACTTCATCACGCGAAGACGTAACGCCAGATAACCTGCTCAAGGCCAGTATCGACTTGATAGCCACCGCAAGGCAACCGCGAGATCGGCAAGCACTCGATGCCGCTCGACGGCGTCTCTGGGGAACGTCGATTGCCGGGTCGCGGTCTGCTTCTTTTGACCCCTTCGACACCTTTTACCGACTCACGAACCACCTACTGGGAGTCGCGTATATTCGCTTCGCGCAGTACGGCCAGGAAGAGACCGTAGCAACTTTGCTTACAGAAGTTACTAGTTATCTAGCTCGATGCAATCCCTCACTCGTATTGAAATCTCTGCTTCAACTACAGCACGGTATTAGCCTCTGGGTTCAAGACGCGGACGCTCAATATAGCAGTAGACAATCCTCGAATGTGTGCGAAGCTGTAAGTGCCATATTCATTTATACGTTCTTTCGCAATCCCATCTGACGATATATAGGTTAAAACTTTGTGGAGTCGAATTTGCACCTCGCTTTTGGACGCAGATTCGTCTGACAACCTGCAGCTTGACGCCATCGAGGAACTGTTATGCGCCGCCTTCCTGAGTAAACACAAGGATATCGTCAACGCCGTCTCCGAAATATGGAATCGCACTTTTGAACAAGCGGAAGAGATAAAATATCCGGAAAAGCTTAAGGAAGTGCTCCTTTCCATCCACTCTTACGTCGATATCGTGCTTCCCGGCTTGGATCTTTCAATGTACGGGTCAGCCGGACAAGAGCTGTCATTCATTGAATCCCAAGATGATTTAGAAGTACCCAACCCATCTTTAAACGCTGCGAGCCTTCACCAAACTCCCCAATCAGAACGACCATCCTCGAGGCGATCCGCCACACCTGGATCTGTGCAGCTCTCGCTGCCTGGCGGACGTCGACCTGATATTACACCTAATACTTCTCGGCCAAGATCAGCTCGGCAGGGAACGACTCCTAGGCCGCGGCACGATGATTCTCAGATACAATTCGCGCCAATTGAATCATCCTCGCCTAGCCAAGACATAGCGGAGTCTCAAGCCCTGACAGATCGTCAAAAAGAGGTCCGCGAGCGGCAACAAGAAAATGCTGCGATATACCCTCATATCCGATCTAGCGCGGAGAAGCGAAAGTCACCCCCTCGCGCAGCTCGGCATCAAGAGCAGATGAATCTTCAGGTGACACGAGCTGCCACTCCGGAGCGTAGTCGCGAGCTTGAAGATTACGTGTCTTCGACGCCGACGCCAAGACGTGGTCAAGCTCCCATCATCGACGACCATGAGATGACTGACGATGTCCCATCATCACCACCGGAACCTCGTCGAAATCTACTTGAGGAAATGAGACCAAGATCTAGGACCAATGGCATGTTCCCAGAATTTCCAATATCATCCTCGCCTGTCTCAGGATCTCCGGTGCCAAAACGACAGCCGACGTTTATCAGCGAAGCTCGTGCGGGACAAGAAGTTATAGAGATTGACCAAGGTGATGCTATGGAAACATCAGATCATGAAGAGCAAGAAGAAACACCGAAAGCCAAGCCTAAATCAGGTCTCGTAAAAGATACTATGCGGGATGCTGTGCCGGACAAGAACGACGCTCAAGAGCTGTCGACACCACGAAATACTCGTTCGATGGGTAAGGCACTTGGGTCATCACCTCGATCTGATCGCGAGGTATTTGTAGATGCTCTCACCAGTCCAGTTTCCCGAATATCGCGCACTCTCCGCAGTAATGCCGCGGCAAAGAAACAAACTGAGGAAAGTCATACGCCGTCATCTCAGCCTAAAGATCGCTCTTTCGAACTTAGTGACGGAGAAGAGCGAAGCTTTGCACGTCTAGTCGTCGAGCTTGATTCTAAGAAATACGATGCTCAACCGAAGGCCAGCACAGAATCACCAGAGAAACGACGTAACGCAGATAAGTCTGATGTGGTGAACACGGAATCAAGAAAAACGCGAAGCCAATCCAAGAAGGAGGAAGATAGCCAGTCATCGTCAGTCCCCCCAACATCATCCGCAGAGGTGGAGACCCCACGATCATCGAGCAAGAGATCGAAGAGGAAGAGGAAGCGACAGACGGAGAAGAGCCAGGAACCTAGCAGCGCCCGCAAAAAACGAAAACATCGCAAGAATATCGAAACTGGACCTGAAGCAGAGGCAGAGGCCGGAGCGGAAGAAAACGTACAATCAGCGTCTAAAAGCCAGATCTCCGAAGGCAATGCTACAGTTGCGGATAAGATCACCGTAGCAGTGGAAGAGGACATGGAATTAGACATCGATATGTCTTTCAGCGAGGTACAAGAACCCGCGGCTACGGAGCCGGTCCAGCAAAACGAGCAAGACTCTTCACCTGTCAGCTACGACGACAGTCTCATCGAACGAGAGTCCGAACGTGAGTCTGATACGGAAGCGGTCAATCTGCAGATAATCACCGAAGCATCCCAACAATCAGAAGTTGCACCCATTCCCGCCGAAATAATGGATGAGGACATGCCGGTCGACGCAGACGCAAAGATGGCGAATCACGTAGAGGAGGTTAAGAAAAGGAGCCAAGCAGAAGAGGCTGTGGTCCAAATTGTAGCCGAAGGACCTCGTCACATTCAACAACCAATAGTGGAAAGGTCGCAGGCAGAAAGAATCATGGACGCCCTGAAGGGTGGCCTCGAGGGTCTTCGTGCGGCAACGTTGACCCGAGATGAGGTAAATAAGATCGAAGATATGTTCTTCGACATCAAAAAAGAATTGTACGAGGCGGAGAGCCGAGGCCGACGCTAGGTTGCGTAACGGGGAGGTATATATAGGTATATATGAATATGACTGGAAGGAAATGACAAAGTTAATTCCTACTTGTTGGACTGAACCGGTTTATGACGGGCATTGGCATGGAGTTTAAGGCGAAGTAGACGGTCAGTCTGCATAAATCAAATTCATTTACATTGCTTCTATACTTTTTGTTGCTCGGTGTATGTGATATGCGTGCTATATAGGTTTGCTATATATGATATATGTGCTATTTACTAAAGTTTAACTCATATGGATACTGCCGGATCGCAATATACTACCATATGTCAACGCCAGATAAGTTGATAGCGTCATTGCCTGACGAGATCGACGTCTGATGTCAAATATTTCAAGGCTACTTGATCGTCTTGATCACCACCGCCAACACACCCTCCTGACCGAAAAAAAAAAGACGCTTTGCCGGAAACATCTTACGTACGACATCTAAAATGACGCAGAAATACCAAAATCGACAAAATGACTCAAACTACCACGGCATACTCCTCCGCCAAATGCTGCCTATCAAGTGGAAAGGCAGTGGTTAATTTAGGTGATATTATATGAAGCCGTCTAACATCAGGTAATGCAATGGCATCAGGTAGCACCTGAGATGAGGTAAGCCCGAATAACAGCGCACCGGAGGCACCTGAAATAAAGAATAGTCGGGAAATATTCCTTCTGTTAGGAAGTTTCCGATTAGATGCCGACTTCCCATAGGCAGGTTGAGACAAGTACCTTGGTAGCTGCGGGTAGGAGGGGACTGGAGGGAGAAGATAGACGTTTCAGGTTATGCGGTGCTACTACGAAGTATGCGGATGTATCGTTATACTCCACCACAGGCGTACCTTCTTTCTAACGGATCTGTAAGCTAAGTACCTTATTAGGTGGCTCTTCTCGGTTGAAGCTGAGGATCGACCGAACCTCAAACCTCTAGACTTTTCGATCTCCACCCGTCTCCAAAAGTATCAGGCTTGACTCTTCTTTTTCTTCGTTTCCGGATTTCGTCCTAACATTAATTTCTTTTTATCTTTGTTCTGTTTGATCATTTTCTGTTTCTTCGGCAAAGACTGACCTGAAACTTCAGCTTGATCAACCAACCGCTCCTTCCTCGACCACCTGTTAGTATCTTAATATAGTAGGAAGTTATAGGGCAGTGCGATTACCCCACCAACAAAACCCAGGGGTACGGAATATTTACTTTATCACTCGTACCCCGCCATAGCATTCAGTCCGTTTAAACCTTACTATATTACTACTATACTACTGCTACCTTCCTTGTCCATTCGCACTTCTTGACATCACTATCTCCTAGCCAAACTGTATCCTGCTATTCTAACTGTTACCCACACAATTATTTAGCTGTCGATTTAAAACCGTCGTAACCTAAAACCCTACACTTACCATCTGACTAGATCAATCGACTAGCGACGATGGTTGACAGACGAAACAAGCCGACGGCGCTGGCCACCACTCCGGGTCTCCCTCCTCAGCCTCAGGTTAACTTCTCTCACGGCAATTCGCGCGTGACGGCTGTGCTGCCTGCTGGTGAGAGTGTCGAAGTCTTGCTCTACGGCGCAACCGTCATCAGCTGGAAGAATCGCTTCGGAATCGAGAAGCTCTGGCTATCCGATGCCGCCAAGCTCGACGGATCCAAGGCCGTGCGAGGTGGTATCCCTTTGGTCTTTCCCGTAAGCTACCCCTCCTTCCTTTGTCCCTAAATTCGATCCATTTCGATTGGCGAATCATATGAAACCGCTTCAAAATATAATAACCGCGACGGCGATGATAAACAGCTAGCTAACAGCATCGATCAACCCGTAGGTATTCGGCACAGCTCCGGACCACGCGGCGACTTCGAAATTACCGCAGCACGGCTTTGCGCGCAACTCGCGATGGGAGTTCCTAGGCAAGTCGAGCTCCGAGTCGGCCAGTCCGTCCGACATCTCCGTCAAGCTAGACTTCGGCCTCTCGTCCGCGACCCTCGACGACCAGGTCAAGAGCCTGTGGCCTTACACCTTCTCTATCATCTATAGCGTCACGCTGACTCCGGAAAACCTGAGCACGAGCATCGTCGTTACTAATGACGGTGACCAGCCCATCGAATTCCAGACTCTGATGCACACTTATCTGCGGGTTGAGGTACGTTGAATTTTATGACACTTATAGCATGTAATATGAGTTTCGATGGAATTTAGCTAAGGTATAACGCACCGGTTAGGACATCTCGAAAGTCCAAGTTACAGGTCTTGAGGAATCAGACTACGTCGACAAGGTAGATGCTGCTAAAGAGAAGAAGCAATCGGGCGCCGTGACCATCGCCGGTGAAGTAGACCGAGTTTACACACCGGCTAAGGGACCCTCGAGTCCGGTAGTCGTCGCGGAGGACGGTGAAACGGTTTTCAGCATCGTCAGGGACAACCTTAAGGATGTTGTAGTCTGGAACCCGTGGACAGACAAGGCGGCAGGAATGGGCGATTTCGAGCCCAAGGACGGCTACAAGAACATGATTTGCGTTGAGGCCGGTTCCGTTAAGGGCTGGATCACTCTTGACCCCAGCGACGCGTTCGAGGGAGCTCAGACAATTTCCGATTGACTTATCGGAGACAATGATGCGTCGAACGGGGCTACGAAGATGGTAGGAAGGTTATGAATGAATGAACGTCGATCCGTTACGAGTTGCTGGGGATAAAGGACACGGTCAAGGAGAGCAGTGTCTTTGAGGATATGAGAATCCTATGGCAAGAGAGAAATTCTGATTAGATCTCCTCGCTATCTACTTTCCTAATAGAGGGAGGGAATCATGATCGTGCTGGGTCAGTTACAGAGATATCCATCCGTTCCTTTATTTTGGACTTGTTTGATTGTGACTTGAATTTCTTAAAAGGTAGAGCTATCCTTAGGAAATGCATTCGTAAGGTGTCATAAGAGAGCAGCAAGTTACGTACATGCAGTACCTAAATTATCTGCGGGTGATACAACCCATTAATTTCTTCGGTTAGAAACATCCCGTTTCATAAGTCCACGTATAGATATACTTAAGTCCCTACAAGTGTAAAGAGATTCCTTGACTGACATAAAGTGACGCTCTGCTAGATTTAGCCAGCAACTGCGATGGGCATCATTATTATAGATAAACTATGTAGGTACTTCAACAGCGAATACGAACAATCTCATCATTTTCCTGGTTCATATACGCCGTTACTGGAGTCCGGAATTGAAAAGCACCAAAGATAGAACTATACGCAACCAAAAGATGCAACGGTCAACGCTATCAATGTTCCGCTGAGTTTCAAATCAGATAAAAAGAATAGCAATACGAGTATGAACGAGTTTGCACAGAGCCTCTAGACACAATTAACCCATACGCTACGCCCGATGATAAACCCCTTTCCCAACGCTCTCGCTCCTACCACGAAGCATCACCCACCTCAAAAGACAGAAACCGCAGTAGCGGAAAAAAAAGAAAAGAAAAGAAAAATCAACCCTCATACCCTCTCCACATCCACCCCGCCGGCTTAAACACAATCTCCAAGCCCAGCTTCCCGAAAACCCCCACCGAAGCACACAGATCATGATACCCCTCCAGCCCCGTAACCGGCAAATCCTGCTCGCGGTCCGTCTCCTCGTGCAAATCCCAGCGGCCTCTCTCCACCCCATCCCTCGTCAGGAAAACCTGGACTTCCAATCCTCCCTCTTCCCGAACGCGGAACTCCATGCCTAAACCGATAGTCTCACCGACCCGGAACCGTTCCGTGAAATCCTTCCCGCCCCACCGGTCGTTGACGTACCTGTGCCCGTCGTCGCCGTGCACGGCGACGCTGCCGCGGTGCCACCCGGGCAGCCGGAAAGCCGGGTACGGCGGCGCGCAGAAGCCGAGCGCGAGGGGCACCTCCTCCTCCTCCTCCTCGCCAGGCCGAACTTCGTCTCGCAGGATCCGCACCTCGTAGTACGCAACCTTCCCCCGCCCCGTGGCCAGCGGACTATGCGCCGCGACCTGGTACAAAGGCGGCCAGGTCGTCAGACACGTGTCCGCGCACCCGCGCGCGCTCCTCGCGCGCCACGACGCCCCGGGGCCGAGTTGGTCTAGCGAGCTCTTCTTCTTCGCCGCGAAGAAGAAGGGCGGCGCGTACACGGTCACGTTACCGCTCTGCGCCGCGGCGGCGAGGGCGTACGTATTCGCGTTGGCAGGTGTAGGATGGTAGAGTGGGTTCGCGCGACACCAGGATTCGCCCGCCTCGCACTCGTCCTCGGACGCGTTGTTCGCGGGCGAGCGGTCGTACCCGGCGAAGAAATCCGGCGGCGGGGGAAGCAGCGCCGTGTCCGGGACCGCGGCTTCCCAATCGTGCTGCGGAGCCGGTTTTTCTTTATGATGGGATGATGGTGGGGGGCCGGGAGGCGGCGCGTATTCCTCTGCCTCGGCTCGGGATCCGGCGGAGGGGATGGGGGGGTTGTTGAAGAACGGGTTGTTCTTGGTATCTGATGATGGTGGTGGTGGTGGTGGCGGCGGACCGGCCGGAGGCTGGTAATTCTGAGAGTGGGAGGGAGGGGGGCCTGGGGGTGGAGGGTAGTACGGAGATTGAGGTTGAGATTGGCCCTGCCGGCGAGATGGCGGCAGTCCAGGAGGAGGTGCGTAGTCTTGAGGCATACTGACTTTTGGATTTGGGGTGCTTGATGATGGTCGGGTCTGGACGGGTTTAGGAGCTGGATCGTCGGTTCTATCTTTGCGTCCGAGACACATTGTAGTGTGTTCAGATCGTGGATACTATAAGCGTAGTTCTACTGAGGTGTAGTGACGGTTCCAAGCTGTAGTTTGGGCAAGCATAAAGAGTTGAGAAAGTTAAGGTAGTTGAGATTAGTGGATTATTGCCGCGAGCCTCGGCTTTATGTAAGATGTTGGTACAATGCCAAGTAAGACCATGAATCACCAAGACCAGCGGCGAAGCGGGCGTACGACGAGCTGATTTGTTGCGTTACGCAGGCCTAATTGAATATTTGCTTACTATTCGGGCTGTGCTACTAACAAATCTCTAGATTCGGTATTTTCTATTAGTTTTAGATGGAATGGTTGAAGTGACTGGGAACAAAGAGTAAGCTGCTAAGTTGAAGTTATTTGTCATGAACTCTACTCAGCCTCAATGGGTCTAAAATATACTTTATAGGAATCTCTAGCTGAGACCCGCGTGGTCGGAAACCCCACTCGAACTTAACTCTAACACATGAACTACTGCAACCCATTAACGGGCCCGTGGTACTTGTGACGTAATTAGGAAACAGGTACGGTTCACTAGTGTAAGCTGGATATTACACAAGGGGTTCGTGAGCAACTTGATATACCTATCTAATACGAAGGATAAAACTTTCGAATCACATTGAGTCTAGGATCAAAATAAAAATTAGAATATACCGAAAGGAATGTCAATTTACTCGAACGACTCAAGTAGAGTCGGAGTCTTTATCAACGCGCTAATTGTTACCCCAATCCTGATCAGAGCGGCCAAGTTGGCTGGCTCAGCTAATCTCCCGCAAAATCCTCAAATATCCACTCAAAACCCAAATCAATCAATCGTCGGAAGTCGACTCGAAAGAACAAGTGACCTTCGTTAAAGAATCGTAAAATCGTGTAACTCCCCAGTAACGCGAGAATCCATGTGCTGAAAAGTAAGTTCACCTGCTCGCAGATCTTCCCAAATACGCTGAATATCAGCAATGATAAATGGCAATCATATCTCATGCTCGTGTTGAACATCACGGTATCTCGTCGCTAAAATATATGGGGTGGTTTTTTGAAGGGGTCATGGACGACACTTAATCGCCCAGAGAACTGGCGGCATCGCCTTCAGGATAGAAGAACGCGACAACCGCAATAATGACATAAGTAGCGCAAAGTAGCGCACCCTCTAGATAATTGCTTCGGCCGTCCAGGATCAGGAAGTTGATTATGAATGCCGATACGAACAGGCACACGGTCTCAAAGAGGGTAAAGTACAATGACATGGGTTGACCAATAATCCAACCGATGATAACCACGAGCGGCGTAAGGAATAGAGCGATTTGAATCGAAGAACCGATAGCTACGCCGATTGCTAGATCCATCTTGTTCTTCATCGCGACCGAAACAGCCGTCACGTGCTCTGCCGCGTTTCCGACAATGGGAAGGATGATCAACCCAATGAAGGTTTCTTTAAGAGCACTGTTCGATACCACGTCGTCGATAGCATCAACCATGAATTCGGCACACAAGGCGACGAGGGCCGTGGAGATCAGCAGCATGATGACAGCTGCGCCGCGCGACAAATCGCCTTCGTGCTCTTCGCCTTCCTTCCCAGCACCGCCGGTCAAGACCGATACTGGAACCCGAGACGGCATCATTGCTCCGGGGGGGCGATACTGATATTGGTTAAGCCTCTCCGGAAGGGAATTCGTTCGGCGAATTCCGTATCTGACGCGAGGGACAGGGCCGGACGGAACAGGAGGTGTGGCTCCCATCTCCGAACCCTGCGTGAAAACAGGCGGTGCCAGGCTCTTAGCCACGGGCCGAAGGGACAGGACACGAAGGTTATTGAAAGGACGCTTAGTGCCAGTGGGTGTAACCTCAAACGCACCTTCGACGTCAGCAACCGTATCTGCGAAATCCACACGACGAGGCTCTCCGGTATTCGTGACTGGGTTGACTACGCCGTCCGGTCCGGGTGCGGCAATGTTCTCAGGTTGAGCAGCTTCTTCGTCGACAGGCAAAGACATCTTCCTATCGCGCTTGTGCTTACGTTTAGAACGCTTATGTTTACGGCGGGGTTTGGCCTCATCTTCCTCTTCAACGGCTTCGTCGCTACCCTTGGAGTTTAATCTAGGGAAAAAGCTAGGGCCATGTTCCGAGTTGCTGGATCTGGATCCCTCGTGGATGGGACTGGCGTTGTTGGTTCCAAGCGATGAAGTCCGGGTACGAGGCACGTCAGTATCGACAGATGCGACGCTGGACTTTCTACGGCGGTGTCCACGGATAGCACGCTTAACTCGCTTTGACATGGTTTCTCTGGAGTGACTTGAGTTATCCGAGTCCGAATCGGAAGAGGAGCTTGAGTCAGAATCAGATGATTCGAGCCATGCGGCAGCAGGTCCAGGAGTTGCTTCTTCGTCGATGATATGTTGAGGAGTTGACTCATACATGTACGCATGAGACTTCAACTGGAACATAAGATAGATGACATAAACCAGGAGGAGAATTACGCTGACACCATGGCTAATCTTTAGAGATTCGCTGTCCGCTTCGGTCTTGTCCTTGAACGAAGCATGAAATGCGGTCTAAAAAATGTTAGAATAGTCTGTGGGCATTGAAGATACGACTCACTGGCAACATAAGACTAATCACACTCAAACTGAGTAGACAAGCGCTCATCTGAGTAACGGTGCTGTTGTAAATCTGTTCACGGAATCGTAAACCACCGAGGAAGAAGGCCATGCCCAGGATAAGGAGCAAGTTTGCGAGGATAGATCCAAGCAACGAGGCCTGCACGATCCGAATTTCACCCTACATATAATTAGTCACGCACTCATAAGATATCCAGTGAATATATTTACCTTGACCAATGCAATGCTGTAAAAATAAGGTATTATATTAGCAACTATTCATCATGCAGTTTTTTATTTCAAGCGCCGCGAGACACTTAGCAAGATAGTCAACTTACATGCTATCGAATTGTTAGCAAACCCAAGTTATTTAATTGAGATCGTTGACCTGTATCTTACAAAATAATCAATTCAACAGCGTTGCCAAACGTCACGTTAAGCAATGCACCGATGGTGTCGCCCATCTTGCGAGCCACGGATTCCGTGGCGTGGCTAAGGAGAGCCGCAAGAGGAATAATGGCGACGGCGTTAACGCCGAATGTAGCTCCGGCATTTCTGTTCGGGATGTTCGCGATGGCAATCCCGATAGGAACGCAGACCAAGAATAGGTTGATCCAGCTGTGGAGAAGGACCTTCTTAAATTCGAGGCAGGTTTCGATGAAAAGGTTGGGTTTCTTCTTGGTACCATTGTCGTCTACGAGAGACCCCGTCCCCTCCACTTCAGATGCCGGCGAACTTGACTTATCGGCAGCTTCGTTATCCGGTCCGGCATGGCGAAGTGTGTGGTTTGCGGAGCCGTCAGGAAGACCCTGAGGGCGGCCGGCGAGGTTGCCGGTGCTAGCATCGTGACCCTTTTCCGAGAGTTGCTGCGAATCAGGTGCGATTGGGTTGCTTATGGGAAGAACAGGAGTACTGTTGGACGCGGTGGACCGTGTTGAGCCTCCATACGCGTGACCTCGTGCCCAAGAGCGTATGCGATCTATATAAGAGGCCTTATCAGTCGAACTTTCCTTCATCGATGTATGCGGCTTTGGCAGATTCGACGCCAAGGTCGTTGGATGTTCTGTAAGGAGAACGGGAAGAGGGGGGGAACGTGTTGAGCAACGTAATGCGAGAGCGAGAGAAGCCTAGACTAAATAGGCGTAGAACAGTTGGAAAATCGGGGCGGGACGGTGGCGTGGGGAGTGCTCTGATTGGGGAAGATCAAGGCGTAATCAGAATTGCTATCAGGGGTAGCCCAAGTGGTGTGCTCGGATTGGTTCCCAGGTCAAAGGCTCGTAAGCCAGTCATCGACGTTTTCCAGCAGAGGCGACGTACTACGCAGTACGTAGTAGGTAAGTTTGGTAGACCGGCTTGGCAACTGGTCACTGGACCCCTGGAATTCGATAACGTGTAGGCTAAACTGTGTGGATTTTCGCCTTGCTTTTCGGGATGGCGATTGTAGCGTCGATCCACATATGAGGCTTGACTTGTAAGACGTAATCAAATGATAATAAAAGAGACTGGGATTTTAATTTTCTTTTTTTTAAAGAAAACATTTTAACTTCTTTGTTGCTTGATCTCGATGATGGACCGACGGGGTATCGCATCTCCTGAGCTTTGGAATAACAATGGTTATAAGCTCAATATAGGAGCTAGAAGCTTGCGAGCGGTATCGACCGCCTCCAAGATGCCTGGTATTTTCCCAAACGACTAAAGCCGGCAGAGGATCAACCCCACTTGGAAGTTTGCCGGAATTAACGTAGCGTCGAGCGCATACGTTGGGGTGTATGGATGGATCCATCATACGTAGATTCGCGGAATAATACCACCGCGCCGTGACTTCATTCGAAGTGACGATAATAATACGTGTCCGAAGGGAGAGGAGAGTGGTAAGGAAGGATTTGTAACTTGCAGAGGTGATAGGATAAACAAAGCAAAAAAAGCGAAGAAAAGCAAGAACTTACGCATTCTGTCTTCCGCGATCAACCCCGAAGAGAGAGTATCGTCCAACTGCAAGACGAATACTCCCTCTTATAAGCTAGCTGGGCTTTGTGTCTCCAACACCCCAACAAGCTGGTATTAGGTATTGCCTTTTCTGCTTCTACTGTTTTCTCGTCAGCGATTGTGTAACGCGTCCCCCGCGCTCTCTGCCCGGCGATATCAGCGAAATTGATTCGCAGCGTCTTAGGTCCGACCGTTTGTTGCGAGGCTTGCCAAACAAACCGCCAGCAACTAAACAGCTAAAACAGCTAAACAAATCAAGCTTAGAGGCGGTGGGGTCCTCAGGTATGTAGGCGACGCAGGTAGGCAGCTGGCAGGGGAACACCGCCTCACTTCTTTATGAGGCACAAGGTAAGGATGCTTGTATTCCACACTGTGTGCCACGCTTGACTCCAACGAGCGTGCGTAGGGCTGACAAGCCACCTATGTAGCGTTCGACGGCTCTTCCTAACTTGTATTAAGGGCCGGAAACTCGAGCTTCTAGGTTTTTAAGAGAAAATATGCGTATTGTATTGGTGTAGGATCCGGAGTCGGACTTTCTCAGATAGGATTCCCAGATCGTTAAATGGATACCTAGATCAGGAAGGGAGAAATTGTAGATACTAGATAGTGTTTGTGAAATGTAGAGATATGTGGCTGTGCTGTGTAATAAAAGGAGAGCATTTAAGCTTAGTGTGGCATTCCAGAGTTGGTACTTACGACCGGGGAGTTCCTAGTAAGGTGTTAAATACCTAATGTACGAGTCATAATGTGACTGTTTCCAACCTGTAGTGTTGTGAAGCACCTGCCAAGGTTTCTGCTCCTGCCTTAGAGCCCACGTGTGATAGAAGCCGTAGTTGGCCAATGACGTAGTTACCAGATATTCGTACTACCTGTAATTTTCGTAACTGCGTATTATTTACTCGAGACGAAGTCTTCGCTTTCCAGTATGACGACAATTGCACCGTTAAATATGGGTATTTCTTCGGTATTTCTTCTTATCACCAACATCAATTAATAAGAGCATTGAATTGCCAGGTTTGCTGACTCTACTACAGCATCGATAATCGTCATTGTATGACTCCTTTAGAGCCGAGTTGTCTTCCTTACATTGTTAGACCCGATTCCGGAATTAGGAATTGGGCCGCAATTCTTCATCCTTCTCATCGTGGCTCTATCAACATTGCCGATGACCTGTAGTTCGATTAAGGTCATCGTAACTTAGACTCGGATCTCCGCCATCTCTGTCTTTGCCGCCGAGTTATCGGCTCGGTTTTAACAGAAGGGGTCGACCTCGGTCAATCCAGCATTAGGAGCCTTCATCATATTTAAAACTACCCCCGTCGTCCAATTTGCGAATGCGAATATAAACCAATTGAAAAATTTCTTAATCAAAGAATCCTAGCAGTGTGTCGTGGCACATATCAAGAGACGATCATTTCGCATTCACAAAACTTCAATTGGCCATAGTCAAGTGCTGTGGGCTGCTCTGATGATATGACTCCGGCAGGCTCATTAACACACATAGATGATATAATACTTAACCTTGTTAATATCATTGAATACATCCACCGCAACGTTGCCGTCAACAAGATCGAGCAGGGAAATATTCATGACTCTAATGTTTTCCTTCATTTTCTATGGTTAGGGTTCAAAAGCCTCTATCCATGTATTAACATGTTGACACAAAATATATGACGCTATAGGTTGCTATCAACGAAGACTTTGAGTTTACGCATGAACATAACATCAGGCCCAACGTAACCTGAGAACACCAGAGAACAGTTCGAGGAAGGTTCAAAAACTCATCATAGTTCTCGAGATCGAATAGACCTGAGTCCTATCAAAACTTACATGAAGCTTCATGTAAGTTTACACCTCGAATATTTCAACCTTATTCTCGCCCAAATATTTAACTATAATTATCGCCTCCTTCCCCTTTCTTCGGACCACACAAGTATATGTTGTTACTTCGTTTCTAGCTTACCCACATATGAGTTATTCTTTTATTTAGCCAAGGGTTATGGAGAGACTCCATAGATGCAGGTGCCTGTTAAGACAAACCCTCCCCTTCCAATGGCCTTTCTTAGAATAGCATCTTTAGGACTCATGTCTACTGAGGTTACTAGGTATCCTCAAAGTAACCAGCCCAGGTTGGGTTTCTCCAGGAGATTTACTCACACTCAGAAACACGGGATACTAACCACCTTCTATTACTTCGTTTCTCGAAATTCGCTCATAGGGTATTCCATCTCCTTGTTCTCAACATGTGATCAGATTCTTCCTGTCATTCAATATCCAAACACATTAAACCGCGGGAGCTATTCTCGCAACTTCGCACTAACCTCGATCGATTCAGGCGACCAGAACGTCAATCAAGGACAGCACGTTTTAAATTAGACATTCATCAAATTTATCTTATCTAATCCTTTTTATTCTCTTCACCTTTTCTTTCCTCTTCCCTCCCCCTTTTGTTTCTCTTCCCCTATTCTCTCTCCTACTCTTACTACTTTCAAGGTCTAGGTAATTCAACTAAGTACGCCTTACAACTCCTCAAACAACATACGGCAAAACTTGAAAAAGAAGAACAGGAAAGGCAAGGCGAGCGAGCCTATGTACAAATCCTTTTCATTTAACTTCACTTGTTGTGAAAAACCCGGGTATTCTCATTCCTAAACTGAAAAAATCATTGATTGCAAAGCACGTGCAACGCCAGATGTACATTTAACCTTTAATTCGCGGTGACTCCCCAAGTCTAGATAAGTATCTTAATCTAAGCTCATCCATGCGAATGCCGAGAGCGAGCCCGCAATCAGAATTGCCGTGAGGATGCCAGCACCAGCCTTATCCCCACCGGTTATGGGGGAAAAGGTAGGCACGAGGGGCTCGTCAGAACCGGCATTCACGTCACCCTTGGATGTACCACCGGTGTTGTTAGTCAGAGGCGGTGCGGCATCAGGGGACAGAAGGCTGATCAGGGCTCCTAGGACGTTCATCTGCTGGCCAGCGCCGACCTGGTTGTCAAAGACACCGGTAGTCCAGTGGAAACCACAGAATCGGCCGTTGGTGCCCCCGGTGCATTGCTTGACAGCCGCCTCAGTCGACGCCTTCAGCACCGGGTAAATCTTGTCGCGCGTGTAAGGAGCTAGCTGCATCGTCGAGCCCATCCATCGATGAGTATATCCCTTGAAGGATTCCATATCGGCGTTACACTTGGTCCCCTCGCATGACGGCTCGTATGCGACGTTGTTGGGGAAGAAGATCTCGATCATGCGGTCAACCAGGTTGTCGATGCGTTCCTTCCAAATTTGGCTGCCGTCGGTCTGAATCAGGGTTAGCAGCAGGTACGGATGAATTACCCACGATGAATTTTATGAAGCAAGGTACTTCCACCCATGGGAATATCGGTGATAAGAACGTACGTAGTTATACAAGAAGGCGGCGCCTTGCAACAACATGGCAGCATTGTAGGAGAACTGGGCCTTGTTGATGTCGGTACAATCCGGCAAGTGGGCACCGTCATAAACATCCCAATTGTCTGAGATGTAACCTAGATCGCTGATGATATCCCAAGTCTTGTTTGCAAGATCTGCGTAGGTCGAATTGTCCGTGTAGCGGGCTAGCCGAGCGCCGATGTTGAAATAGCAGGCATTCGCGATGGCTGTAGTCTGGTTAGTTTCCGGGACCTTGTCCGCCCCGCTTCATATAGAGTCTAAAGAATTGTGAGTTATTCAACATACTGTTAATGTAGTTGTATCCGTTGTTGGACGGATAAACCTGCCATCGAAGACCCCACTTGCATCGTCCACTAGGCACTCTTCGATCCTCATGCGTCTGCTCGTTGAATACGGCCTGCGCCAGCGACAACCACTGAGGCTGGTCTGACGGAGGATCTGTGTATCCCACCTCGGTAGCCAGCATAGCAGACAACGCCCAGAAAGCTTGATCATCGTTACCCATGGATGCCGTCCAGTTGGGCGGCATGAAGTCCTCGTTAGGACCCACCTGCCATAGTAGCGCTTGCGACACGGTCTCGTCATACGTCTTGTCGCCGGTATGGTGTCGGTAGTCTAGCATCGTACCCCAGAGTGCACCTCCCTGCCACCAGTAGTAATCGCCGTCGGGGGGAGGGCCGGGCAAGATGCCGGGAACCATGCCCGGCTCGTCGCCATGATAGAAGGTGAGAAGATCTTCGGCGACTAAGGCGGCCGCCGACTTGATCGAAGCTGGATTAGCGAGGACGACATGTTAGTCATCTCTCCTCATCCGCAAAAATACTTATCGTAGATTTTCAAGGATTAATAGAGGTACCTACCTGGATCGTCAAGATTTACGTCGAGGGCTCCATAAGCTCTGTCGGCGACTAGGCCCAGTGCCGCCAGCAGCGGTGTTGATAGTCTCACCATGATCATGTGAAGTCCGTATTGTCCGGGAAGAGGGGCGAAACGAGCGAATCGAACGAATCACTAGGAAGGGGAAAAAAAGGGAACGAATGAGTGAAAGAAGTGAATTACTTAGATCTAGATTAGTGGTGATAATGAATGTTCATCCGGTAAGAGAACGGATGTATATTATTATTACAACTTTATCGTGGTAGGTGACGAGAGGGTTTGGGCTTAAGGATAGTGGAACTCGACGTCAACGACATAAAAAGATAGAAAAAGGCAAAAGGGACAAGACAACACTAGATCACCCAGTCACCTGGCGGATTACATTGGCAAAGAATGTCAAGCCAAGGTTTTCTGATTCAGGAGGTGACAGACGAAGGGTCGTTGACTAAGGATTAACCCATCTTGGGTGCTTAGCCAAGAAAAAGCCCAGACCATCGTGGAGATTGTTTGCCGGGAAAATATGGGATCAATGGGATCACTGGAACAAGGGACAAGACCGGGACGAACGAATCACCTAGACCGGTCGACCGGCTTTCCTTTGCCTAGAATTACCAAGACTTAAAGCGTGCCTATTTCTTTATCTCATCTTTCGTCGTTCGTATTCTCTTTGCGAGGACTTGCGAGGACCTGCGAGTACTCGTAGCCCATTCTTCGGAGGTTGCGAGATGAAAACTCTATGTGGGAATATCGGAACGTTGAAAAAGAAAAGTTGAGATTTTACCATTAGCTAAGGAAGTATCCAGGTAATTCGCCGTAGATCATGAATCCTGACAGATCAAGCATGTGTTACACAGTACCCGACCGCCGAATTCCCCTCACAATATTTGAACGATTGAGCAATCAGAAGGCGCCTTGTACAATATTGTATAACGTACCCCTGAAGATCTTGGCGCCTGAGCCGCCAAGCCGCGCTAGTCCCCAGACGGATTAAGGTCTCTAGGCGCGCGCCAGAATTGCAAGCCAATGAGACAAGGCCAAGGTACCTTCGTATTTCAGGCGTATCTCACTGGAAATCCGTCCTTTCCGATCTCCTGTTCTGCTGTGCCTCGCCCAAAGGATGGGACATCTAGGTAGACGCTTGTCGATAGAAATATTCTAGAAGATTTTATACATAGATCTGCTATGTGACATTTTCCACGTCTTCCAACTCTTCGAGAACCTCGAACCCGGTAGGTTAATGTAAGTGTGGTTTTGTCATAGCTCATCTACCACGAATAGTGGTTCGCGGAGTAGGATAATAATCTAGTACATACCTAGTTACTCGTATTTTCTCGTATTGCAATTTTGGATTAAGGATATTATTGCGAGAAAGCCTATGACGGCTTAATGGTATATATTTCAGCTGACCACATTTATACGCAGCATAACTGAATAAATATACTCGGTAGAATATAATTGAAATTCGCAAGGTGAAGACGGTCGTATCCGCAAAGGAACATTACGAGTATATTCACGTTACATATGTATAATATCTCGAAAGTATGGATTTGCAGTTCGCCGCGATCTGTGATTCTGCTACTTGACTTATCCGATTCTACCTATTCCATCTATGGGTGTTACCATAACCTTGCCTTCGATCGATAGTTTTTCCTCTAAGGACCGATCTAGTACACGACCAAAACCCTATAGGTTCCTAAGACGCAAGAGCTTGGCATGAACATGACGAGCTCCGGTATCCTTCCCCAACTTGCCAACGAAATAGCTCCGTGTTAGCAACATTTGGTCGTACCTCGGGAAAAGGATGAAGTAAAAACGTATCGTCTGCTCAGGGGACTTGAGCGATCTTCGGGGGTGCGGAAGCGAAGAAAAAAAACGAATGTTAACACCAATTGTTCTAGCCTGATCTTGTTGGCTATATCGCAACCTGTAATCCAACTCCAATGATAACGAAGCCATCCTCCTAATGCCTATTTCAACCAGGTGCGGTGAATGTGGAACGGCTTTTCCGAAAATGCAACCGTGCAACCGATTTGATAAAACTCCTGTTCCAATAACGCCTGGTTTGACAATGCTGAAAGTGAAAGTCGCAAATGCAACGGATATCATATGCTTATGTCCTTGTTGCTCATGTCATGATTGATTGGCGTAGTTCGTTCAGACGCTGCGTATTCCTGAGAATGCTGCATAGCAACATGTGTTGCGGATATATATTCATAGGCGGACCGAGCCCGGAAGAGAATCGTACCGAATATGAAGCGTGAGAAATTGTTTGTTAAATCTCTGAATGGATCAACGAGAAATTTGAGGCATCATCGCCCTTTGCTGGCTCGGAGCAGCTTTGTCCTTAACCACAAGATGAACATAGTCCAAGTGCTCTGGGTCTTTTTCCTGGCCGTGTTCCTCCGCTTAGATGGCTGAAAAGCAACGTCGTGAGCCCCTCCGGCTTCGTTACCAAACGCCGGCGGGTTCTTTGCATCCAAGGAGTCGTAGTTGCTGCTAGCAAACCTGTCAGACTCCGCTAAGGGGCTAGGGGCGTTCTTGCGCGACGTGCCCGGTCGGGACATGCTGGTCCGGGAAATGGCTAAGCTGGGACGACCACTGCTCGTGGCGCTAGCCTTCCTGTTCTGCTTTCCTCGAGCGATCGCTTCCTCGAGCTCGATCGCCTCTTGACGGGCTTTGACAGCCATCTGCTCTTTGTATAGAGCGGCCGCGTGTTTCTCTTGTTCCTGGGCGCGCTTGTTGTCGGCACGTTCCCGGCGTTTGATCTCCTCTCGTGCGTATTTCTCTTCCTTCGCCTTTTCCCTTAGCTCAAATTTCCGCCGAGCTTCTCGGAGATGCTCGGCACGGGTTGCTGTATCAAGATCGGACTTGGCGCGCAGGCGCGGGAACCCGGCCGCATCGAACGAAGAGCGAAGCGGAGACATCGGGGCCGCGGAGCTAGCTGGCGACGAAATATGGGTTGACGCAGCATTGGCCGGCGAGTTGGGTGTCTCCAACATGCACTCGAGTTGTAGATCGGATCGGCTCTCGACCTTGGCTAGACGCGAGGACTGCGCCGAAGTGGTTGATGAGACGCGGGATGTATTTATTCTGAGGGACGGCGGATGGTGAGAAGAAGTGGGAGAATGCGCATTTTTCACTTCGGAATAGGACGTGGTGCGCTGGGTGCTTGCTAGAGACGGTCGTCTGACGCTAAGGCTCGGCTGCGAGTGAGAGTGGGGGTTGGCGTTGACGGGATGAATCTGGAGACTGTTCCTGTGGCTGTTGCTACCGTTATCCTGCTCATCGTCGTTATCGTCATCCTCCGTGATATCGAAGAAGGACGTCTGCGAATTGGCATATGACAACGGCGGGGTCGAAGTTCGAGGCATCTGCTGGAAAGGATGCACAAACGGCGCTCCGACCTGATGACGTGGACCAGAACTGCTCGACGTCGCGACAGAGACATGGCTTGCGCCGCTTATCGATCTAGAGTGATGGTACCGACGGGTTCCGACCGTCTCGTTGAATGTAATGCTCATGTCTTTCCCCGGCTGCTGCTCGTACGACCCCCCCGCTCCTCCTGCCCATCCGTCACTATTTCGACATTGCCCCTCCTGATCTAACCACCCTCTATCCAAGTCTAGCGAGGTCTTTTCTGCCTGGGTCGATAGCTTTTTGAGAATTGGCTTCACCGCTGTTTTGGCTCTCGACTTGCTTATCTTGCTACTTGAACTATGCGACGCAGAACCAAACCCCGACAGGCTCTGAATAGATGCCATCGTTCACAGCGACGGCCGTAATAGCACCGGCGTACTTGGGTATATGTAAGCGTATATATGTACCTTAGCTATATATACACGTACATATACACTTATAGGTTATCGCGGAACCATCGAAGATTGTAGAATAAGACGATTCAGGAAGACACGCAAGGTTCGTTCGAACGAGATTGGGGCGACCGACCGATTAACGTCGTGCTACCGGCAGAGAGCAGAAGCGGACTCGCAAACAGCCAGAGATGCGGAATCACCGGCATATAGACATTGAACAGCAGGATCGGCACGTATGGTCAGGTGCCTGGTGCCTAGGTACGCAGGGTACGGTGGTGTTTTGAATAATAAATCACTCAGGAAGAGCTAAGATGACTAAGACCAACGAGGGTAGCGAGAGTTGCGATCAAGGTGACACCAAGGACAGGCCAATATGTCCGTCGCAACCGATGAATGTTATTGCTGCTCGATGTTGACTTTTACCATGTGACTGATAAAAATACTAGTCGTGGACGGACAGAGATTGGTGGGCCTTGGGGTTTTTTTGGAGGGGAAAACAACGTTTGCTTGGTCAAAATATCGGTCAATACAACATGACGGTGAGATGAACAATGAGAACGCGCAACACAAAAATCAAGTTTCGGTCATCCGAAGATGATTGGTAGAACAATGGACGTCTACCTCAAGCAGAGACTGACTAGAATGAATAGGTGGAAAAAGGAAGATTCTTTATTCTTGAATCATGTAGGCGCATCGGCGTATTCCTCTATTAAAAGTAAGAATAATCAGGCGGTGGTAGAAGTGTGAGATGTAGAGAGGATGATGAGAGGATTACGCAGCGAATGGGAGCGAAACGGGATCTAGAAGGAGGAAGAGGCGGAGAACTTGAGCGGAAGGCTACACAAGCCCCAGGGTTAGCTTTGGCCAGGCAAGGGAAATGAGGAGGAAGGACCTTGTCTGTTGTCCGCGAGCAGGAAGGTCGGGTAAGTCGGGCAGGCCCAGCAGATCCAGGTCGGGGGAGACGGGGAACCAAAACGGGAAGAACGGGGGAAGAGGAAAGACATGAGGGAAAAGGGAAAACAGCCTTCAGCCTCACCATTCCATCTCGCCATTTTAGCGGCCACCTGGTCCTGGCCCAGCTGGTTACCATTAAACCTTACTATGTGCTACCTACCTACTCCTGCTACTCCTGACATACTACACTACTTCTTACCTTCAATGTTTCTTTACTCAGCTGCTCCTGCTTTCTCCAGCTGCTTACACCTTCCTTACTTTACCGTATGGTTGCTGGGCTGTTGCTGGTCTCTTGCCGGCCTCTTACTGGACCGCTGCACGTGGACTAGGTATTAACTTTACTTCTAACACACCTTCTAAAGAGGGGAAGACGGGTCGGGGTACCTAGGTGGCTAGGTACCTAGTTAGGTAACGACGAACCCGGAACAGGGTTCGGCTTCGGATGGGTTTAAGTTCGTTGGCATTCCGTCTTATCGATTGCGGAAATTGACCACTGAGAGGGTTGGATTCCAGAAGTTTTCTAGCTGATCAGCACATTCTAAACGAAAGCCTGGGCAGATCTAGGGCCACCCATGAACCGATTCCACTCAACAAATCAGCAAATCAGCCGTGTACTTCGCTAGTTGGTCAATCGGCCAATCGGTCAGTCCATCAATCAGCCAGTAGACAATCGATCCGCCATCTAGATTCGTAGCAGATCCTAGGAAGATAAAAAGGAGGTAAGACTCAAGAGGAGAGGGGAGGCGAAAGGAATAGCTGAATCCCCCTTATCTTCCCAATCTTCCTCAGCTCCGGAAGAGCAAAAAGAGGGGGTGAAGACGAGGACTAACGAAAGTTGTCATGCATGATTAACATGACTGATGATTACATCTATCTGGCTTGACGATTTAGCGCTTGCTAGGTAGATTGGAATCGCCGGTGGGATCCGTGAAGATCTTCATATGTACAAAAGTATATTGACAGATTGAAGAACCTTGGAACCTCGGGACGTTTACCTTGGGATTTGGACAGATGGTTGGTTATGATGTACCGTAGACACATAACCTTGAGACAAGACACGGGAGAAGTCGACCAACCTTTTCTAGATTAATTCATAGAATGTTCTTCGATCGCAGCGATCGTAGTTAGATTCTCTGCTTTAGAAATGCCTGTTCATAATTTTCATCAGTGTTTAGGTACATACATAGGTGAGTACTATACCATGCGCGTGGCATTACATACGGCAACATCGTTATTCCCTCTTTATTCCCACGCCCGATAAACTGCGCCTACCTACGTAGTTGGCGCTGGACTAGTTATCCATGCTATGTACAAGCCACGGGCTTGTAGCTTAGTCGAAAGTCAAACTTGACGTAAAAGCCGGCGTGTTGCTTAGCCGTGTATTTAGAGTTGCGAATTAATATCTAGCCGCGTAATTCGTCGCCGTACGGCCCCGGAGAGGGAGCCAATCGAAGGATGAGGCAGAGCCCAGCCACCAAGTTTTCGGAATAATCATTTAGATGGTGTAGACGTGCACTAAGGCGACGGTGCGGTGACGATATTGGGTATCTAAACGTTGAGAGTCAAGCGAGTCTTGCAGTCAATGGCAATATCTCTCATGTGTGGCGTCTGAAGAAGGAATATCGCCCCGACTTAGGTGTTGGTGTTATGTCTGCCAATCGACATCAACCGGGGATACTAAGATGACAACATATGTATTTCGGCGTGCAGGTGTTATGCTGAGCTACACTAAACGAAACGAAGCGGCATTCCTGTATTCCTCATGTCGTTTCGAACGTCTCCCGAGTAGAATGTCATTCAGTTCCGATGAGCCCTTAAGAGTTGGTCTTAGCCACCATTGGCTTGATAGTATGGCACGACAGACCTCGAGCACTGCAAAGACATCGAACAGTACCCAGATAGCTGCAAAATCTTGTGCGTATGGACATGTCCTCGATTAAGATCAGTACATGCGTCCATTGCAAGATTGTCATCCGTAGTTGTCTTGCTATTCCCGACATCGAGCAGATGGGAATATCGGGATAATAGACCAAACGAGTCGGAACGAAACGACCATCTAGGACGCTCAGTCTACTCCGACAACCAAATGATACCATCACGGTCGGCGTAGACGAAAAGGACGCCTCATTGAGGGTCTCGTCACTTTAGGAGCTCGGGAATAAGAGACTTGCGCACCCATGTCATTCGGAACGCGAGGTTCGGTTTGACGGCGCTCATGATGCGTCCGTGGACTCCCTTCTTCAGATCAGCGACCACGTTTTCGTGGGCTGGTAGATCTCTGTTCCGCGTTGCCTTTGTTATCCAGATCGACGCAAGCATATAGCTGAAACTTTGCCTGCCGAATCCAGACCGCATGGTCGCTCCAACCGATCGGATATTAGACCCGATGGAAATAACGTCGGTTCCCCCGCTCTCGGAGTCCGGACCGGCGATAATGCGAACTCCCTGTATAGGATGACCGGCCTGAATCATCCCTGTCCGTGTCTCAGATTGATCGTCCACGACGGGGTCGGCCTCGACGGGACGACCGCCTCGACAAATTTTCTGCGCAGAGAACTGATGCCTCGACAAGACGGATGACAGATATCGTTAGGCTAGTTTCGAGTGATTGCGATGCTGTTGAATATTGATCTTTCCAGCTAACAATCATGAGTTTGCGTGAATGTGTCCCTTGTCCCTTAATCATAAAACCGGTCCGTACGAGTGCTCTCTCCCGCCGTCGAACATCCGACAACGTGCCGTCTTATCTTCGAAGATCTGGCTTCTCAGACATGTCTTATAATCATGCATAGTAGTATATGTATGAAGCAGGGGGGAACTGTATATTTATTCGAGCCTTTGAGTTGCTCACCACCAACGATCCTAGGGAATAAGGTAATCGTAAGAGCTTCTGGTCGTGAACTTAGGAATAATTAAACTCGCTACATTTCGCTGATCTAATTATGAGTTGCGAATATGTGCGGACTTGTAACTGCTCTTGATTATAGATCAGGCAAGAATCCTTAGGGTCCTGAATTTCCAAATTTGAATAGTTTAGACGGCTTATTATTATGACCTCGAGGAGGATTATGGTCCGCATATTGTGCTACGGCAGATCGGGGGCAAAGCCCGCACGTCGGTTCCCGATCGAACGTCTTTACTTTGTACGTTCCTACTGTGTATTACGATTTATCTCTAGGCGGCTCAAAGAACATCTCGGCACAGCTTCGCAGTACCGTAAAGTACTTACCGCTTCTAGTCAGTAATTCGCCTCTCTACCAAAGGAGAGGCCCCATCCTCTCTTAGTCGCTCGCCACCCCATTTGACATCTGACATTTGACACTTCTCAATATCGGAGGCGAGCAAAGATCGTCCCTCTTGTAGCCGTCGCGAAAGTATGCTAGCGCTTGGCAGGTCGGCGTAATTATTGAGGGGAAAAGCAGCGGCGAGAAAGCAGGCGGCTTATCATACAACCGCGACCGGGGTTCCCGGCAAGTGAGAATCTAGAGCTGCACTGCCGAGTGGCCCGGCGCGTTCCCGGCGAGTTCAAATGCGGAAAATGAAGAGCAAGGCTGCTCCTCCTTTGCCCAGGACATTCTGTCCGGTCCCGCATGCCTTCGACCAAAACAGCATCGATCGCTCGGAGACGCGCAGCTCGTTGGGGTCGTGGTCGGAGAGCGCTGGCCGAATGGGGGCCCTCTCGACGGTCTCGACTATTACCATGGTAATGGTCGTGGCCCGCGGGCCTCAGCTGAGCCCTTTTGCGCATAGGAAGGAGAGCGGGTAGAGCTCTTCATTCGCCGCCCCGGGTCGCTGTGGGCGACGGGCCAACGAATTGGGCGACGCTAAGGGCTCGATTCGTCGCGGGACTCGCCACAGGAGCGTTAGCCACTTTGCTATCGTGCCGACGACCAGAGTTCGGGCCACATCCGCGCCTCCTTCTGAAAGGTCCGCTGCGCGGCTTGGTTATTTTCCTAATCACCAACGTGCATCTGTATATTGTTCGTGCCTATGTAGCCCGAAATTGTTGTTCGCGAATGGGGGAACGTCGGCAGCGGCCTGCGAGCGTAGGTACGTTGGACGCCTTAGTTGAAAATATGCCTATTGCGCTGACCGCCAAATGCCCTTTAGACTGACGAGATTCAGTTGTGTGCTGTATTGACAGGGGGTAGCTAGCCAAGCGACTTACGGCGATGGGTTGGTTGGTTTCCGCATTCCTGGGGGGTTTTTAGGGCCTACTCCTGCCGAAAAGGGACATCGCTTTCCGGTGACAGGGGAACGAGGAGAAAAAGGGAAAAATTTTTTTCTCTCTTCCTATCCCTTTCAGTATCGACCCTCGTGGGTTTGATATCATACCGTAGGACGAAACGTGGGGTTGTCTACCACGGGGCCGGCAGAAAGGCCTCTCGCATAGGAGAACA